GGGTCAGATCTGTAAATAGCATTGTGTATCTTAGACTAAATTATACACTTGTTTTAGGATTTGAATTTTTGAGCAGTGGATGCATAATAGATATCTTGGCTTTCCAAATTTTCTAAATGAGACCTTTATTTACTTGGTCATCGTATTTGATGTGAGAAGTAGAATTCAAATGTTCTGAATGTGTATGATTGAAATACAGAGTTGCTGCATCTGTGTCAGTCCTGGTGGCAAAACGTTCCTCTTTGAATGCCTTGGGAAAACTGTGGACCTTGTTATTCTATTTTCCACCCATAGATCATTTGGAATAGGAAGATCCAAACATAGATTCAGTCTCATGATACGGAACACCGCATTTTCCTCATTCTTACAGTTGGCCCCATCTTTGCTTTTATTTGTTCATCTCCTAGTATGTGATGAGTTAGATGATTCTGCCACCTTTGACCCCCCCCCCCCCAACAAGACCCCCTGCCCACTCTTCCTCAGAATAAAGAATAGAATTATCATGTTTAGCAAAAACGAAAAGAAAATGTATTTTGTATTTGATGACACTGAAATCTTTGTATTTTACACGTGTTTGATATGAAACAGATATGACATAAATATACGAATTATAATGTTTAAATAAAATATTCTTCAAAGCATATGAGTGACATCTCGGATTATGTGGATGTTTATATGTATTTTTAACATTGGAACGAACAATGAGTCAAGAAAAGAGAATTGAATTGACCAGGGGAAGGTCTTGAGAGTCAAGAGAAACAACCACAAGCTTTTAGAAACAAGGATGTCAATCTGTAGTTTACCCTAAAAGTTGGTTTGGTATCCTCTTTACAGCTTCGACAAAATTAAGGCTGAGAAGAGACTTATGCTTGGTTCTTTAGTATTATTTCATGGCATACAGCCTGGGTCCTGCTTGACATAATTTCATCATCAGCCACATTTCTTCTTTTGTATGCGTTTTCTACAATTCACAGCAATCTATCTTCATTTTATGTATATGTTTGGTTGATTTTGGTTTTCTTACAGAGCTAGTATACCGAAAACTAGACATAACGATTTATGTTTTTATATCATGTAAAATATTAAATTTTATATATTTATATTTTATTTTATATAAAAATTACGTATTTCAATTCGTGTCAATATAAAAATATGAAATAAATTTTTATTATTTTGTTAAACTTATATATAGTTATTATTAAAATTAAAAAAAAAAAAATTTGTATCATGTGAATGTAATATGATCATATTATTGTGTTATAAATTACGAAAGCTCAAACTTAGAATTTGAAAATCATAACTTGCGTGAATCAATATAAAGTTGAAAACCAGGCCAAAAAAGAAAAAAAACAGTAATTCTCTTTACTAAGTCTGGGATTCCTTAGATAATTTCCATTTTTCTGTCTTTTTCACTTCTAAACCAAGCAAACATCATTTTCTTACCATAGCCTCAGTTGTTACAAGTTCACATTGATAATTTGCTTGCCGTAACTCACATCCAATTAATCTGACGTAAAACTTTAGGCTATGATATTGATATTTGTCATGTTTTGGAATCATTGATATGACATTTTTGTTGATTGGGAAATCCATGTGGCAGCTTTCTTTAAACTCTGGACCATCTTTTAGCCCATCTACTACATGCTGTTAAGACCTAATCTGCACGTTTTATTTCGAATTCTAGGTCCTTTTTGTCAGATTTTTGTCCAACCAACTGATAGTAAGTTTGAGTTCCATAAGTAAATTCTTTTCTACAAAAACGTAAGCTCATTTTTTGAAGGGGTCTTAATCTGAAAATAAGGGAGTATTAAAATTAAAATTTTATATTTATTAGATATTATTTTTAAAAAATAATAAATAAATATACGAATTAATTAAATTAATTTTCGAATTCAGAAACAGGCGTATTTTTATTGATAATCAAAATTTTACTAATTTTAGAAAAAGATTGACCTTTCCGACATAATTATTTCGAACCTAAAGAGTTTGATACAGCAGTCTGATGAAAATTTTTCATTAGTGGGTTTACACTTACGGAAAAAACATTTCTTCTTAATGAGACTCGAAATAAAATAGGTTTAGAACTCCAAATTTTCAATAGATTTATAGTATTTATTTATATATTTATTTTACGTAAAGAAATAAAAATTACTCCCAACTCCATATTATAAAAGTTCAAAGAAGTTCAGTGCCCAAGTTCTTAAAATTAAACAGCAGTTAATAGCCTTAATGCTCTGATCATTTACACCACGTCCACCTTTCCGTAAATAAATTAATAAATAAACAGTTTTTTTTATTATTGACGCCTCTTTTTTAAATTAGATATGATAATTTATATATTTATATAATATAAAATATTAAAATTTATATATTTATATCATATTTTATATAAAAATTACGTATCATAATATATGTAAACATTAATACATGAAACATGTTTTTTATTTTTATTTTATTAAATTCATATATAATTATTTTAAAATTTTTAAACAAAATTATTTTTAGATCTTTTATTTATGTTATATTTATATCATATTATCATATCATATTTTTAATTATTAAATTTAATTAAAATAAAATTTTTTTATTATTTAGACAAAATTAACTAAAGACGGGACGTTACCCATCTTAGGATCAAAACTAGGACATGTAAATTTCAACCAGAATTTACAAATAACTTAACAAGAACTTATATATTATCCAAAGAAAATTTATGATAATTAAAATCAAATCTAAATTTTAAAAATAAAATATTTAATTTTTATCGACTCAATCAATTTTAAGCGGCTACTAGCCTTGTGAATTATTATCCCATAGCAATGAAATCTTTTGGTGGACTATGTCGCCACATTTCCTTTGAAAAAAATAATTTAACTCCTAACAAAACTTCGTCCTTAAAAATCAATTTTTTTTTCATAAAATTAAAACAAAACTACGCCACATGCCTTGCCTGTCACAATTCAAGAACAAGCAAAATCGATGCACAATTTGGCTTAATTCGCGGTTGATTCTAGGTATACCTTTCAATTTCTTTTCTTTCTGGTTTATATCTTAGCTTTCTCGAGTTGTTATTTAATCTCGTTTATAAAATTAAAAAATTTTACTATTAATATGTCAAAAATAATTAAAAAAAAAGTTTGAAAACCTTATGGCCACCAGTACATTGCATAATTACTTTTAAACTTTTTTAAACAATGAATAAATATTTTTGTAATTTAATTTATGGCAAATTTAGCAGTACATAAGAACTTGGATAATTAAACCAACATAAAAATTTTGTATAATTTAGAAAAAAAAAAAAGTATATCAACCTTTTACATAAAGTAAGATGAGGGTAAATTAATTAATAATTTTTTAATTTAATAATAAATTTATAAAACTGCCCGAAATATTAAGAAAATAAGCACTTTAAAATTAAATTTTAATTTCATTTAAGGTTCAGTCCTCAATTATAAATAGGGGAATTTATATCATTTTATTCTCATAAATTAAAGTGAGAGAACCAGTAATCTCCTGCGTAATTGTTAAGCATAATTCCAGTGTGTCATTTATTTTGTGTACCAAATGAAAAAAAAAAAAAAAAAACTCCAAAAATGATGGCTTCTTAATAATAAGGAAGAAATATTAAAATTTTTAAATTTTGAGTTCAAATTTCATTAACTATAAGTTTAGTCTAAGTTGATGTTAATTTTATTTGATTTGTTTATTAATTTATATTTCATAAATTTGTTAGTTGATGTATTCTAAAAGTTACAGATGCGGGTTAAATTTGTCATTATCTTGTGAGTCAATGATGAATTTTTTTCTCTAAATATTTTCAATTTTGTTAATTTTGGGACAAAAAATAATGAAATTGACAATTTTGCCACTTGCATTGGGAAATAATATTTCATAAAATATTTCGATTCTGATTTTTTTATTAAAAAATCAATGAAATTGAAAATATAATGATAAAATTTAATAAATTTAAAATACAGTGACAAAATTCAATATTGAGTTATACAGCATAATGATAAATTTTATTTATAAATCTAAAAGTTATTTAATCGTTCTTGTAAAAAAAAATTTCATTTAAAAAAGGAAAATACTATCCTGTAAGAAGTAGCATGATTCTTTACACAAAAAAAAAAAAAAAAAAAAAACCCAGGAGAAATAAAAAATTCGTAAGTGCCTTAAGATCCAAACTAGTGATCTTAATTCAAGGCATTAAATAACTTATGGAAAATAAAGTTTTACAAAATAATTTATGTGATTGTCATAATTATGCAATTTTCTTATCCACGAATATTAAAAAAAAAAAAAACTTGCATGCATTGATTTTTAAAATTTAAATTTATTAAATATCATATTTTACGGTGATTGTAAGAACCCTAAGTTCATAATTATGTAATTTTCTTATCCACAAATATTAAAAAAAAAAAAAAAACTCGCATGTATTGATATTTAAAATTTAAATTTATTAAATACCATATTTTAGGGTGATTGTATGAACCTTGGTTCATAATTATGCAATTTTGATATAAAAATTAACAATGTAATTTCCACTTTAATGAAAGTATGAAATTAAAAAAATGAATGAAAAGAGAGAGAAAGAGAAAAAGAATCATTTTTATAGAATATTTATGTATATAGATATATTTTTGGATTATAAAAAATGGTTGATCCACATATATAAGTAAGCTATTCATAGACACCCCAATATTGAAAAATAAAAAAATTTGAAGGAAAATTTCTCAAAAATTTTCACTAAACACCCTTTCCGGATAAATTTGATAAATTTATTGACAACTTTTTATATATCTTAAGTGGACACTTTCAAAACAAAACAAAGGAAAAAAAAATTATGATTCTACCGCTGTCAGAAAATATATTCTTCTTTTATTCTATTTATAGATTTCTTTCATAGAATGTAATAAAGAACTAATTTTAGCACTTAGTAAAATTATTAAGAGCAATGGACTTCTAATTTTAATGATAAAGATTCCATGATTTATCTCAAATGCCAAAAAAATTTTATTAAGGAAATGATGCCAACTGGGGATGACCAAGAACCCAATAGAAACAGTTTTATTTTTATTTTTGCATTGTCTCTCATTGCGTGCTCATTAGGATTCTTTGTCATTTTAGTTGATACAATTTTTCCATTGGAAATCCACATCAGAAAACCACAATATCATTGACTCAATTTTTTTTTTTCTTTTAATTTTTGTTTTGATACATATAGATATATGGATAAATAATCTAAATCTACGTCTCGAATCCTAAACCCGGAATTTTAAATTGAAGTAATTAAACTTAAATCCAAATATTGTTCCTATGGTATTTGATTCTGGTTCTCTTTAACAGATTCATCCACAGGTGCCCCTCTGCTGACATCTACAAGAACAAAATCTTGATTGGAAGTCTGATCTGCTGTTTCACTGGTGGTGCCCATTTGCTTGCCACCACTTGCAGCTGCCTTGTTGGTGTCCGAATCTGATGGCATCCGATCCTTGCTCTTACCCCACAAAACTAGGTAAAGGCCAACAACAATGACGATTGCTCCAATAACCCTGCAAAGTTTTGCAGTCATTTGGCCTAAATTAGTTAAAAGATCATGAAACTGCCCAGCCATCTGCTTGATTAAATAGCTTTTAGTGCACAGTCATTGAGCAAATGCCCCCACAAGTTTAGAATTTGTATTAAATTTTTGAATCGATTAATATAATTTTTTCAAGCAGGGGCGAAGCCAGTAAAATCATGAAACGAGATCAAAATAGTGAATCAAGTTAAGAGGGGTCGAGTTTTATATTATAATTTTATCAAAATTTTTGGACGGACCATAGTTCCTGTCTGTCCTTAAATTAGATAATGAATCAAGTTAAGAGGGGTCGAGTTTTATACTATAATATTATTAAAATTTTTGGACAAGACCATGGTCCCTGCCTGCCCTTAGATTCGTCTATGTTTTTGAGTGTTTCAAGATCGGAAGTAAGATAAAAAGATATGTACCTTCCTAAATACATTATCTCAGAGAAGATAAAGGAGCTCATAATGGCGACGATAACCATGGTTAGAGGATTAAAAGCAGCAAAAAATACAGGTCCCTTGGATTGTATTACCATTGCTCCTATATAGTAGGCAACCCCAGAACAGATAATTCCCTGTAGAGTGGACAGATAAGAGCATAAATTGAGCCTTAATTTCCACAAGAACCATAGTTAGTCATAAAGTTTAGCCAAATTCAAATCCAAATGAGCATTCGTTGGCTGAGTTAAGAATTTCTTACACTGTAAACTACAGCAAAGAGTTTATAATCCCAGTGAAGGGACCAAGCAGCAGCATTGCCCCTTTCCATTATCAGGGCAACAATGGCACTTTCGATTGTGCCCATCAAGCAAATTAAAGTTGTCAGGGAGAGCTCAGCAGGGTATGATTTCAGCGTAATCGCCTATAGAAGAAAACATATAATCTCTTACTGATTATATTTATTTTGATTTCAATACGAAAGTGGTTCAAGACAAAGAAAAAGTTGTAAGAGTTGAGGAGAAATCTTACTTGAAGAATGACAAAACAAGCCCAGCAGACACAGCCTGCAAGGATCATGAGAGCACCCTTTACGGGATCATCCATAGTTGTTGCCGCAATATTTGTAGAATGGTGCTGATTGTTGATCACTTTTGTCCATGGCAAATGCAACATTGGCCCATTAACCATTGTCATAATCATTGCTCCTCCAACAGTTCCAATGGTCCCCAAAATCTTTGCCTTGCAATGCTGTTTCCTCATATCAACCTTCTCCAGCCTGCAAACCCAAGCTAGCAAAAATACAAAAGCAGGAAGAACATTGCACAACGCTGTTGCAACAGTTGCTGTTGTATACTTAATACCAGTATAGTATAAGTTCTGATCAATTGCTGGCCTGCAGAGAAGATCAAATGTTTCCTGGTGAAGACAGAGTAAAACATAGAACAAAATTTTGTAGATTGTGATTGTAAATTTTTTGCTTGATGGTCAAGGTTCCTTACTCCAATAAGGCCAGCAGAAATATCTGAGCAAAGACAGACAGGGTCATCTTTGGCCTCACTTTCCTGTTAAAATTCATCAGAATGATTCAGGACAGACTCCAAACTTTTTAAAAAACTTATAAGAAGAGAAGTTACTTTGAGAAACAGACTTGTGGTCCGTTGGTAGAATGCTGGACTCGATGAGGATTTAAATTCTAGCAATCTCAAGTATTAAAAAAAAAAAAAGACATATAGAGAAACAGACCTATCCAAAACAATGGCGAAAGGAGCAAGGACAAGAGTGGCAATGGCAAACCGGTAAACCACGAAGACATGTTGGCTCATACCCTTATTAAGAGCATACTTGGCGACTATGGGCATCCCTGCAGAGCCCAACCTCATAAAAACCATGGCCAAATATGGCATAGCTTGATTGTAAATGCCAGCTGAGGCCTTCATTGTCATGTTATTTTTTCTCTCTTTTATTTCTCAATGACAAAATAGAGATTTCTTTGCAGAATGAAGCAGATGATGCATGTACTTATATACTCTTTTCCTTTTACTTTTGCATGTAAAAATTACAACTTGATAACTTATGCACGTCTTCTAAACTCTAAAGTTGGGGCTTTTTTTGTGTGGATATAAAATTAGCAATTCAAAATTTAGAGCATTTGACTCAATAATCGGTATATGTAATCCATATCCAATGAGAAGTATTCGACTATTTATTTTTCAAATAAAAAAAATATAAGTACTAAGAGATTAAAAAAAAAAAGTTACACTGCAATTTAAATTTTAAATTACGAATTTATTAAATATTAGTTTTTGAAAATTATTGTATTAATCAATTGAATTCAATTCCATCTTTATGGTTGCAAATTTTTTAGTACCACAACAAAGTTAATGTATTAATTAAGTTATTTAATCTTCATTACTTTTTTTTTTTTTGAGATGCATAACGAAACACGATTACTAAAGCAATTTTATTTTCTTGAAATGAAGAATTTCTCCCTTCTATGACTTTCTTTTTTCATTAATCAGTACAAAAATATATGAATTGCTAAGTAGTTGGTACAATAGAAGGGACCATTCTTGGATGCCATTAAATACATATATAATTTTTATTAGATACAATTTTGATAAGATAAAATTTCAAACCTAATTCTTTAAGTAAAGTACATAAATGCCTTTTTCTAAATTAAATAATTAAAAAATGTGCACAAAAACTTTGTTAATAGTGAACCTTTCTTCAAATAAAATGCTTAAAAAATAAAAGGGTTAATTTAATTGGTCTATACAATTAATCTTAAAACACAATATTTAATAAATTTAATATTTAAATTCTAAAATTTATAATTATTTTATTTATTTTCAAAGGGCCATCTTTTTTATATGCGGTTAAAAAAAATTACTTCCCACTAAAATTACCAACTCTTAGAAAAAAAATGCCTGGGCTTCACCTAACATCAAGACCAGCAGCCCTTTCCAGTTGTAATATATATCAAGCACCAATATACATTGCCTTTGCTGACAGATTAGTGGAGCAAAAACAAGAGAGAAAGGTGCCACAGCACCATGTACATTATATTGTCTACCAAAGTGAAAAATTGGTGGGGTTTGGCTCAAGTACTCTTGGGAGAATGAATTAAAAAATAAAAAAGGGGGAAGGGGGGTGTTTCATGAGCCTCTACAAATGGGATTGATATTTAAAAAATATAGCACTTTGTTTCCTTTTATCATAATTTTTTATATTTTGTTATAGATTTGATCATTTATGCATTCATAGTTATTTATTTTGTATGTAATATGTATAAAATATAAAAATTATTACGTTATAATTTTTTTCACAAGTTAAATATAAATTTTTTTATTAAATTAGTATATAATTTTATATACTAATATTAGATTGTTAAAAAATAATATGAGAAAAAAATGAATATAACACAAATGAGAATACTTAAATGGATGTGAGGTAATACTAGAAGAGATAAAATTAAAAATTAAAAAATTAAAAAAAAATTAAGAGTAATTCAAATTGAGTAAAAGATAAGAAAAGATCGATTGAGATAGTTTGTACGTATGAAACATAAGTTTAGTTGTACACTAATGAAGAGAATTGAATGTCTAAATTTAAGAGAAATCAAAATTTTTAAAAATAAATCACGAAAAATATGAATGTAAATAATAAAAAATAATATGATAATTAAGGATTTTAAAAAAATTATTATTGATAAAAATAAGTAACGTAAAAATATTCAAATTATAAACTAACATAATTCTTTTATTTAATTTTTTATATAGTTGATTTCAGAGTATGAAATATAAAATTTAATGTATTTTCGTAATATATAATTTTATCAAAATTTTAAAAAAATTATATATTTTTTATTTAAAATTACCGTATCTATTTGCCTTGACTTTGCGGAGAAAGGGTGGGGGGTGTTCCCCACTATTTTCTCATTGGAAAACTAGTCATTTCTGATAGAGATGGTTTGTATTTGCTGACAATATTCCCGTCGTCACAACAACTAAAAAGAAACACGAATTATGTTGCTATTATAATACCTCATGCACTACATTGCGAATCTATCTCTCATGAGAAGACATTTCCAATTGCTCGGTCGTTGATTTAGGGTATATTTAAATAACGGTAAGATTAATTTTAGTAAAATTAAAAATAATAATAAAAATAAAATTATTTATTATAATGATAAAATTAAAATTAATAATAAAATATATGTTTAGAAGTAAAATTAATTATAATAGTAAAGTGAATTGTAGTAAAAATAAAAATGACTGTTAAAGATATTATAATAAAAATTATATATGATTTAATATTTATAAAATTAATAAATAATTAAAAATAATTTTTATATTTATTGATAAATAATTAAAAATTAATAAAAATAATAATATATCAAATAATATTTTTATTATATTACATTAATAAAATTATTTATTATTTCTAAATAAAAATGAAATTGGAAAAATAATGAAAAAAATTATTAAAAAAAGATATGTTAATAATTATAATATTATATAACATGTAAAAATGAAAAAAAAAAATACAAAGGTGGCCAGTTGGCCACTAGAGGTGTATTCATCAATGGCTAAAAGCCACAAAACACACCAGATGTTTAACATCCAAATAGGTACGTGGTTCAATAGACAAGAATTTTTATGGCACTCTCAAGGTTAAACAATTGAGAATTTTAAGGTGCTAAAGGGTGAAAAAATTGAAAATCATGGGCAAGTTTGATGACAGAAAATGTGATCTGTCTCATTAATCAATACATGCATTATTAATATTCAGAAGTGAGGTCTCCCACAAGTCTTACTTTCTGAATCAGAACACATTTATAACCTTTTTGTGTGTGGCAATGACAAGGTTCTTAGTATTTTGACTTCTGATTCTCTTGGCTTAGATATTAGATAGGTATCAGTCCACTTGTGAAGTCAAACACACCAACAATATCTTATTATGTATGAACATTTTTTCCATAATTTTAGTTTAATTTTTTATTATATTCTTGATTTAAAGTCAAAATGCATATTATAAAATATGAAAATACGCATCCAATCTATAAGATGTTATCGATTTTAATTCAAAAATCTCATAATTTTATCTTGCAAAAATGTTTTATGAGTTTAAAATTTTATATATATATCATATCATATTTTTTAAATTTTCAATATGAAATTTGTGTATGATCATACCTGGCCTGATATTGTTTCTTTTCTATAGGCAGTCATTAGCTTAATCTCTGCTTTCACATTCTTGAAGGAGTTCAGGTTAGTAGGAAAAAAAAAATCAGATCCCTAGCAGGTATTTGTTGTGATTTTCATATTCAGTTCCCTCAAACAGATTCATCAGTAGGTGTCACTCTACTGCAGGTTACATCCAGGACAACAAAGTCTTGATTAGAAACCATTGTTGTCTACTCCATTGGAGTTATTTGCTGATCTTTTGATGCTTCCATTTTGATGTTAAGATTTGATCAAAGTTGATCCTTGCTCTCACCCAAAAAACCACATAGAGGCCAATGACAATTACCATTGCTCCGTGACCCTATAAAGGTCCAATAAGGTGGTGTAGATCAGCACATAATTGCTAAATTATGAAGACTAAAAACAGGTCCCCAAGTTTTCATTATCACTCCTTGAACTTAATAAGCAATTCCAGAACAGATTATTCCCTGCAAGCAGACAAAAATGTTACAGTAATTATAGCCTGGAAAGCCTTCTAATCCACACCCTCTAATTTATTCATTGAGTTTTTATTGAATTGAGAGTTTCTTATACTGTATGTTGCAGCTAAGATTTAGCATCCAAATGTATAAACCAGACTGCAGCATTGCCAGCTTTCATTGCCAGGGCTACTATGCTTCCTTCAATGGTGCCCACCAATCAGATTAAAGGTCTTAGAGAGAGCTCAGCAGGGTATTATTTTAGTGTAATTGACTATAAAAGAAAACATTACATCTTTGGCAATTGAACATGAAAATGTTAAGACTTAATGAGAAAACCTACTTGTAGAATCACGAGAGCAGCACTGATAGGATCTTGCTTAGCTGCAGCACTTGAAAATACAAGCTGGTTATTTCATTTTGTCCAGGGCAACTGCAACATTGGTCCATTGATCAGAGCATTAGCATTGCTCCCCTAACTGTCACAATGGTGCCTAATATCTTTTCCTGGCTATGTAGTTTTCTGATATTAACCTTCTCCAGCCTGAAAAAAATTCTCCACAGATTGAGTTAATCCACTGCCTAACTGTTCAATTATGACTCAATTCCCATCCTTTATCATCCAAAAATATTAAAGTGTTACTACCTGAATCAGCCATAGAACTCATTGGTGTAAGTGAATCAGCTTACAACATAGTAAAAGTAGTGGACTTAAAGGGGTAAAAAAAGAAAGGACAGGAGGCATCCTACAAGCCTTGACATCCTAATCAGATTACATTGACAGCACCTTTTTTGATTATCATTCTAAGTTTCTGATTTCCAATTCTTTCTCTAGCTATAGCCATAGTTTTGATAGCTACTAGTCCACTGTTGGTAGTAGTTTAATATTGATTTGGACGTCTCTTCTTTGGTTTATAAACTTTAGCCAATGGGATTTTTTTTACAAAGAAATCTTAATTTAAGCATAGAAAGAAAAATTACATGTGCTAAAATTTAATCTTAAAATTTATTAAATATCACGTGTAATTACATAATCCAATTAGATTTATATTCAAGATATTTACATATAAAGAAGCATTACTCTTAGCCTCAAATGTTTGATTTGGTGGAAGAAATTTGTGTTTCTAAATTAAAGCATAATAATGAAAGGTTGGATAAAATTTCAGTTTTGCCTTTCATGCCACTTTTCTGAATCTAATGATTTCTTTTCTTGTGGATTTGATGGCGTGTATTACTATTAAACTAATCTTTTGTCAACAAAAATGCAATCCAACTCAGACATTCATAAGCTCACGCCAGGTTCCAATTTGTCTTTTAACATTTTGCATATCTGATGCACTATCAGCCATAAATTACACATGTTTTCTTTGCCCATATTTCAAAAAGAAAGGGAAGCCCTTGGATTTTTATTTTTTTTTAATCTTTTCTTTTTCAGTTGCTTTGCTTGGTATTGCAAATTGGTGCATCATCATCCTGCGCTGTAGCAATGGAGTGCAAATCAAAAAGCAATATTGCCATAAGAAAAATATAGCCAACCAAAAGGCTTATGGTCTACATTACAGACAATAATTAGTTGCATTAGGAAGCTATTGTGATGCTTTAACTCCCAATTTTTGTTTCACAATTAAGTAGAAAGAAAACAATGACTTTTCCATGTTAAATGCATTGGATTATATTTAGTTCATTGTTGACCTGTATGCTGGTTACCTCCAAAGAAAGTCCTAAGAACTCAGCAAGGGAAAGAAGCCACTGAATCAGGGTTTAACTCAGTTGATTTATTCAGCCACCGTTAAGGATGAGTTGGAACATTTTCTGATTTTCATGTATTGCTTGCAATCAAGTTTGGGTTAAAAAATATTTAGATTCAGTCAATTCAGGTTAATAGTTCATCTCTTCTTTTAGGTTAGAAGAGTTAACTTTATTTTAAAGGAGGTCGCAGCATGGGGATAAAAGAATGGGTTACAAGTGTTGAGATTTGCCGGATGCAAATCTTGAATTATAGACTTACTGAATGACATCTTAAAGTGACTGTATGAACCAACTAAAATAAGTATCGAGTTCAAGAAACATTTTAGAGCAAGAGACTATTAGCCTTTTAGTTGTGGAAGCAAAAGTAATTGTGCAAGATTGACAAATCAACCTGCCTACCACCTAGCAGTCATTTGCATCAGTTATTTTGGAAGCATGGATGAAAGCATCAGCGAAAAGAGATGGAAACATGGACAAGCACAGGAAAAAATGGAGGAAATTTTCCGAGAGTAATTACAATGAACAATACATTTGTACGTCAACAGTTTCAGATTCTTGAAACAAATTAACATAGAGCAAGAAATGCCATTGGTTTTAGCAGAATATGATTTGAATAAAAACTTCTGAAAATCAAGAGAAGATACCCTTGTTAGATTTATTGGAATGGTTTTGAACAGGCTTAGAATGGCTCTAGTAAGGATACTTGATTGGTTCTGGTTGCATGGCAAGGTTTAGAATCTTAGCCTGTTCATTTTGGTGAATCTTCAGGAAACCAGTGGCTGTGGCAGCAGATGGACCTCTACCAACATATTTGATATCTTCTACGGATCCCCTACCTAATTCCATCATGGCAGTGCAAAGGCGCGGCGCGATATGGGTGTAAGCACCCATGTTCATTGGCTCTTCCTGGCACCAGACAATCTCAGCATCTGATACAATCAAGAAAACAATATGAAGAGATCATATTCAATAAAGAACTGGCATATTCAGTAAAGCATACTTGTTATAAGTTCACAGGACATACTTGGATAGCGCTTCAGCTCTCGCTGGATGAGATCATAGGGGAATGGACAAAGCTGTTCCACCCTGCAGATTGCAACATCATTTGCATTGAGCCTTTGACGCTCCTCGTCTAGCTCATAATAAATCTGAAAATCAAGAACAACTATAATTGACTTTTAATTAAAATTAGATTCAAGATATCATGTTTCACTAGAAAATGTATAATTAACAATCTTTTTTTTAAGGCAAACATACCTTTCCAGAACAAAGAACCAAGCGCCTGATACCCTTCTCAAGATCAGAGTGGTCATTCTTGTCCTTTATAAGGCGTTTGAATCTGGTTCCCTGTTTGTTAAAGCCTTGATGGCCTTGGACATCATCAAATTCAGATAAATTTGATTTGCAGAACTTGTAGCGAAGCAGGTTCTTCGGAGACATTACAATCAGAGGCTTACGGAATTCCCTGTGTATCTACAAATGAAGCCATGTATATAAGCAAGCTAGCAACTGATATATCAGTACAAGAAGAAGTATTCAACTCACCTGCCGGCGTAAGACATGGAAATAATTTGCAGGAGTTGTAGTATTCACAACCTGCCAATTGCATTTCTGTATTTGCTTTCGATGTGTTGGATCCATTTCAGGTATTTCATAAGGATTCTCATCACTCATCTGCCATTGTCACAGTAAGAATAGTCATTGGAATTTTATGCTGATTCATAACTATTATTGTCCCTCAAAAATACCTCATAAGTATGGCTTTAAGTCTCTACTTATATATCATATTGTATCATCACAATTAGCCACTGTGACATTGAGAGTGTCACAATTATAATTGAAACATAAAAGTTAATACATATGCCAGGTATGATTGGTGTGCACCTGTAGGAAACGTTCCAGCCTTGCGCTTGAATGTTCAGGACCTTGGCCGTCATAACCATGAGGAAGCAGTACTATAAGCCCTGTCTGACGTAGCCACTTGGACTCTCCACTGCTTAGAAACTGATCAAATACAACTTGAGCGCCATTAGAAAAATCACCGAATTGACCCTCCCAGAGAACAAATGCATCTGGATTTTCCATCGAGTAACCCAGTTCAAATCCAAGAACACCAAATTCTGAAAGAGAGCTGCCAACAGGACAAATATTCCTCAATTAGATGACTACATATAAAATAACACACCTAAAGAGCTAAAGTTGCATCCTTTGAATTTGTATCATTTGAACCTCATCTATGATCAGTATTCATTCCACAGTTGCATCTTAAGGCACAAAAGATGCAGAACATTGAATTTGTATCTGAGAGGTACACAATCTGATCGATGCCATGCTGGAAAAGTTAATTGCAAATCTTGGATTATTATGCATCTTAGAAAGCATCATGAAAAATTACATTTTGAGGTTTGCAATGGATTCCATGTTATTATTTGATAGAGATCATGGAGTTTATACTTGCTTGTACTTAAAAAGCTTATCTTAATACGACCGGAAGTTGGCTCGAGTGACAAATAGAGTTCGCTCCTCTCTTCGTTGCCTGAGTTCAATCTGTTGGGAAGCTATAGGTAGATAATTTCTCATGAATTCATTAGGTCCGACCTATATAAGCCTATTTGGACCAGTCCGGAGGGGATGTACTGAACAAAGCCTAGAACCCCCTTACTGCTCAACCAAAAGAAAAAAAAAAAAAAAACAGCTTATATTAAAGAAGACCGTGCAATTTTTCCCCTTTTTGGCCAAAGGCCCTAGAAAGAAACATGGATGCATAGATAGTTAAAAGATGACCTAAGGAGTAAAGGATGATAGAATTTGAAGTTTACATAAAAAGAAAGAATAGCAGGAAATTTTCTACGTCAAGATGAAATATAACTGTAATAGTCAATTTGTTAAAACAAAATATAAGAGTGTAAAACATAGCAGCAAGATGTTACTGCTGACAGAGTCTAGTTTATGGCAAATACATACAAATATTAACAAGCTTGTACCTGTTACTCACAGTAAACATCTCTTCATTCTGATTCTCCATGACATGGTCTAGTGGGCAATACTGATTTCCTGTTTTCTGATCATGAATTATTGCATGCCGATGACTAAATGTGCCTCTTTCAACATCCTGCCCACTTAGTCTAACATGGTAGCCTTCCACTAGCAATGTTGCAAAAGCAAGTGCCTCCCCCATTGCCCAGTCAAGGTCCTCCCCAGTTTCAATCATCCGTGCACGATCTTCATATACCTTTTTTACTGCTCTATGGGGCTCGAAATCTTCAGGAAGAACTGTGATTGCTCTGCCAACTTTCTTTAGTATATCTTGGTTGACCCTGTTGATAGCAAGGAAATTTAAGCACAAAATCCTGGAGTTTGATAAACATGAACAATGATAATAGATGTGCTAACCCAGTGTTTCGGATTCGTGAAAGCTGCTCAGGTGACTTGAATCCTTCCCAATTAGTTGAAAGCCAGTCCCTTCTTTGCTGAACATACTCTTTACTATTCAAGAATTCTTCATTAAGAATGGAATCAACCTTTTTGTGTATCCTATCAATATCTTCTTCCGTCACCTCCCCAGATTCTAGAAGCTTTTTTTTGTAAATTTCAAGAGATGAGGGATGCTTTCGAATGACCTGTTAGCACCAGCTCAAGTTAAGAAACAACAACAAAATGAGTAAAAGGGATATAAAAAGACTGACCTTGTACATTTTAGGCTGTGTGAAAAATGGCTCATCAATCTCATTATGTCCAAATCTTCGATAACACACGATATCAACTACAACATCTGAATGGAAAGTCTGGCGCCATTGTGCTGCAAGCTCACATACATGAACAACAGCCTCCATATCGTCGCCATTGACATGAAAAATGGGAGCATTTAAGGCCTTGGCAACATCAGTACAATATTGTGAAGATCTTCCGGACCTTGGATCAGTCGTAAAGGCCACTTGATTGTTTACTACAATGTGTATAGTCCCACCTGTTGTGTAGTTTGGCAGTGCACTAAGGTGTAGAGTTTCATACACCACCCCTTGTCCAGCAAAGCTACCATCCCCATGAATCAATACAGCCATGTTCCGTGTCCGATCCAAATCGTTGGAAAAATATTGCTTAGCTCTAGTTTTTCCAATAACAACTGGGTCTACAGCTTCTAAATGACTTGGATTTGCAACCAAAGACAGATGAATCATCTTCCCACCCCTAGTTGGGCGATCATAAGAAGTTCCCAAATGGTACTTCACATCACCAGATCCTGTATAAAGCCCAGTTTCATCTTCAAACTTTGAGTTCTTGTCAAACTCACTGAATATCTGACGTAGTGGTTTTCGAAAAACGTTACCCAAAATGTTTAACCTGCCTCTATGAGGCATTCCAACAACTATACACTCAACCCCCAGATCAGCAGCTCTGTCAAACATCTCCTTCATACCAGGAATCAAAGTCTCCCCACCTTCAAGCCCAAATCTCTTAGCTGTTTTCATCTTTGAGGCCAAGAAATTCTCAAACTGTGTACTCCATATAAGCCTATCAAGAATGACAACACGGCGATCCTTGGTGTATTGCATTGGTGTTGGAGTTTCAATCTTTTCCCTTAACCAATTGCATTTCTCACGCTCGTCAATGTGCATATACTCATAACCGATGCTCCCACAATATGCTTGCTCAAGACGGGTCAATATGGACCTCAGAGTCTGTACCGGACGATTTTCGGATAAAAATCCTGACATACTCCACACACCTATGAAGAATTCCCTATCAAGATCAGTTTCTGTGAAACCATAAAATGCAGGGTCTAATTCATAAGGAATTTCCCTTTCCTCCAAACACAGTGGGTCTAAATTTGCTTTCAGGTGACCATTAACTTGGTATGCCCTAACAAGCAACATCAAACGCATGCTCTCTTGAATTGTTTGGCCTGAAACTCCTGGCGACCCTGTTGCCTGTCCAACAAAATTCCTGAAGAAATTATCCCAGGATTCATCAACACTGTCTGGATCAGCTTCCCAAGCTCTTTGAAGTTCTTCCAAGTACACACTACTTGTACCATCAAGAAAGCTATCAGCTAGCTTGGAAAGAGGCACGGCTCGTGGAACAGGTGACTTTTGCTCGTTTGAATTGATGGCATTGGAGTGAAAATATTGATTTTGCAAAGGAAGAATTCTTCTTCTTGTTGCATATGATCCACCCTGTGTAAGAGTTCTTCTGATGGCTAGCCATCCCAAACAATAACTTGCTCTAAACCAAGCCATTACTTTTGACACAAGCTATCCAAAAGAATTGATAGTAGGCACTCAAGATTGTACTTCCAAGGCTTAATCCTCAATCAATCAACATCTAAAACAAAGCAAAAACAAAGTTAAGTCACTGAAGGAGATCTAAAGAATAAAAATTTCTATAATATTATGGCAAGAGATGGAGAAAAAGATACATATGGTGAAATACTAAGTTAATAACAATGCAAAACCCAGTAAAATTTATGACAGAACTACAAATCCATAATGCATAATGTATGAGTTTTAAATCTTCTTAAGGTATTCATAAAAACATGTGTGGATCAATGGATGTTCATGTGCATAAAGGAGGGAAAAAAAAACAACCTACTGGGGCACATTCTATCATATAAAGATCAAAGGAGCCGCGGATAAAAATTAAGAGTTAGACTTGATTCATGCAAGTTTTGTTGAATAAACATGCAGTGAAAGATTAAACAATGATTTTAAAAAAATAAAAATGTAGAATCACAGAGAAAGGGATACTGAATCACACCCAGCGGTTAGCTAGAGAGACATTAGAAGAAACTCAAACTAAAAATTAATAAATAAAAAAAGATAAAAAGTAATTAATTGAGAAAGACTGTTAAAAGAGTTAACAATTTTTTTTTTTTTTTTTTTTTTTTTTGAGAAGCCTGAAAATGTAAAAAGAAAATTGAAATTTATGGTTCAAAGGATTAAGGAGATAAGTATGGGTTGGCAGAGTCAAGTGGTGCATTTTCCATTTTAAGTGGAGACAGTTAGGGTCTAACCATCTAAGGTTCGTTGTATTGTATATGGATTTAACTTGTGCAACATGTTTTGTTTAAATAACCTTGACTCAGCTGACAAAAAAATATTTGTTTTTCTCATGTTATTTAAGTTCGAATTAATTGGAAAACTGTAAAATGATATATTTTTTTGAGCTTGTTAAATAGAACGGAAATAAATCTACTTGAATTTGCCCAAAAAAAATATTAAACGAAATTAAAAAATCTCTTATTATTTAGTACTTATATCAAAAATTAAATTCAAAAATTCAAGTTTTAATGGTTGGAATATCCCGACCATGACCCATTTGTTTTGTTTTTATGCCACTCAAATTTTCCATCTCTTCAATGTTAATCATAGAAAGTTTATATAAAGATTGTTTGATGCTGATTTAGACACATTTCATATAACTTCTTTATCATTTGTACATGAATACATGAACTGTCTTCTATTATTTACTAAATATTAGTAACACTAGGGATATGCCTGTTTTCCCCTTAAGACATTTTATGCTACAATTTTTTTATAATTGAAAAAAATCATTAAAAAAATCATTTGAAATATAAAAAAATAAAATAAAATCAGAGTTTTGACTGTTATTTGAGAAAATTGTAAAATGCTATAGCTTTTCAAGTTTTGACTTTTGGCAAGGTTCAGACAGTGGTGTTCGACTTGATTGGTTCAGGTTGAATGGCCATTTGCACAAGCTCGGTTTGTTCCTTCACAAGAACCTGATAGAAACCAGTAGCAGTGGCAGCAGATGGAGCACGACCAACATATTTGATATCCTCAAAGGTTCCTCTACCCCGAGCATTCATTGAAGTGGCAAGACGAGGTGCAATGTAATTATATGCACCCATGTTCATTGGTTCTTCTTGGCACCAAACAATCTCTGCGTCTGAAATAACCCGGAAAGATAAATATCGGAAATCATGTCTCAATGTCAAAAAAAAAGGGTTAATGTCTTCAATAATCCATAAATTATAATGAATACGTTCAATATAATCTCTAAATTTTAAAAAATTTTAATGTGATACCTTAACTATAAATCTTTTTAACGATGCAATACTCACCCCAAAAGTAATTAGCTCCGAATAATAATATATGATTGATAAATAGCTCTCAAATACTATATTAGTTAACAAATTCATAGTCCAAGCACTACATTAGAGATTTTAAAGTTCAAGGACCACATTAAATATTTCACTATAGTTCAGAGGCCATTCAAGACATTAATCCTGAAAAATAAAGCCTCAAAATACATGAAAATTTACTAAACTAACAGCACATAACCCCACCCCACCCCCCACCCCCCAAGCTAGCACATAAAGTTTCTCAATAAAAGAAAGATGGAGAGATGAGGCTCCAAAATGAATAAAAGTTCTAAGAAACCTACAGAAATTTATTCAGGAGCAAGCTTTTGATTAGCAAGTACTATACCCTAATGAATTCTCAAAACATTTCGGGTCAAAAGAAAGTTATAAAATGCTTCACGTTGTGTCTTTAGTTTCAATGAGAGCCATAGATCAAGTCCTAGTCTAGATTAGGACTACATACTTGGATGTCGCTTAAACTCCCACTGGATGAGGTCATAAGGGAATGGGCAAAGCTGCTCCACACGACATATAGCAACATCAGTTGCATTGGTCTTCCTTCGCTCATCATCAAGTTCACGGTAAACCTGAAAGCAATTAGAATATTGATTATTGTATCAAAACCAATACAGATATATTAAACCTGCAGAGAAGGTTCAGCACATATTTTTCCTCGGTAGGCTTAGAAAACTAAGCTTGAAGCCCAAGAAAATGACAATTTATGAACTCTTAGTTGTCTGATTCACTCTACCAGAAAAAATTCCAGAATTAAATAGCTTTTAAAAGTGACACTAGAGGACAACAAGCAGAAAGCAAGGGCATAGCAGACCTTTCCAGAACAAAGTACCAAGCGTCTGATACCCTCCTCAAGGTCAGAGTGCATATTCTGATCCTTTATGAGGCACTTAAATCTGGTTCCTTGTTTATCAAAACCAGAGTGGCCTTGGACATCATCAAATTCAGAAAGATTTGATTTGCAGTCCTTGTGACAAAGCAAGTTTTTGGGGGACATCACAATAAGCGGATTTTGGAATTCCCTGTGTATCTGAGAGAGCAGAGAAGAAACTATTACGACAAGGAAATGGCAAGACTAGGCTCTGAGCTGAAACATCTTTTTTTGGGATAAATAAAGCTGAAACATCATTAGTAACCATTAATTACACTCACCTGAAACATCACTAGTAACCATTAGTTGCACTCACCTGACGCTGTAGAACATGGAAGCAATTGGCAGGTGTTGTAACATTAACCACCTGCCAGTAGCACTCCTGAATTTGCTTACAAAGAGTTGGATCCATCTCAGGTATCACAAAAGGATTGTCATCACTCATCTGCAAAAATTTATAAAGATATAGTTATTATGTGCAGTCAAGTCCATTTTTCCTTTTTTTTTTATTTTTATGTTTTTGATGCATACAAAGACATGCTAGGGAGCATAGCATGAATGTGAGTACAGGGCGAGAGATGATGAAGCTAAATCAAGATGCAAAGAACAATGCATGTTGTTTCACGGGGAATACCTGAAGAAACCGCTCTAGTCGGGCACTCGAATGTTCAGGACCTTGCCCAACATAACCATGAGGAAGCAGCACAACCAGACCAGTTTGACGCAGCCACTTTGACTCCCCACTACTCAGAAACTGATCGAAGATCACTTGAGCAACATTAGCAAAGTCACCAAACTGAGCTTCCCACATAACCAAGGAATTCGGATTTTCCATCGAGTAACCCAATTCGAATCCAAGCACACCAAATTCAGAAAGAGAACTGCACTCAAGACCACATGTTGCTCAAAAAAGAATCCAAAATTAACAAAAGGAACAAAAGGACAAAGGCTACACAAAATTATCATGCGCAATCTAACAATTCTCAGGAAAGGACATATAACTTTGCACAATAACTGAATGCCGATGACTGAATGTACCCCTTTCAACATCCTGACCACTCAACCTAACACGGTTACCTTCCACCAACAAGATAGCAAATGCAAGTGCTTCACCCATTGCCCAGTCAAGACCCTCCCCTGTCTCAATCATCTGTGCACATTGTTCATAAACCTTCCTTACTGCTCTATGAGGCTTAAAATTATCTGGAAGGGTTGCGATTGCTTTGCCAACATTCTTCAATATCTCAGGTTTAACCCTGCCTAACATGAAAGTTTCATCAGTGTGTATAGATCAGATATACCCAAAACGAAAATTGAAAATGACAATGAAGCCAACAAACCCAGTGTTTCAAACACGTGAAAGTTGTTCAGGTGACTTGAATCCTGTCCAATAAGAAGAAAGCCAGTCCCTTCTTTTGGGAACATAATCTTTGCTGGCCACAAATTCTTCATTAAGAATTGAACTTACCTTCCGACTTATATTACCAATGTCTTCCTCTGTCACCTGCCCAGACTCCAACAATTTGTTTTGGTAGATCTGAAGAGCTGAGGGATGATTTCGAATGAACTATTAGAACCAAAAAGAATCTAAATGTGAAGTTTGCGTCATTTCTCAGGAGCATATAGAGCCACAAAAAAATAATGGCATGAACAACTATGACATGTGTAAAGGGAAAATACAAAACCAAACAGGTAACTGGACTGGCAGACCTTTTACATCTTTGGCTGTGTGAACAATGGTTCATCGATCTCATTATGCCCAAATTGACAATAACAGACCAAATAAACCACCACATCTGAATGGAAGGTTTGGCGCCATTCTGCTGCAAGTTCACATACGTGGACCACTGCCTCAACATCATCTCCATTTACATGGAAAATGGGAGCATTCAAGGCTTTGGCAACATCAGTACAATACTGTGAAGATCAGCCAGCCCTTGGTTCAGTTGTAAATGCCACTTGTTTGTTGACAACAATATGTATAGTCCCACCAGTTGTGTAGTTTGGAAGTGCACTAAGATGAAGAGTTTCATAGACTACACCCTGTTCAGCAAAGCTGCCATCTCCATGAATTAAAACAGCCATGTTCTTGGTCCTATCCACATCATTGAAGTAATAATGCTTAGCTCTAGTTTTTCCAACAACAACTAGGTCCACAGCTTCCAAGTGACTGGGGTTAGCAACTAAAGACAAATGGATTCTCTTTCCACCTCTTGTTGGTCGATCACAAGAAGTTCCCAAGTGATATTTGACAGCCCCAGTTCTTGTGTAAAGCCCAACTTCATCCACAGGCTTTGTACCACCACTGAACTCACTAAATATTTGACGAAGTGGCGTTCGGACAACATTACCTAGCACATTCAGTCTTCCTCTATGAAGCAATCCAATAACTATGCTCTCAACACCAAGGTCTGCAGCCCTGTCAAACATCTCTTTCATTCCAGGAATTAAAGTCTCACCACCTTCTAGCCCAAACCTCTTAGCCGTTGTCCACTTAGTGTCCAAGAAATTTTCAAACTGTGTACTCCATATAAGCCTATAAAGAATGACTTCACGCCGCTGGCGATTGTACTGCGTCAATGTGGGGGTTTCAATCTTGTCTCTCAACCAGTTACGCTTATCACGGTCAGCAATGTGCATGTGCTCAAACCCAATGCTTCCACAGTAAGCCTATTCAAGCCAAGTTAAAATCAACCTAAGTGTTTGCACAGGTTGGTTTTCTGATAAAAGTCCAGACATCCTCCACACACCTAAAAAGAATTCTCTATCAAGATCAGCTTCAGTAAAAGCATAAAGAGCTGGATCCATATCATCAGGGATTTCTCTTTCCCCTAAATCCAAGGGATCCAACTTTGCTTTCATGTGACCATTGACCCGGTAAGCCCTCACAAGCAATAACAACCGCATACTCTCCTGAATGGTCTGGCCTGAAATTCCAAGGGATGTCACAGCCTGACCCACAAAATTCCTGAAGAAATTGTCCCATGATTCATCAACGCTATCTGGGTCAGCTTCCCAGGCCCTCTGAAGCTCCTCTAAGTACACACTACTGGTTCCATCTAGAAACTATCAGTTAGCTTATAAGAGGCACAGGGCGAGGAACAGGTGCAGACTATGCTTTAGATTTAAAGACAGTGGTGTGAAAATATCGACTCTGTGAAGGAACAATGCGTGATCTTGCAGCATGCCATCCACCCTGAGACAAAGTCATCCTAATAGAAAGCTTTGCCACACTTGACCCAGCTCTAAGCCACCCCATATCTATCAATCAACAATATTTATGTGCCATCAATTCTCAAATAGTGCACTGTACCTCCACACTCAGAACTCAATCAAAAAACCATCTAGCCTTATTTTACCTATTATAAACCTATTTAACAAAAAAAACACAAATTAATAAACAGGATACATATATGAAAATCTGACAACATTGATAGCTCAAGTGCAGGAAATGCATAAAATTGTTCAATTTATGCATAAAAGTGACAATTTTGATAGTTTAAATGCATGAAAACACATAAAAATTTTCAATTTATGACCAAATAAAATTAGTGCAGAACAAGGTTATGAATACAAGTTAAGAATACCAATGCTCGAATGCTAATAGCCGAATAAAACAATATCGAATTTCAACTGCATTAACATCAATAATAAAACTAATAATGTCAACAAATGCACAAAATCTTCAAGAAGAATCAAAAGTACAGCTTACAACAATAGAAATTAAATCCAAAAACATATTCAAAGTAAGTTTTCAGCGTTTCCACTTGTTCAAACAGATCAAATCAATTCAATTTTCTTGGAATAAATTTTTTTTTTTAAAAAAAAGTGAAGCTGTTGACTGATTATAGCATATTCATCCAGACAGAAACTAACAAAAAAATCATTAAAAAAAAACAAAATAAACAACAAATGCAAGCAAAACAAAATTTACAAATAATAATAATAACAATAATAATAAAGGAAGCAGATTACCAGTGAAACTCAAGAGATATTCAGTGTTTAGAGACATAAGATGAAAAATGAAAAAATTGATGAAAGTTAAGGACTGTTTGGAGAGGAGGAAAATAAAGGGAGTGACCCGGAAAATTGGAGAGGAAATTAAAACACCAAGGCCACGGTAACGGTAATTGTTCGCTTCAGACTATTTAAGACCAAAATCTTGGTCCGACTCCACCTTTTTAGTATCTTTCCTTTTTTTCTCGTATATTTTTCTCCAGAATTATCTAAATTTCATTTTTTCCCCTTTTATTTTTTCTTTTTATAATTTGGACCACGCCCTTTTTTAAAATCTTAAATGAAAATAAAATTAAAATTGTTGGAATATACCTATATATATATATAGAAAATGATTTCTTATTTAATATTTATTTAGCATGAAAATTATTTAAAAAAATACTTCCCTTTTTATAAGATTTAGGAGAAAATTATTAAAACCTCTATAAATTATAAATTACTCCGAATAAGAAACTTTTCTTCTGTTTAGGGTAACATGTAAAAATAATTTAGTATTCCATTTTTTTTAATTTTAAATATGAAGCACATGGCTAATTCATCATTGTTAAATTTATATATAGTGCAATATAAAAAATGGAAAGGCAAAAAAGTTTGATTTTTTAAATTTCAATTGCCTTAAAAAAAAATAATGATTATTTGATTAAATTTGAATCGTTCAAAATCATTTATGTAAATTTATTCAAAATTTTTTATTTCAACACGAGAAGTTTTATTATAAAATAATATATCACAAATAATAATCTAATTATTTCTATGCTATCTTTGTTTTGCAATATTTTGTTTTCATCATCAATTGAACTTATGCATTAAATGGTATGGAAGAAAGCAATTATGTCTTCCCCAATCCACTCCTAAAAATTTATTTATAATGTAGCTTATATACTTGGATTTTAGAGAAGTGTCAAATATACGTATATGTTTAACACAAATATATTTTATTTTTTAAAAAGAATTTTCATTTATTAAAAAATTATATTTTTTTATTTATATTTAGGTACAAAAATTTAAGAGTATAAATGACATATAAATACTGATAAATTATTCAAATTTTATTTGGATAAAACTTGAATTTGGTTCGATTGTCGAGTTGAGTTCAAATAACTCGACTTATTGAATAAGTCAAATTCGCACTTTTTATATTCACCTCAAGTGATTTATGAGTTTAATTAAATTTTTATATTTTAATATATATTTTTATTATTTTGATTAAAATTATTATTTTATCATTATGTATATTTTTGAATTCGAATTTAAATACAAATAATTGAGTTTAAAATCAAACATAAAAATCGAATTCGTTTTTTATTTGATAGACAAAAACAATTAAATAAATTTGAGTAACTCAATTTTTACTTCGAATTAAGCTTCAGTTTGAAATTTAAAATTTTATTGAATTTGAATAGCTTCAAGTAACGAATTTCAAATTAAATGTAATTTTGAACGTCTCATTATATTGATTTGACTCAACTCAATTATATTCATAAGAGATTAAATCTTTTAAATATCTAAAATAAATTTATAAAAGTAAATTTATTTACATTGGATGCATGTTCAAATTTGAAACTCACTCTCAAATCCGAATTACAAAGCTATAAATTGCTAAATTCCCTGATCGATGAATTAGTGATGAATACAGCTAATTCAATCATAATTCTAAGAATATATCAGAAATACATTCACACATATTCTGATCTATAAATCAAAAGCAGATGCAAGATTTTTTTCACTCATTTTTTGAGAATCAAATTCATAATTACATTTCATTTCTTTTTATTTACAATCAATATTGAACAAAATTCCATGGTTCCCAATAATTAAACACCAAACCACCCATTTGGGCACCCAAAAAAGCCAAAAAAAAAAAAAAAAGCTTAACTTTAGCTGAAATGTATGAAGGAATCCTTTATTTTGAAGCAAACAGCTCACTGCCAAGAGTAATAGTAGCAGTACCTTCACCCATCACTGTTGTTAGTGCCATCTCTTTCTCATGAATCTGTTCCAGCTCATGCACAACTTTCTCCATTTTTGGCCTGTTTTTTCCTGGAAATGTCATGCATTTTAATGTCAGCCTGATCAAATCCCTGATTCCTTCCATGGTGAAGCTTCCTGCTAGTCGATGGTCGACAAAGTTGTTGGAACTCAATCGTGATCGGACCTTCAACATGTTCATACAGAAAACAAAACAAACCTCAATTATTGACAGTTACTATCTCAGATTTTTTCTTGTATCAAAGTTTCCATTTCATGAACCAAATATTAAGATCTCCATTGTAATAATGGAGGTCATAGTTTAACAACTAATCAACTACAAAACAAATTTGTTTTAGTGTACATTTGAATGGATGAATAATAAGATTAATTTCAATGAAATTAAAAATAATAATAATAATAATAGTAAAATTAGATGAAATTAAAATCAACGATACAAAGACAACGATAATAATAAAATTTTTCATTAGCGATTGACTTCTTTTTAATCATTAAAGTAATTGAAGCCAACCCAAATGCACTCAGGTGTGATTGGGCTCAAAAATGGTATTGGTATCCAAATTGGACCTAAGTTTCTAGTTCCAAAGACTAACTTTCTTTAAATAATTTGTCTAAAGGGTAAATCCCGAAGTACAAAATTTTCCCGTTTTACGAGTAGGAATGAAGGTCCATGATACGTAATCTTGTCTCTTCATTTTTTTTGTAAAGAAACTATTTTTAAGACTCCAACCTGTGATTTTTCGGTCACAAAAAACCAATCTTACTATTGCTCTAAGGTTCACTTTCCCTAATAATTTGTCTATGCAAATCCAAAATGAGTGAATTTTCCTTAGAAATCATAAACATTAAACAGTATATACCCATTGTATTAGACTTTCATTGGAACCCAATGAATTAATATGCACAGCCTCCTGTCCAGTTATGAGCTCCAAAAGAAATACCCCAAAGCTGTAAACATCACTCATTTCAGTGAAGGTCCCTGATGCTTCTACCCTGACATTGATTCACATGATAAACTGAAGGTGAAGGCAGTTCATTTCTGCTATAAAAAAAACTTAAAGCAATATAGAAGAAATCAATTTATACTCTGGATCTTGAAAAACAGTGACACTAGACGTGCGAGATGGACCTGCTTCCTCCATTCTTTGAACTAGATTCGAAATCCCAGCATCGGCAACCTTAGCTATGAAGTTCTCATCAACCATGACATTGGCTGTTTTGAAATTCCTGTGAACTAATGGAGGTTTCAGGCCATGCAAATGACATAAACCTGCACAGGATGAACATAATTTCCCTTTATTTTGAAACATTCTCGAATTAGTCTAGCATTTCCTCACCATATAGTAATTCTTTTGGATTCACCTTTAGCTGCCCCCAGAGCTATGGATAGTCTCTGCTTGAACTCTATTCTAGTTGATGACTCCATTCTAGAATCTGCCAAGAATGGATGGTCATGATGCATTCATTTCATTGATGATCACTAAGAACAAACTAATGTTGTTAACGATTCATACCATATAGGTGATTGCACATGCTGCCATTTGGTATATATTCATAGACCAACATTTGTGATCCATTTTCTTGACAGTAACCTAGAAGAGTAACTACATTGCGGTGATGAATCTCTGACAGATAAATTACCTGTTTTAGATACATAGATATTAACTTTCACTCTGAATTCTACAAGTTTAGAGATGTTCAAATGTAAAATTATGAATCTGTTAACCAATGTGATAGCTATTTATAAGACATATATCATCATTTGGAGCTAACAATGTTAGAGATGAGAACCACTTTAATTAACAGATTCATAATTTATGTATCATGTTCAAAAATGTTTTAAGTTGAGACACTACATTGAATATTTCATTGTAATTCAGGGACCATTTGTGATATTAACTATAGCTTTAGATTATGCAAAAATCAAAGTGGTGGAAGAAAGAATAAAGCTTGACAGTTCATGGGGCATGGTTATACCTCTGCAACAAACTCCTGGCGAGGAGCAGCTTGACGTCTTTTAATGGCTACAACGGTGTCACGAAGCAAACCTTTATAGACTGAACCAAAACTCCCATGTCCAATGAGACTACTTTCATTGAATTGCTTGGTAGCTTGCTGCAACTCTTCAATTGTGAACCTTCCTCCCTGAGTTCCAAGTGAAGAAAATCCAGCTGCAGAACTTGGATCAGGAATGTATGTAGTGATTGAAGAAATGAAGTATGAAATGAATTGCCAGAAAGAATTTTTCTCTTGGACATGAAATCGTACCTCTTGCAGAAGGATCTGAGGAACCTGTATCCGAAGTCCTATTTGAGAAGTTCTTATTCTGTGATTTGCAGAACCAAATGAATCCAATTACCATAGCCAGAAATGCAACTGCTCCCATGGCACCTCCAACTATAGTTACAATCTTCGACATCGTCTTCATTGAACATTGAACCTGCAATGCTGATTAACCAGAGAATTTTCAATTCAAGTATTTAACAAAAAAGCTGCTAATCCTTGTCCTAGAGGCTATAGAGCAATGGCAGACTAGATTCTAGAATCATGAACTCGACATTTTAGTACCTGCCACAGCAATCAGAGATCAAATGGTCCTTATAATTGAACAATTGCTCCTGTTGGTGCACTCCAATTCTTGGTGCCAACAAAGTATTCAAAGAACAACTGATTTTTTGATTAGTTGGATTCAGTGCTGCTTCTTCAAGCAACCCTTTTTTCTTTTTCCAATTAAACCACTTCGCTGTCCAATAATGTTTCAGCAACTCATCAAAGCAACTCTAGAGAAGCTTGATTGATGAAGACAAACCCTTTTTTTCATGTGCTTTTGAAGGGGTGGGGGGAGATATTAAAAATGAGATAGCTCAAAGGATAAGTTATTACCCAATATCTTGCTTTTGATGGACTTGATGATGGTATGCAAATCAGGTATTGATTCACTAAAACTTCATTACCTATCTCCATTCTTCAAAATAAAGCCAGTACCAAGGACAGAAGGAAAGGCATTTGATGCTGACAAAGGATTCCTGTCAAGCAAACAAAGAGATGTTAAAACTATGTAAAAAAAAATTTAACATTTTTCTTTTGTAAAAAAAAAAACGGTAGCCTGGGATAAAAAGAAGCGTTACAAATGCTATGATTTGAACCCGATGATTATATAAATTAATTGAGTTACGATGCGGAATGAAGGTTTAACATATTTGAACATACAATAAAAATATAAAATTAATAACCATTTAAGCCCCTCCACACCAAAAAATCAATGCCCATGTGGGTGTTGTTACAAGCTGTAAATATATATATATATATATATATATTTTATTATATCATGTGGATTTGTACAGCTATGAAAATGACTTTAAGATGCCAAGTTTTGGAAGACATAATTATTGAAGGGGATCAAAGGAAAAGGTAGCCATCAGCATATCAATATCAAAGACCCTTCTCCTGAATTTACTCTTTCTTCCTTTTGCATCTTTTTGTTATCTGATCTGGAAAGAAAAGAGGGCATATTTGTTTTAGTCGACAGAGAGGGACTCATTGTTAAGGTGGGGTCTTTGACAGCTAGGTGCATCAACAAGACACTACCATAGCAAGTTAAAAATGGTCTAAATTTTTCCCATGGTTGACGTTTTTCTTGGTTTTTATTGCTCAAGAATAAATATTTTGCTGCTTTGCTTGAAATGGGAATTTGGATTTATACCCCTCTCTTTATTGCTTTCTTTTGATAGTATAAATACTCATTTCTCATGCATATAGTTGAGCTGTTAGCACTTGACAAATCATGGGTGACGTTAATAAGCAACAGGATAAATTTGATAAGTCATATATTTATAGCATATTTGTTTTATATCAAATATGTGTAAAATACGAAAATTATCGTATCACTATTCGTATTGACATTTCAAACGCATAACACAATTTTTTGTTTTTGTTCGTGTTTCTTTTATTATTTTTGTGTCATTTGTCATGTACATCATAGCTAAAAGGGATTGGTGGAAATGAAAGTTGTCTGGTTATGAAGGTCTGAAAAGCTGAAGTACCAGAAGGAACCAATGTTAGGGACAAGTTTTGTTAGGTTTCTCAGAAACAGGATGTTGTTTTGGATTTTTTTTTTTTCTTCCCAAGGCTTATTGCAGCTATCAGCAAGAAAGTTTTTTGTCCCCAAGTCTCCATATGCAGAAATAAAATATTTCTTTAGTTTTCTTCACTCAATAGACCTAATGGACAAAAACTATTCCAATTTCAATTCCCATTGGATCTCTTTGTTCCTTGGTATTTGGTAAATTTCTTGGTCAAAGATCATCCCAATGAGTTTTGGTTTTCACACTACCATTATATCTGTATGCTTGGACTGCAACTGCCATCTGCATGTGCAGTTCTCCATCAAGGAACCAATTATTTTTCATGTTCCCTGGCTGCATGTGGCTGTTAGTCAAGTTGATAAATTAGTCATACATTTCATTGAATCTAGCACTAAGGTTTTTTTTACAAAGATACAGCAGTCTAAAGATAAGAAAAAGGATACGGATATTTGATTTGAATTCCAAACCTGTATAATGTAATCTCTTAAGATGATTACGTAAATCAATTAAACCAAATTCCGAATTCATCACTCAAAATCTTCCAGTGCAAGTATTATTTTGGTGTCCGAAAAAATCAAGGAAAAAAATAAATATCAAGGCAACGAAAGAGATCTGTCCTTTTTTTGTTCCATATCAGACAATATCAAATCAAGACAAAAACCATGGATAAATTCAACACCAGAACTAAATTTTAGCTGTCATTTTTGGGTTTCCAATGCTGTTTTGATATATTAATGCATAAATTGATCAAAGAAAGAAAAAAAAAAAAACCCTCTTCTTGTTTAGTTTAATCAATTGTTTTTCACCAATGATTGGTTTCAGTTCCTATAGAATTGACCATGCAAATTACATTTTGCTTCCATCATCAGTGACTCCATCATTTCTATTCCCTTTGTCAAAAAGTCTTGTTTTCCAACACAGTAAGTAAATCTTTAAAATCAAATTTTGCATGTTACTTGATCAAATCCCTCCGTTTGTTTCGCCATAAATTTAGCCCCAGAATGTTTCCACATGTTCTTTAACCTGATTCAGATTGGTTTTCATAATTGTAAGTGAGGCAGTTGCTTGTTCCTAGCTCTCGTGTATCTTTAAAATTATGGATGGTAATATATAATAAATAAAAGATATCCATTATTATTTGATTCGATTATATCATATTCAGATAATTATAAATAATTAATTAATAAATTTAAATAATTATTTTATTATTCGTGATAGACTCAAAGTGGATATAAATAGTATCTTGTGAATATTTAATATTCGAATCCGTTTAAATTTTAATAAATATTAATAGATATCTGAATTCATTATCTATTCACGTAAGTAAAATATATAAAGTTTTTTATTTTTAGAAGATTTCAGATTTCAAAAAATAATTTTTATTTATTATTAATTAAAAAAATTAAAATTAAAATTAAATTCTTGTTTATTTTTTATTTTGATAAAAAATTTAAATAAATAAATATTTTAACAAATTTAAATATTATAAATATTAAACGGATTCGAATATGAATATTTTAAAATTAAGGATATTCATTTCATTATCATTTTTATTTAAAATTGTTCAAAAAATAATAATTCAATCAAAACATGAAAATAACTCAATTTTTTCTAAAAATTTAAGGGAAAATCAAGCAAAATTGAGGTAAAACAATGAAATATTATTATATTTAATTATGTATAATTGTATCAGGGACACAAATAAAAAAATTTGAATCCTTTAGGCGGAGTCTTCGCCTTTTTGACCCTTCACTTTGTGTGCGCATTTGTTAAATTATCTCAGCTAGAAAAATGCTGATCAGTAGGAAAGAGACAAAGGGAGAAGCAATCATGTTAGAAAAGTATTATTTTTCTAGAGGGCCATAGACGGGTTACCTATGTGGGTTAAGTTGAACATAGGTTACCATAAAAAATTTGTTTTGTGCATATTTTAAAAGATGCTGACGTTATTCTTTAGTGAAAGAAAAAGAAGTGATATATATATATATATATAATAATTTTAAAAAATAAAAAATAATCATTGTTTGGTTTAAGTAAGTTCATCCTCTTTTCGAGAACTGATTCAAGTAAATTTATATATGAATTTATCAAATTCATAAAATTTTATTTTTTTATATTTTTTAATGGATTCGAACTCAAATAATAATAAAAAATATCTCCTTTTTATCATTTGATCCAACTATGATTAAAAATAAATTTTTTTTAGTATTTTAAACAGTTAATAATTGAATTTTAATTATTAAATTGAAAATTCAGCACTATTTTCAGGGTTGGTTTGGGTGATTTTAGAGAAGCGATGGAAACAGTGATGTTATCATCGACTATAATTATCTACCAGTTCAAGTACAATTGATATAATTGAGGCATATATGAGGTTTGGAGATGAAATTTACGGTGTCAGCCAATAGGTTTATGTTTTTCTAATTTCTTCTCTAACAGAATATGAGAAATTACCTTTTGATTTATCAGAAACCGAGGAAAAATTAGTAATAGGATATCAAATTTGGTTTATTTTATGTTGCTTTCTATCGAAATCTATTACTTTCTTCCTTATTTGTAACAGTTCTTTACTCGGGGGGTTGGAATATTTCCATTCCGTAGGTGGAAAGTCTAAGCTCTAAGCATAATTATTCTCTTGAGCCCATCTGACACTTCCAAACAACATGAGCGAATTGTAAAAGCATTCTTATTATTCACCATGTTAAAATATTATATTCATATTATATTTTACATAAAAATTATTTTTTATAATTCATGTCAGTATAAAAACATAAAATATAATTTTTTAATTTTATTAAATTTATTTATAATTTTTTAAAAATTTTAAATCATATTATTTTTATATTTTTTATTCATATCATATTATTGTATTGTGTTTCAAATTATCAAATCTATACAAAAGTAAATTAAGAACTTATGGGCTTCATTTTTCTCCCTTTTTAAGAGAAACCAAGCTTGAGTTTAGATTATCTATCTACATCAAGACAAATACATAACAAAACAAGGATCATTCGAGTTCAAGAAGATTAAAGACACATGCTTATAAATTCCACAAATGAACTGCCTTTTAACAAGATAAGCCTGGCAGTTGGAAAAGAATTGCAGAGATTAATACATGAAGCCACCATAATGTTGCTGCAATTAGTTTTACACTTGAGTGACTGCCAAAAGCTGAACCCTCCATCCCGACTCTGCAAACTTGTTTTATTCCCTTTAGGATCCACAGCAACTCGACTGTTGAGCAGCTTGACCACCACTTGCCGCAGGGTCTTGCTGGTTAATTTTGAGTGTCGCGGGCTGTAACCACAAACAAGGCATCCATCATTTGTGAATATAGTAGAGTTAATGATACAAATGATCCCTGACCTATGATTAAATGTTCTATGTGATTATCTGATTCATATTAGTTAACGGATTCATAATTCAGGTGCCACATTAGAGATTTTTAAAGTTCAGCTATCACATTGTCATTTGTAACATTAACAAGATATAATATTTTGAGGTGCCATTGGCATGGTTACTCAAGGTGAATAAAGAAACATAAAAGATCCATAGATGAGAGAATACCTCAGCCCTATTATCAGATTCAGCAAGCCTTTGCTTAATGTCCCGGGCTATTGAAAAGAAAACCTCTTCCACATTCAAATTTGTCTTTGCACTCTGCAGATTACATTATTTTGCAATTAGCCTAAAATAGTTAATAGCATTACAAAAAAAAAAAAAGATCTAGCCAGCAGCAAACACGCAACTTACAGTTTCAAAGAACTTGATACCATACTCATCAGCAAGAGCTTGACCCTTGGAGGTTGGCACAGCCTGGAAAAGAGACCGTTTCCAATTATAACAGGAGAAATGTGCCCTTCTTGTGTGCATGTGTAAGGAATAAGGAGACCCAGCCTTTAAAGGCCAAGAATTATAAATTCACCCACAACTCATCTTTTTCTCACACTTATTTAAGTGTGAGTGTGCACAGACTACAAGAAGCAAAGTCGGTAATAAAAGTCATGCAACAGAGAAGGAATTGCCTCCTGACTTAATGAACCCACCAACATAAACAAGCAAGTTCTATAATAATCAAAAGTGAAAATCTTACCCTTTTGTTTTCATCCATGTCAGCCTTGTTCCCAACCAGTATCTTGTTGACATTGTCTGAAGCATGTTGTTCAATATTGCGAATCCAGTTCCTAATATCTGTACATGAACAGAAGCTGGCTCTATAAGACTTGAAGAGATGTATGAACCACTGCAAGAAACTCCATTCCAACAGAGAGAGATCCTAAACGATCCACCCCAGTAAAAGCAAGGATGAGGATGATCAACTAACAGTAATTTCACTGCCTAACCCAATGAAGGGCACAAGCATAGAAATGATGGAAATTATCCAACAACAATGGCTTATCAATCCATCTAAATTGAAAATTTCAAAATATGTCAAAAACAGAATTAAGAAAGATGAGAAATTACTGTTGAAAGATGACTCATCAGTCACATCATAAACCAGCAAAATCCCCATCGCTCCACGATAGTAAGCTACATGAACATGATCCATCAGTAAGGTTCTGTTGTAATAATTCAAAAAGAAAAAGAAAATTCAGCCCCACAAGCTTAAACACACCTGTTGTAATAGTTCGAAATCGCTCTTGACCAGCTGTATCCCAGATTTGTAATTTGATCCTCTTAGCATCAAGCTCGATGGTTCTTATCTTAAAATCAATGCTGTAAATGAAAACAGAACAGTCAATAAGTGAAAATGTTCAACAAAGTTCTGAATCAAACTTCTAAATCTTAAGAGTATCAAATGAGTAGATATCTCAGAAAATATATAGGGCAGAGAAGTGAGCGGAGGAGTAGAAGGGTTAAGACCCTAGCATAAATAGTTCATTAAGCACCCTCTGGAAGAGTATATACAATATTCAAATTCGATACCAATTACCAAGAGATTGTCTAAGACAGATAAAAGAAAAAATGAGATCATGGTACTGTAAACTTCATTCCATCCCTATAATGTTGTGGTTTCATTGGAAGTGAAACCGAATGATGCAAATCACCCTCAATTCTACCCTGTTAGTCATGTTATTAAGTGACTCTAACACTACATTGTAAGTGCTCCTCTCAGCATTCACACTTCTGAAATGCAAACGTTGCAAAATAATTTTCACGAGTTGCCAGGGATACAAACCCAATAGTGGTTATGAAACTAGTAGTAAAGGAACCATCAGAAAAGCGTAAAAGCAGACAACTCTTCCCCACACCTGCATATTCAAACAAGAAAATCACAGTCAAGAAAATCGAACCCTGAGTACCTAAAATCTAGTAAGTTATTGGCCTACGATGTTGGAATTGATGCAACCATTTTGCATGGGTTTACATAAGGCCACATTTATTCCATTTATTAGAAAAGGAAAAATGAAGAGCCAAGAGAAACAGCTATGCTGCACTAAAATAAAGCCGAGGAAACTCTAAAATTCATAATTAAACATTTGAAGTTCTACTTTAAAGACAAACTCAGACAGAAAAGTAGTTCTTAATGCAGGGTCAGCATTCAATATTATGAGAGAACACAAGGAAAGTTCAGCTGGGAGTAGAAGGTGTAGTTGCAGATTTGAAAAAGAAAGCCTGCCGTCTAACACATGGAGAGTTCTGCAGCCATGCTGCTCAATACATGTTAGCACACACTATTTCCCCTAAGTGTTCAGTGAACTACTCCAAACCAGAGATACAAATGAGCTACATGCTGAAGGCTATCTGAGTTACCTTGGCCAAATGTCAGCGCCACAGCACATTTAATGTTATGCCAAATTCAATCCCCAGCATTAGCTTACATAATCAATACCTTGACTTCTAAGCACAGCCATACACAGCATGCATTTTCAAGTAAAATCAACAAAAAAATGTTAATAAAACAAAAACAGTTCTATTTCCTACCTTGCATCAGATCAAGTTTTAAAGCATCCACCCACCATCAGTTTGATATGCCACAGCACAACAAATAATCCATATGCAAGTCTCAGCATCATGATTCTATATTACAGACTACAATTAAGAAAATCAACAAAAGCCCCCAACCTTTACCCCACCAAAACACCTGAATCAGGTATATCAAAACAATCCTGCTAATTTCCATTTCTGCAGGTGCAGAATCCTAGCCAACTAAACATTTGCTATAGAATCCTAAAACAGAACCATGATAAAACAAAAAAACAAAACAAAAAACTATTAACACTTGCATAGGTCATAGCCCGGGTACAAACTTGCATAAAATTACTCAATGAAAATCCACTATTCAGTGATCATAAGGCAAAAAAACAGACTCTAGCTAATCCTGTACATGACACGTTCTATGTTACAATCAAACAAAACCTCCTTCATCATGATCCCAATCTAATTTCACCAATATGTATATTTGTTTCATGGAATGTAGCATTTAATATGGCCAGAATCAAAATTTAAAGAAAACCCATTTCTTCAAACCAAAGAAAAAGCTCAAAATCAAAAACCCAAAAAAAAAAATTCTAAAATCAAAGCCATAACATCTCAAACCAAAAACCATATAGCATCTAGCCTCTTTCACAATAAAATCCTAAAAACCCATTAAATCAAAACCATCAAAAAATAACAAAAAAAAAAAAAAATTCAATACCCATGTTTCAATTTCCAATTTTATAACAATAAAAATTATTACCTAACCAAAAGAGAAAAAAAATTACCACTATCACCAATCAAAAGAAGCTTAATGAGGTAATCATAATCAGCCCGAGCTCTTGCTGGTGGTGCAGCCATCGATCCTCAAAAACCACAAACAACAATCCCAGTTTTATGATAAAAAATCTAATCCTTTTCTCTTACTGATCTGCATTCAAAGAAAACAACAATCATTTCCAAAAAAATTATAAAAATCAGATCAAAATGAGAAATTGAAAAGAGAAAGAGAGAACCTAAGACGCAGAGGGTAGCAAAAACATGAGAGAGACAAAGTCCAATAAATTTGGGAATGTCCTTTTTCTGCTTCCTTTGATTCGTATCAAGGTTCGGTTCCTGATATACGATTGGTTGGAAGAGTATGTTTATACAAGCTTGGCCACATGGAATTTTTTTTCTTATGCTAAAATTAAATCAAATTATCAAATTTATTCATTTAATGTAAACTACTAAAATTTATATACTTTATATCATATTACATATAAAATTTACATATTATAATTTATATTGATATATTAAAATTTTAAATTGTGTAACTTTCATATTTATTTTTTACATCGTGTTTGTATTTTAAATTATCAAATTTAATTAAAATAATGTTTATTTGAGTTTTTTTTTTATTATTGATTTTCTCTTAAATTAAAACAGAAAATAAAGGTTTTTTACGATATAGTATTAAATATGTTAAAATTTTACTTTTGAATAGTTTTAAATTTTAAAAATATTTTTTTAAACAAATTTATTATTACAATATTTAAAAATTTTAGTTTTTATTTCATTCCTCCATCCATCAACTATGGATACATACTCAATTATCATAGAAGTTTCTAAAAAAGAAAAACGACTAAAGCATTCACAAATTTAGCAAATTTTTTCCAAAATTAATATTTAAATAATAAAATTAAATTAAACATTTGAAAAATTAGTTATAAAAAAAAAAACAAAAATGAATATTAAGAACTACATCCAAATTAAAATTATTTAAACAATAAAAAGTATTTTATAATTTTACATAAATATGCTGAAGAATTATTAATGATTTAAAGCATGAAAGAGCCTACCTGTTGAGTCATTTCTTGCATGTGATCAACTATAAAGAATGACCACATAAATCATATGTCCACTCACCTAATAACAATAACATAAAATATCATTCACGTAAATTTGATGAATTTTTTTATTATATTTAGCATTTAACATTTATTCTTTTTAATAAATGCAAAGAAATGAGAAACAATAATGCTAGGAATTTTTTTTTGTTCATTGAGAATTTTTGTTTGTTGTGTTATATTTTAAGAATTTTTTGTCAATATTTTTTAAATCATAAACATAAACCTATGAAAAACGAATATTTATTAGTCTGAACAGTAAGGAATTCAAATTTTCTTAAGTAAGATCTCGATTTTCAAGTTTTTATGAATGAAAAAAATAGATGTTGAGATAGCTTACCTCTTTTATGGGATCCGACCTAACTCGATTTTAGAATAATCGAAACCCAAAATAATTATCGGATACTAAAAAATCTTAAATAAAAAAAAATCATAAACTTATGAAAATTCAAAATTAAATTTAATTAATATTTATAATTATTTTTAAAAAATAATATTCAATGAGTATGAAATTTTATTTTCAATACCGGTTATATCTTTTTACATTTGGATTTAAAATATATATAAATAAAAGAAAGGCTTTAAATTTTCTTTTAAATGTTTTATTGTCAAAGAAAAAAGATAGAAACAGCAAGTAGGGTGAGATATGTAAGAGTAACTATAATTTTTTTGTTCAAAGTCACATAATTACATAAAGAATAAATATTAATCACTTTATTATTTAATAAATTCTCCTAAAATTTTATATTTGAAAATGTAACACACATTTTTTAAATTAAACTTTTTCATTTATTATCATTTAAGCAAAATTGAAAATTATATTTTTAGTTTCACTTTGTAAATAAGGTTATGTGTATCTAAACATTTGATTCACTACTTAATACATAATTTTCTTTAACTTAAAAAAAAAAAGAATTTTAATCCTACATTATTGTGTACATTATTATATGCACACGCGCAGGCATGTTTTCGAAAGAAAGCTCGTAAAATAATTTCATTATGATTATTTGAACGAATTACTTTTAAGTTTGCAATACAGATGATTTCTTCAATAAAGTTTGTTATTTATTTAAGTTTATTTTAGAGTTAATTAGTTTTGACTAGAAATAATCGCATAAATCTTTTGATAACACGGATTTTTATTTTTTAATAATATTTCATGATCAAGATAATTGGTTAAATTTTATGAAATTATTTCATAAAAGTTCATTGATATCTTCTTTTTATAAAATAAATCGACTTCGATTATTGAATAATTCATATCACTTCTGCTTTTATTATAACAAAAGATTTCTTTTTTATGTGAAAAATGTCCGTATCAATAATTATGATTTTACGTATGGATAATTCTTTAATATTTTGTTTATTCGCAACAAAATATTTTTTTTATGCGATGATAAAAAAAAACATGCTTTTTGGAGAAGAGATACTATTTCACCTTCACCGATCGAGTTGTAGATATCTAATATATTCATATCTAATGATTTTTTGCAAAGTGGTGATGAAATGTATAACTCATACAAATCTTTCCAGTTTGCAATTCGATCCTATCCATTAGTTCGTAAAGCTATTTACTTGATTACAGATATTTATGGAACACCTCTAACAAATGAACAAATAGTTAAATTTGAAAGAATTTATTGCCAACCTCTTTCGGATATGAATCCATCTGATTCATAAGACATTAATTAAGACAAAATTTTGGAGAAACATTTTTTTCACCCTTAATTCTTTATTGAAAAAGACAAAAAAAAAATGTTAATGTCATCCAAATCCCATACAGATAATTCAAGAGGCTGAATTGTGCTGATGTTTGAGAACAACAAAACCACTAAAGCCATGAAAAAGCTTTAGGCAGATCTTGTAAGATTCAAAATACTTTCTTTTAAGTTAGAGTTTAAAATAAGATCAAATTTATGAGACTAAAATAATATATTTTAGATAAATTTCAAAGATGTCATCCGTATTTTTTTTTTGTCTTAATTAAGCTTCGAAAGCTGGCAATCATGCGTTGTATTTGATCCGTGTCATTCTAATCACTTATAAGATTTGTAAGATAGAAGGCTGAAAGGTAAGACTAATCCTACACTTTCCATAAATTACCTTCTTTACTTATACCCTTTTCTTTATCTAACTATTAATTTGGATGTTGGAATGTATCTTGAAATTTTAATTTTGATGTCTCCAAAAAATGAACCAAACCAAATTATATATTTTTATTAGTTTTTATATATTTTTTAAAATTTTATAAAATAAAAATAATTATTTTATACATAAATATATTTAAATATATTAAAAATCATACTAAAAAAATATATATAAAACAATTAAATTTAGACATCATAAATTAAACCGAATTAATAGAATTAGGTTTGGATTGGATCAAATCGTTTTAAAAATTCATTTTGATTTTGAAATAGATTTTAAAAATTTATAATTTTATATATTATTCAAAAAAATAAAATTGAATCCAATCCATTAAAATTATTATCATCCTTACAAAAAATACCTCATAGATTCCACAACAGTCAAATATCCAGTTGAATTATTTGAAAAAAAAAAGTGAAATGAAAAAGAAAAGATAATGTGCTTTAAAGTATATGCTGAGAAGATCCTCTCCCCACCTTCTCTACTCCATTGAAAAGCAAACATCTGCTCTCCTATGAAAGGCCTCTCTCTGGGAAAATTTTCCTTTCCATTATTGAATTCCCCTTAGCTTTCTTCTGCTATTTTCATGGAGTCTCATGCTGGATTTTCTATGGCAATGGTGATGGTAGAAGGAAAGCAGCTGCAGTGACAAGAATATTGAAGTGAAATAATGGAGGGATTAATCTTCTCTCAAGGTTAAGTCATGATGGTCAATCCCAATAGGGCAACCATGAACCTTTGGCAATATTTATGTATTTTATTTTTATATATAAAAAATTATTATTATTATTATTATTATGGCTTGAAATATTATCATGTTTAAGAACATCTTAATGTAAGGATTTATCTGATCAATATATATCCGGATTTATCTTTTTCTTTATTTTTAATTTTTTTGTAGCTTTCTTAGTAAATTTTTTTATTAATTTTTTCTATAAATTAAACTATAATCCAAAAATAGAAGAAAATATTACAGATGTTCAGATTTAAACTCCAGATCTATTAGATATGATCACTTAAAAATGATTATATTAATCAATTAATTTAATTTTTGAATTATTATTATTATTATGTCTTGAAATATTATCATGTTTAAACACATCTTAATGTAAGGATTTATCTGATCAAAATATATATAGATTTATCTTTTACTTTATTGTTAATTTTCTTGTAGCTTTTCTAGTATTTTTTATTATTTTTTTTGCAAATTAAACTATAATTTGAAGGCAGAAGAAAGGATTTCGGATGTTCATATTTGAAGATATCATATCTTAAAAATAATTATATTAATAACTTTATTTAATTTTTGAATTCTTATTAATTTCTTTATTTATATATTTATTTATATTGATTCTCCAGTACATACTGCATTTTTTTAAAAAATTTGTTTATGTTTTTATCCAATTAATGCCCTGCTTGATTAATTTACCCTTAAAGAAAAAAAAATTTTAATGGAAAAAAGTTTGAAAATTCTTATTGTTAAAAGAATAAACTTTTTTTTTTTTTAAGTTTATTGTTGGTATGAGGTGTTTGCGATGATCACTTTAGAAGACAGGAAGAACAAAATATTGAAGATTTTTCTTGTTGGCCACTAAACAAGACAAGAAGATAAAGCCCCAATTCCCAGCACATAATTGACTTCAAACTGGGCGTTCCCCCACTTTCATATATTTTAAACCGGCTTTTTTTTTTTTTTTTTTTAATAAATTTATTATTTTCTTATGAAACTCTTAGATATTTTTAAACTTTGTATAATTTTTTTTCCAACAATTTTAAAGACGCATTTTTTTTATCGGATTTAATGATACTATTGGCACAAAAAAAAAACTAAACAAAGTAAAAAAAAAAAAAACTAAATTTAATAATTTAAAATGTAATATCATAATATGATATGAATATAATTTTAAAAAATATAAAAATAATATAATTTAAAATTTTAATAATAATTATACATAAATTTAATAAAATTTTAAAAATATATTTTGTATTTTAATTTGATATAAATTATAATATATAATTTTTATATAAAATATAATATAAATTTTAATATTTTAATATTTTATACAAAATAAATATTTGAATTGTTGAATGTAATTTTAACCACTCACTAAACCTTAAATTACTTAATGATTCATTGAATTACTATTAAGGAGCTCAAACAGTTGAAGAAATAAATTATCGGATAAATTACACTTGTGATTCTTAAATTATGAGATGCAAATTTGAATTCTATAATTTTAAAAGTAATCCATTAATTCTTTTAATGTTAAAATTTAAGGACCAAAATGTTATGTAATTGAAAGTTAAAAACTATAGGTGTAATTTACCCTAAAAAGCAAGGTAGGAAATTGAAATAAAATAAAAATTAAAAGCCTTGGCGTTTTCAAGTTGTCGTCCACTCGTCGACTGGTCGACTCGTCGCCGTTGAGAAAGGGAAAAAAAAATTAAAATTACAGTCTTATCGTTTGTCACCTCAATTCTCTTTCCCTTTCTCTCGCTCTCCGAAGAAGCCCTCGGCCTTTCTCGCTCTTTCCTTCGGTTTCTTGGGAAACAAAATGGTAAACACTTTCTCCTCAACTTCTTTTTTACTTCACTAACCCTATCTCCTAACCCCTGAAATTTTCAGTCTTTTTTTTGAATTTCTTTTTCATTTTTATTTCATGCAGCTTTAAAAAATGTTTGATCTGTCGAATTAGGTATAATTTTCATAAAATTAGGCGTAGTACTTCTCCAATTTAGGGTTTGATTAGGTATTTCTTTACTTTCCCCAATCTGATTTCAATGTTCGATTCAATCTTCACGTCTGACCTTTGACTGATTGCGGTCACATAATACTTCTCATGCGCTTTGCTTCATTTCGCATTTTTATTTACTTTATATATGAATTAGAATATTTGCGGTTTCTAATTTTAGTAAATTTTGTGATAAATAAAAATTATTTTATTCTTTTTGTTTTTCTGTCCATTTGCGTTTGCATAATGTTTGGGTATCAAAAGGGGATTGATATTAGAAGGAAATGTTAATGGTGAGCTTGAGAAAACGAGAAGGAATAATGTAGAATAAGCATTTTCACTAAGCAATTTATAATAAAAAGGAATAAATCCATTAACTTGGTAATTTTTTTAATGGGTTTTATTTGTAGTGGGAATTGGACTTGTTGGCTGTTGTTTCAAATCTCTAGCAATTTTGGCTGTTAACACTTGTAAAATTGTTTGATAGAGTGGGGTGGGTATGAGTGATGGGCATCTCTAGTTGAAGAGGTGGGACTAAATTGTAATGTAGGAAAATCTTTTTCTTTTGGCGGTTGAAGCAAGCACTTCACTCAGTTTGTTTCGAAAATGAATACGACAAGGTAACATGACATGAATACGATATAAAGGACACAAAGGTGACGTGGTTTAAAATTTTAGTAATAACTATATATGAGTTTAACATAAAAAAAAAAAAAAAACCATTTCATATTGTATCGACACAAATTGTGACATACAATTTTCATGTAAAACACGGTACAAATACATCAATTTTAATATTTTACGTGACACGAATACATGAATTGTCAAGTCTAAGTACAGGCTTCGTTGAATATGATTTCTAAGTATTGTCATTGTTACAATAGCATTGACTAGATTCTTGGTTAGTTGGGAGCTCTTATTGTATTTGACTGTGCAGTAGTTCTTTTGTAATCTGTGGTATGGATTTTTAGTTGGCTTAGTTGATGCATGATACTTGTTGAGATGTTTGTGCATGATATACAGGCAAACGCAGCTTCAGGAATGGCTGTGCATGATGATTGCAAGCTGAAGTTTTTAGAACTGAAAGCTAAAAGGACTTACCGCTTCATAGTTTTCAAGATTGAAGAAAAGCAAAAGCAAGTAGTTGTGGAAAAGCTTGGTGAACCTACTGATAGCTACGAGGCTTTCACTGCTAGCCTTCCAGCTGACGAGTGTCGATATGCTGTCTATGACTTCGATTTTGTGACCGATGAGAACTGCCAGAAGAGCAGAATTATTTTCATTGCCTGGTACCAAAGTGTTTATGCATTTGTAGTCTTTGTAGCCTGTTCTGTTCAATTTTTCTGTTCATGGATCCCCCCTGAATTGCTTCACTCATCTGTTAACCTTTTATACATGAAGGTCTCCTGATACATCAAAAGTAAGAAGCAAGATGATCTATGCCAGCTCCAAGGACAGGTTCAAAAGGGAATTGGATGGTATCCAGGTAGAGTTGCAAGCTACCGATCCTACCGAGATGGGTCTCGATGTCATAAAGAGCCATGCCATGTAAAATGTATTATCTACTTTGAAATGTTTCACTTAAATGCAATGTCTATATCAAATTTGGAACTTGAACTTGCTTTGATATTGGGTTGTTGTTCCTGAAATTATACTCTTCAATCCCTTGTCTTGATTTGTTACATCTGTGGATTCATATGGGGTCAGTGTTCCCCCCTTACTGACTAATATATGATGGTTTGTGGGGGTACCAATCTCATTACAGTTTGACTGTTGCATTCCTTCTCTCTTTATGTTGGATTCTATAGTATTGTTTTATCTCTCTTCACTAGAGAGCTTTAACATCAGCAGCAAATATATAGTGATATTTCTTACTGGTGCATTAACTTTTCCATTCCTTGCATTTTGACAACCCAACATGATTAGTGTCTTTGATATAGGCATTTTTTAGTGCAAAATAGACCAAAGTTGAATTCGAGAAGGGTTTGTATGTGTTACGCTTTGAATTTCAAATTTATTAAATCTCATCTTTTAATTGTGATTGAATGAATCAATTGAATTAAGTAAGAAATATCAATATAAGATATTTTTATCCATTAGCCTGATGTACTATGTTGAGATAATTTATATTTATGCAAAACATTATCATTACTTTTTGTCTTACTTCATATGAGAGTTTTGTAGATTTTGACATTCGAGTAATAGATGTATGATTCTCTTACTCCAAAGAGAGTTTCAAATAGGAGTGTGAAGGAACAAAGATTTTGGCTAGCGGTTAGTGAATATATTTTATTTGTTTTTATTGGTTTATTACGTTTAACGAACTTTAATAACATTTTTATAAGACTTATTTATGGAGTTTCAAATTTTTATTATTAATGTATGAAATAATAATACTATGGTAATAGTTTTTTTTATCAAACTTAAAAAATGTATAAAAATAATAATCCACATAATTTTTCTTTTTCTTTTTAATTTTTTGTTGCGATTATCTTTGAATATTACTTTTGGACACGTTACTAACCATTAATCTCCTGAGCTAACCCAATATCGAAACATGACCAGAAACGTGAAGTAAACGACGTCGTTCTTTATTCCAGCTTAAAAAAAAACACGTGCTCTTCCACCTTAAAATGAAAATCTCAGGTTGAAACAACACTTTCAAATCTGAAACACCTCAATTTTTCCAGGTAAAGCTGACTCCACGTATATATATACATATACGTATACGTATTATTACGTATATAAACTATAAAGCCTTTTCCTTTTTGTTGTTTGGTAGATTGGAATAATTTTTTTTTCTGATCTGAAATGCGTTAATTAATGTTGTTTTTTGCTCTCAGAATTGATGGTTTATTTTCGAATTTTTTTGAAGAATGAGTTTGAATAGCAGCAGGAGCCCGCCACGTGGCAAGAGGTTTCGAAGCATTGAACGAGTTTCTTACCGTGATGCACCGTACTCCAGGGACCGCCGGAATCATCGGTACGACCTACCTTTCGATTGTTTTAAGGTTATTGAGAATCTTTGTTTGATTGTTCCTTTTATTTTTTTTTGTTTTTTAAAGTACAAAATAAATATATAAATAAATAAAAAGTGCCCTTTTGTTATATGTGTAAAGAATTATTAAAATTTAAAGAAGTATACTTTTTTCTATAATAAAATGGATGGTTGGTTTTGTTTTTTATGGAATAATTATGGGAAAATTTATTGTTACAAATGGTTGATTTTATTTTTTTTTATGGAATACTTATGAGAAAATTTGGTGTTACAATTTATTTATTTATTTGTTTTTTTTTTTTAATTGACTATGGTTTTGTTTTCTACTTTTTGCTTTATAATTACTTTTTAAGGGGTAAAATGTACAAGGAGCAAGTAGCAAAAGCAAGAAACCAGACAGAGCCCTTAGTTATTTGTGGTTAATGGTCTTTGATAAAGATTTTCGGTTTAGTTTTTGGTGTCTTATTGTGTTTAGTTGACAATTCTTTGAAAAGATTGATGCAGTTATGTTCGGATAATGTGTTTTGTATTCCAAGCTTATGTGAAATTGCTAGAAATTTAATTGAGTTTTGTTTCAGACTAAATTGGAGTTCTTTTGAGGATAAAAAAGGGTTTTCTTCTGGTGGAATTCTCAAAAAAAGAAGAACGATGTTTGATGTTTGAATTTTTTATGTTGGGGAAAAAAATTACTTGAAATTAGTGCATTTGTTAGATTAGACAAAATTTTTAGGCAAGATGAAAAGGCGAGGATATGCAATGCAAGGATTGAGGAAGGGTTCTACTAAAAGTACCGGCCTGATGTGAGATAAAATGCTTTGTGGAACCATTTTTGCTTGGTGGATAAGGACTTAGTTCTACCTTCTAGGTTGCAAAACCTTATATTGTTAAGGATCTCACTATTTTGGTACTGAATTTACCGACAACAAGAATCCCGAGTTGGATACTGTCTAGGCTGTTTGCATTGCTGCTGTGATGCATCACAAGAATTGTCAATTGGAGGAAACAGGATTTGAGGTGAAATGGATGATGTGGTCATTTTAAGAAAGTAAACACATAATGGACTGATTTATGAAATAATGGCTTATGATGTTAACTGAGAAGTGATCTTGAACCGCAAATTCGTGTACTTTTTTTAATTTTCATGCTTTGCGTTCTATGTTTGTTCATGTTCTCATCTGTGGTGCTCTACCATATAATACTTAAAATTCCTTGGAATGAGTCCCAGCTGGTAAATGGTGCCATTAAGGCCCTATGGACAGATAGAAGTATTGAATATAATGTCAATTAAATTACTCCGGAAAAGACCAATTCATGGCAACTGTCAGGGGGAGTGTGGTCGTCTGGAGAGTACATGGGAACTTTGCATGAAAATGTGTATCTTAAATCTTGAGGTTGTGAACTATCTCTAATCCTGAAACATTCTTAATGTTCACTTGCTCTCTTGCTGCTGTGAAATTTGCAGTTCACTTTTGAGGCTCGGGCTTATAACTGCGGCTTTTCTCATTGTCCAATTGCTGCTGCTTTTCTTTATTTCTTTCGTTTTGGCTTTTTGTTTGGATAACTCTGTTTGTGTTTCTCAGGCAAGATTATTTGTGCAATAAATGTAAGCGACCCGGACATATTGCAAGGGAATGTCCAAATATGACTGTGTGCAACAACTGCGGGCTTCTTGGGTGAGATGAATTCCTCGTTTAATTTATGTTGAACCTTACAATTAGCCAAAAGGAAAGGGTATAACCTTCCATGCTACATTAATTCATTCTTTGAATGATAAATTTGGTTTTGATCCGTGTGCCTCTTATTTTGTTGTAGTCACATCGCAGCTGAATGCAACTCAACCACGATGTGTTGGAACTGCAAGAAGCCAGGGCATCTTGCCAGCCACTGCCCTAATGAGCCTGTTTGTCATATGTGTGGTAAGATGGGCCACTTAGCTCGCGATTGCCTAAATTCAGGATTTCCAGCTCATGATGCAAGACTCTGCAACAACTGCTACAAGCCAGGCCACATTGTTGCAGACTGTACCAATGAGAAGGCTTGCAATAACTGTCGAAAAACTGGCCATCTTGCTCGCAACTGCCCTAATGAGCCAGTTTGCAACATCTGCAATATATCAGGTCATGTAGCCCGACAATGTACTAAATCAAGTCTGACATCAGACATGGGAGGCTCATTTCGAGACATTATTTGCCGCAACTGTGGCCAGCCAGGCCATATCAGCCGCGACTGTGTGTCCATTGTCATATGCAATAACTGTGGCGGAAGGGGTCACCTTCACTATGAGTGCCCTTCTGCGAGGATGTATGACCGTGGTGGTGTACGTAGGTATTAACTATTAACTAACCAATTTGATAGGGTTCATCCATTGGCATCCCCTTGTTTGACTTATCTTACAATTTGATTCTGAATTGATTTATTCTTACAGTAATACACCATTGTTCTACAATTCTTAATTGATTTCATGTGTTTGTTTTCAAGATATCCTTTGTATCTAGATCCATTTCTGGCCAGAAGTTAACAAAGAAACACAGCAAGGTATGATGACCCATCAAGGAGGCTTCAATAAATCAATATCTACTAGGGTTGATAACGGATGAAATTTGGTTCAGTTTTCGGTTTTTTAGATATTACATAATATAATATTATGAATCAAATCAAATTTTTATATGATCTAAATTATATCGCTTCGGTTTGATTAGGTTTATCAATTTTTTAATATTTGGTTTTTGTTTTTTATATATTATTTTAAAATAAAATTTTAATATCTTTAAAATAAATTTTGATATAAAATTATTATTTTTATCGATTTTAATTTTTGATAAAAAAATTATATTTGAATTTAATATATACATTTAATATTCAAAACTTAAAAAAAAAAATTGATTAGAATTGAACTGAATATTACAAATTTTGAATTTTTTTTTTATTTTTTTAATTTTTTTTACCCCTAATATCTGGTATAAATTTCATACAATTTAGAAAGAAATAAAATGGTTGGTGTGATTAGATTTGACAGTCTACATATTTATATTAATGTATTTTATATTTAACACATATATTACATCATTATCCTATCTTAAATATAAAATTTTTATATAATTTTATTAAAATTATAAATTATATTCACTTTTTTATCATGTTACGTCCATATTTAAAATGATTGGAGTTAAGAATAATTAAAAATATAATCGGTTGAGTTTGAAAAAATATAGTATTAAGTTTGAATTTGATTTTAAATTTGAGGTTTGAAACTCAATTTGAGTTTGATTGAGTTTTATTTTTTTTAATTTGAGTTTGACTCGAGATAAAAATCGAATATTTTAATTCAATTAACATATAAAAATAAGTTTGATTTTTATATTTGATAAAAATTTGATTATTTGTATTCAAACTTGAGTTTGAGTTTGAAATATTTTATTAATTAAAATAATTATAATATATTAAAATATAAAAATTTGATTAAAAGTATGAACTGTTCAAGTCAGATATAAAAATATTTGAATTTGACTCGATCAATAAATTAAATTATTTGAACTTGAATTTGATTTGATAATAATCAAATTAAATTTGAGTTTTATTTGAATTTAAATAATTTATGAGTAATAATACATGTAATAACCATTAACAGAGTTGGTAATAGGTCGGGTTGGAACGAGTTTTTGCTTACTCTGAATTCGATCAGATTCAAAATTTTTTTTTATTGTTTTTATATCCGAATCTAATCTTATTCAATATTGTATAAATCGTATTCGATCTGATTCAACCTGTAATTAATAAATATTTTTTTTAAATAAAAAATATTATTTTTTAAAATATAAATATTTAAATATATAAATAAATAATTAAAAAATAATATTTTATATAATATTAAATATAATAGAATCGAATTTATTTAAAATTCGAATCGGACTTTATTTTAATTTTTTTAATTTTATTCTATCAAATCTAATCCAAAATTTAATTTTTTAAAAAATTAAATTTATAAAATCGGATCAAGTCAAAATTTATGAAAGATGAATTAGATTCCCAACCTTTGCGGTCAAGTCGGCTACAAATATGATGCATGATACAATAATTTAAAAGTCAACAGATTCTTTGTCACGTTTTGTGACTTTTCTTCTCCCAATGTCTGTATAAAAAAAACCAAACAAAAGTTGAAACAAACAAGAGTGATTGATTTAAAATAAAAATTGTCATTTTAGGTACAGAAATTAAACGCTATAAATTTTATCGTTTCTTAATTTCCGTTTGTTTTTACAGTGGCCTTCGAATCATGGACATGTGCACATTGGAGAAGCGAGGTAACTTGTTCATTTTAACGTTGACCGGCGAAGACGAGCACCGTTTAAACCCGATCCGAATCGACTCAATCCGGTCAGCATTGAACCGGATCCGATCCGACCCAACCTCCCACTCCGGCTCCGTTCTCATCACCACCGCTCACGGAAAGTTCTTCTCCAACGGCTATGATCTCGCTTGGGCAGGCTCTTCACCAGACAAGATCTGTCTAATGTCTTCTAAGCTCCGAGCTCTCATCAACGACCTAATCTCTTTTCCTATGCCTACCATCGCCGCCATCACTGGCCACGCCTGCGCCGCTGGACTCATCTTGGCCCTTAGCCATGACTATATTGTTATGAGAAAAGATCGAGGGTTTTTGTATATGAGTGAAATGAATATCGGGATGAAGTTTCCAGCTTGGTTCGTAACCGTCATAAGGTAATTCTTTAATCAATTTCAGTACGTTGTTTTCTTTACCCTTTTTTTTTTTACTATCATCGAACGGTCAGATTTTATTATTATTAGCTGCAAGATCGGCGATGCCGCAGTACGGCGAGAGGTTGTGCTAAAAGCGGAGAAGTTAACGGCGGAGCAAGGAGTGGAGAGGAGAATTGTGACGGCGGCGTACGATTCGGCGGAGGAGACGATGAAAGGGGCGGTGGAATTAGGAGAAAAGTTGGCTGAAAAAGGATGGAACGGAGAAGTTTATAGTGAAAATAGAAAGGTGCTTTATAAAGATGTTTTAGATAAGCTCGGAGCTGATGAAACCACAGAAGATGCGAAAAAAGTTGCAATTGCAGCTTCTAAAATGTAGCGTGACAAATGTACTTGAAGTTATTTTTCTTCTTTATGCTTCAATTAAAGACAGTTATCACTATTAATATATCTTTTTTTTGGTTTTAAATTATTTGAATTTAGTTTTGGAGTGATAAAATGCATGCATAAATATTTGGTTTGCTTATTATATATAAGGGTTTAATTTAAGTGAAAAGTGGGAGTTGGATTTGAAATTTATTATTTGAATTTTGTATCGAATTTGATTAAGTTTTAATTTTTAAATTTAAGTTTAATTTAAGGTAAAAATTAAATTATTTAAATTTATTTAATAAAAAATAAATTTGATTTTCATATTTTATTTTAAATTTGATTATATATTTAATTTTGAATTGATATATATAAATAAAATAATAATTTTTAATTAAAATAATAAAAATATATTAAAATTTAAAAATTTGATTAAGGTTACGAATTACTTAATTTGAATATTATTCGAATTTGATTCGTTTAATAGATTAAATTACTTAAATTCAAAATTTATTAAATAATAATTGAGTTGAATTTAAATTTTATTTTAATTAAACTCAAATAATTTATGAATATTGATATTATTTACAAAAGTGAATTTCTTAAATTTATTGCTTTATAACATTATAATAATAATTGCGGAAGATTTTATAAAAATGTTTGGACAATTATAGTTTAATTTAACGATTATAATTTAAATATTGAGATGAAAGTAGTATGATTTACCAAATAATTAACTTGAAAATTTTTAAATTTTCATAAACATGATTAAATTTATCATTAATGTATAAAAATGAATTTAATTATTTTTTATTATGTAATAAGCCATAAAGATATGTCTAATTATTTTTTTAATTATTTGATAAAAAAACTTTATTTTCAATTTAACTTTTTTTAGGCCAAATAAATAATTTAAATTAAAATTTTAAATTTGATAATTTTAAATATGACTAATGATATAATAAAAAAATGATACGAATAAACAACATAAAAATAATATAATTTAAAATTATAATAAAATTATAAATAAATTTAATAAAATTAAAAATATATAATTCATATTTTATATTAATTTAAATTTTAACATATAATTTTTTAATAAAATATTACAAAATATATAATTTTTTAATATTTTACATAATATAAAAACAAGAATTATTAAACCTATAAATTCTCACTTCAAAAAGAGGAAAAAAAAATAAAATTCCTCGTTTACCCTTAGTTCTAGCAACAAATCTAGTTTCCCGTTTCCTTATCAATTAGTTTTAAGGATTTAATTTCCCAAAGTTAAACAAAAAAAAAATCATTTTAATCTTTAAAAAAATAGTGATAAAAAAGGAAATAAAAAAAAGTGGTTGCCAGCTCGTAATGCCTCCCATGAGCCACTTTTACTTACAGCTAATACTCACTTGGCAAACTTCGACAATTTCCACATCTTTCCTTTTCTCTTTTCAAATGGAGAAACTAAATCCAAAATAAAAAAAAAAAAATCATTGCTGAAAATTTTAATACAAGATTTTTTTTAATTGGAGTTAAGTTCACAGTCGTTTGTACGTATATTCGGTGCTACCAAACCCGATGACAGCAACTTTCAGTCCTGGTCGGAGCCCGGGGAGCTCGAGGATTCAGTTAGGAGCTGCAAGTGGAGTGTCGAGGCTTAGATCTTCTTCGCTTAAGAAGCCGCCGGAACCTTTGCGTCGGGCGGTGGCGGATTGTCTTTCGTCCTCGTCTTCTTCTTCTTCTTCGTCACCGTTGTTGGTGGCTGGAGGAGTTAGCTCTTATCACCATGGTAGTCTTTCTTTGGTTTTAACTGAAGCTTCGAGGACACTTCGGGTTCGTAAACTTGGTTGGATTTAAAATTTTTCGTTGTTTTATTATTAGATCTTGAATTTTTACTGTGTAATTTTGTTTTTAATACAATTATTTTTTTATACTGTGTGTTATTATTGACAAAAAAAAAAGAAAAATAGAATATAATTAAAATTTATTCAGGTGGCGAAACCAATGGAAAATTGATTTATAGGCAAAAGATAGAGAATTATGGTTGAAAAATGGGTGTAAATTAGTGAAAATAAAGTGATTTACTTTTTAGTTTCGCATCATTGTTGTTTCCTGTAACGGGGCGAAATTGGCGAAAGAAAAGAGTAAAAAAAGGAGATAATATTGAATTAAAAATGAAAATGTTCGAAATTAAATGCGTGCATTTTGTTATTTGCAATGTTAGATTTTAAATTTTAGTTCTTTACTATGTGGCCTCTTGCTTTATGGTCGCGGAAGCAAAAGACAAGTAGTTAAAACAAGAAGAGGATACAATTAGGTGAATGACTTGCTAATTTTGCCCTTCGTGGTTTTCTGTAACGAAGTATCTGATGTGTTTTTCTTCATTTTAACAATGGTTTGATTGCTAGATCTGGTCTTTTGTATCATTTCAAATGTTTTGGGATTTGAAGGTAAGATGAAATAGTAACCACCCTAGTATGTGGCAGTTAACTACTCGTGGGGCTTGAATTTATTATAATGAGAAAAAACCTTTCTTGACATTGTTTGGCTGAGCAATAACTTTTTTATGCAGTATTTCTTTGCTTATGGATTACTTTAATTAATTAGGAATTGAAGTGAATTAGAATCTTTTTATGTTTCTGTATTTTGTAATCTAATTGCCATTGTTTGTTGCTTGGTCAAAAACTAAGCTGAATTCTATATGATCTGATGGTTCACATGCTATTCATGGTGATAGAAAATGAAATTTCAAAATCTTATATTCAAAAACGGTAAACTTTTCCTTTCTGTTGTCTTTTTTTTTTTTCTTTTTTTCACGGGGATTCAAGTGTGACCCTGAAATTACTTTGTTTTTTTAGTTCAACTTGAGTCAGCATTGATATTGTTAAAACATAAAGTTGCTGGTGAAGCAAATCTCAAGTCCTCATGTAACTTTTTGCAGCACTGTAAATGTTGAGAATTTAAAGTTTATTTGTTTGAGTTTCTTCTTTTTAAAAATATATACTATATGTTAGTATTAGACCTTCCTTTTTCTTCATCTGTGAAATTTACATTTGAATCTTATAATATCATAATGTCTTATATTTTTTAGAGTTTCTTTTTGGAGTTTGTCTTCTTATTTATATTTTTCAGTATTAGACTTTCCTTTTTTACCTTACCTGTGGAATTTTGTATTTGAACCTTATTATATCAGAACATCTTATATTTAACAATGACAGGACTATCTGGCATCACCCTCAACAACTGACCTGGCTTACATTGTTATTTTAGAGCATACAGTTGCAGAGAGAGAACGCAGGTAATTTATTATCTATTAACAGCTTTTGTTAGTTTTTATGTCATTTGTCATTCTAATTGATCCTCATTATACCTATTGCTTTGCTAAATAATCATAGTGCCATTATCATTTTTATCCCACATTTAACCTATTGTTCTATATAAAATTATGGATGTTTTAGTAATTAGGCTAGGCCAGCAGGCTTTAGTAATGTTGGCTTTCTAGAAGGTTCTTCTTACTGGTGTGACATGATAGAAGTGGTTGTCTTGCTCATTGCACTGAATCCGCATGTTTGGAGGAAAAATAAAAGTTGGATATCAATCTAATTGATAAGCATTTGCTGGAAAGATAATGAGATCAGTATATACAAGATATTTACATCAATACAACATGATGCACCATTGTTGATGGTGAGTTTTTTAACTGGGTTTGCTTGTATCGTCTTTCTATTTGTATGTGCCTTTTCATCAAATAAGTTGATTGGATGGGCATAGGAGGGGAAGGAAAGGAGGGAAGATAGGTGGGAATACTCCTTTTTATCATTCTTGTTGGTTGCTTGATTTTCATTAACAATAGCTGGAGAGAGATGATTGGTTATTCTTTAAGTAGCATACTTCTGTAATCACAAAGAGTTTCAGAATGAGACGGAGATGTTGACATGTTTGGAAGGATGGAGATGTAGATTTAAGTGATTTAGAGGTAATCCTGTTGCTGATAAATGATAGTGTGGTGGTAAATTAAATAGTTTGCACCAGTAAGAGGCTGAAAAGAAATTTTGTTGACGTGTTGGCTGTTGAATGTTTATGATGCTTCATCCATATGAGGCAATTTGTTGACTTGACACCAAATTTGTGCAACGAGTCTTAGCTTAACACGAGTCTTGTGTAACTTCTATAAACACCCACAAGTTATGTTTGGATGAAGTATTTGGAAACTTCAAAGAAATGACCAAAGAAGAATGTACATTTTATTTCAATAATACTTAAACAATTGACTGGAATATAATATTGCAAAGAAGAAAAGTAAAGAAAGGATAAAGTATTGTTATGAAGCATTGTTCTCAGGTTCATAATTGTTTTACCGTTAATTAATGATTTGATTATTGTTACTTTTCATGCACAATTTACTTTTCTTTTCCTTTTAATTTATGCATTAAGCATTGTGTTTGTACTATTTTCCTTTGCTGCTAATGTGGATATAATTTGTGCCAGCCCAGCTGTAGTGGGAAGGTGTGTGGCACTCCTGAAGCGATACCTTTTAAGGTATTTGTTGTTACTTCTGTGAACTTGTATTTTCAATAGTTTTCATTTTACGTAGCATAGGAAAGTGTTTGACTGTTGGTTCTAGAATGCGATATGTGCGGACCAGAATTGACATCTACTAAGTGCTCATAAAATAAGGTTACTGTTATAGTCAATTTGTAAATATAGGACCTGCTGTGGTTTCTATCCGGCTTCAGATTGACTGGAAAGATTTATCAAGACCTTAAGTTCCAGGTTTATAGGTTCTATTTTATATTGTTCTTTTGTTTTTAGGAATTCATTGTTTCTTCTGTTTGCTGTAGATATAAGCCCAGTGAGGAGACATTGCTGCAAATAGATCAGTTTTGTGTTAACTTAATTGCTGAATGTGACATTAGTCCAAATCGAAGGTTGTCACCTTGGTCCCGATCTTTAAATCAACAATCTGGGTCATCAACAACATCAACATCACCTGCAAGTTCTTCTCCTTCCTTATCTGTATCTACTTTCGCTTCTGTGGCACTTGTAAAGTCATTGAATTATGTGAGATCCCTAGTGGCTAAACATATTCCAAAGCGATCATTCCAGCCAGCAGCTTTTGCTGGAGCAACCTTGGCATCAAGACAGTTGCTTCCCACGTTGTCATCTTTGTTGAGTAGATCCTTTAATTCCCAGCTATGTCCTGTGAATGGTGGAGAATCTTCAGAGAAAAAAGATGCTACTACTTTATCTGTTTCAAACTTGTCAAACATTGAGGAAGCTGATGGAATAGAGAATCCTGAATATATTGCATGTGATGTTTTGAAATGGCGCTGGCTGGGGGATCACCAGTTGTCATTATTGTATTCTGAAAGGTAATCAATTTTGCATATACCTATATTGTTGAAATAGTTCGAGTTGGCATTATTTTCTTCCATTCTAAGTCTCTAGTATGTTTTGGCTATTAATAATGTTCTTCCATGTGTTCCTTTGCTTCTAAAACGAATTTGACAATTGAAAAGTTCTATATTCAAAAAACAGCGATCGATCTGTGAGTGTTCAAGATGCGAGAACACATAATTTCTTGGAAGTAGGAGCAACTGCTTTGCTTGTTGGAGACATGGAAGCTAAAATGAAGGGCCAGCCCTGGAAATATTTCGTCTCTGCTGATATGCCTTATCTTGATCAACTCTTACAGCCCTCATCAGTCATGACAATTGCCAATTCTGCTTTTGCTTGCTCCCACTTGAGAGCTATAACAGCGTTGAAACGCAGTAAAGGAGGGCCTCATCAAATTTGGTATGCACTTCACTTCTCTCAGATTATTGCTTTGATGGCTTTATGTTTAGTCTTACTTACCATTATATTATTTGCACTCTCCATATGGATCCTTTATATTTGTTATTCTCATAAAGTGTGACTTGTATGGTTGTGCTATGTCAAACGTATGATATTTGCATTTTGATGGCTGGCAAAGGTGGTAGACTGGTAGCTTTAAGGCATTGGCTTCAAGATACCTTGGGTTTTTAAGTTAAAGGTTAAGAGTCTGGTAGCTGTTGATAAAACCTTTTCCGTATCTAACGTATTATGACTGCTTTTAATGGAGTTTGTCAATTTGGTTAAGTTGGATAGTCTGGGACATTGAAACTGGGGATGAACTCTGCATGTTTTGGTTTGCTGGTACCATACTGGTACCATACTATATATGGCCAATCTGATGTCAACCACACTCACGGTTTCATACCATCATACTTATTCCACTATGGGCTGCTGCATATGTCTTTCATGGGTTTTTTTATGAAAAAATAGAGGTAAAGTAACATGACCTGTGAGTTTAGATCTTGAAACTAGTTGCATCTATCAGTTATGATATCTACTTTTTGTTGGGGGAAGGGGTTGGATGAACCTTTTTTTTTTGTGAGAAATTATGAATTTGGAAATCTTAAGAAATATGTGATTCTCCAAGAGCTCAGAACCTTGTAAGTGTTTTGCCTACACATAAATAATGCTGAATATTAATATGAGGGTTGAGATGAATCATAAAGAAATACAATATTGGATCAATTAAGAACTATGGAAAAGATACAAAATTGTATTTATTGCAAGTTCTAGGAACTATAGGTGTGTGGAAGATTCATCATCATATGAATTTTAATGAAAACAAAACTGCACTTGCTATTCAGATATTGTCATTACCTAAAGCAGTTTTCAATATCCAAGGTTATTGTCAGGCTACCATAAACATATTATTAGTAACATCGTTATTGTGTATGAAAACTGCCCGTAAATTGGAAAAAAGTAAGATTGGTGCAGTTTTTATGTAAGGCAATACATGTGTACTTTGTTGTGCCCTTTATCTTTGTTTATTATCTAAAATATGCTTTAAGATCAAGGTTTTTACCATTTTGAAGCCTGAAGTCTTGTTTGTGATACTTCAATCATCCTTAGTTAGACCTGTCTGCAGTCCGTTGGCCATGCTGCCTGCACAGGCCTGCAAGTCCAACCTGTTATGTGTCGCTTAGACATTATGCCCTGAAGCCAAGCCTGGCTCCAAAATATGTTATATTATATAAATAATCATTTTAATTTGAATATATCTATAGTAATAATGATATAATTACAAACTTTTCTATGTAATTGTTAAATTTCAGGTTTGTTGGCAGGTCTTGCCTAGGTTGGACTAAATTAGACCTAGCTGAACCTGCCTAGGGCCCATTCCTTCTCTCCTTGCAGATATTGCTTCCTATTCTAATGTTCTACAGACGTTGGAATGATTCATGTCACAATGATTATGCTATTTAGAATGCTCATTTAATTGCACATGAATTTGAAAATGAAAGTCTATAGAACAAAAGCAAGGACTTTATAACTCCTATTTTACAATGTTTTGTTAATATCAAGTCTTTTACATTTGGATTCTTGCATTTGATTTTTCTGTAGGGATGATTCTCCAGCAAGCACATTTCGCCCACGTGCCCGGCCACTTTTCCAGTATCGTCATTACAGGTTTGCAATTTGGCATCCTTTGATTGATGGTATTTTGCTTTTGTAACTTGTTAGCTAATGAATTTTGCTTCTCATACTAGTTTACTAGGTTTTGGGATTAAGTAGGGTAGCTTCTCTTTTTTCCCTGTTGTTAGCAATTACACCGTGTTTAATTTGACTACATTCATATTTTTGAGTTGAATATGAAACATTGATTAACAGCCATTGACTTTGATTTATATACTTGTTCTACAGCATCTTTATCTGTTGCTGGGTGTATCCTACATTTGCTACACATAGCTTCTTGTTCTCTAGTTCATAGTGATCGTATTTATTTTGAACTGCAGTTTAATTCACGATATTGGTAGCTTGCAAAGTGGTTGATTTTATGTTTATTTTTTATTCTTATTAAATATTTTTGTGTGCATTAGTGAACAACAACCTCTGCGATTAAATCCTGCTGAGGTATGCGAGGTTATTGCTGCTGTCTGCTCTGAGACATCTTCTACAAATGCTAATACCATGACGGTGTCTTCTAGATTAAGTAACAACAGTGGAAAGCCATCAATGGATGTGGCTGTGAGCGTTCTTATTAAGCTGCTTATTGACATGTATGTTCTGTTTTCTTCTTTTCTTGGACTTCTTTTGTCCTTTATCGTACGCCATACATTTAACCTTCTCTCTATCTGTCTGTCTGTCTCTCTCTCCCCACTTATTGACACATTATTAATGCTATAATAATAATAATAATAAGTTACTTTGTGCATATTAGGCCTGGTTGGTTGATGTGCTGATTTCATCTGTAGCCTGAGCATAAGTTATGTTGAAATCATCCTTGTGTAGAGGGTGACAAACTTTCTTCTTTCTTTATCCAGCAATCCTAAATGCATGATATTTTGATGCACTTGGAATAGTTTACTAATTCATTGCTATTTAACAATAATTTATCTGAAAAACAATTTAAATATCCTTCTTAAGTATATGAAGTCGACATCCCCTTGATCATTGTTTAGGACATGGCATGAATTGTCACTTCTATAATCTAGATGAATCTGACCCATTACAAGAGTTAGTCATTCATAAAAGTTTCCAGGGGCTTGATTCTGAATTTCCAATATAATCGTTTGTGCACAGAATCATGTGATTGAATTTATTTCATTTTCTTCCTTTGCTTCTTTCCTTCTTTTAAATTGCTTGTTTCCTTCTTTTAAATTTCACATCATCTGATGGTTATGGTAAGAAGGGAGTTGCTGAAAATTCTGTTTTGTAGGTATGTCCTGGATCCTGGAACTGCTGCTCCTCTTACTCTGTCTATGCTTGAGGTTTTGCATCAATTACATTTTCAATTCTTTGTTATGTAAGCATTGTGAGAGTATCTTTTAATTCTTACCTTTTTTATTAATTGTCTTACAGGAGATGCTTAGTTCTCCAAGAACTGCTTGTAGGGTGTGTGCTTTTGATTTAATTCTAAACCTTGCAGTCCATGCTCACTTGTTGGAGCCAATGATAATTGATGATAATTTGGTGATTGAAGAAGAGTATAGTCAAGAATTACTTTTAAATAGTGAAGATCAGCTTACCACACAAGAAATAAGGAATATAGATTCTACCAAGAAGTTGGGCATCTCCTCAGCCATTGATAAATTTGAGTCTTGGATTTTAAACATTTTATATGAGATACTTCTTCTTCTTGTTCAGGTATAGGCAGTCTTTGAGCTGAAGCTTGTGCATTTTGGCTGCTTTGATTTTATGGATGATCCATACATGCTTATCTTTATTTTCATTTTTACTGTTACCATTCTATTTCATTTGTCCTCAGTGTTCTTTATGGTCTCATGCCCTTGATACTTGTTGCAGACTGAAGAGAAGGAAGAATCTGTCTGGGCTTCTGCCCTAAGCTGTTTACTATATTTTGTCTGTGATAGAGGCAAAATCTGGAGAAATCGATTAAAAGGGCTTGACATTAGGGTAAGTCAGTTTTCCGTGCCTGGCTGCCAGTTTCTGGAGCTTTCAAATACCATATTGTTTTTCATCTTGATTTAACAAATGATTGTTTTATTTTTGTGTGTATGTGTTTGTGTGCAAATGGAGGAAATTTGGAAGTTTCACTTCTTGTGTGCATATTTATGTTCAATATTTGAAAGTACTTGTCCTGTAAAAGTGGCAGCATCCATCTTAAACATCTAAATGAAAAATTGAAACACCCCAGTGGACTTATTGGTCTCCCGATTGATAACGTATCAGTTGCTTCTACCATGTTAAAATTTCTTGCGGCATGCTTTAGAAGTGCCAAGTGCCTCACAAGAAGGTTCACACTTTGCTTTGAAAGAATTATTTTTTCCAGCCAATATATGCAAAATGCAATCTTAGCATTACAGTTCCTCTGAATGATACTGATACCACTTTGTGCTGGATCATGCATAGGGCAATTTTTTTTACTGTACTCATAGGGGGATTGCAAAATTGAAGGCCGGTAGGGTTTGCTAGATATGTGATTCAATTCTAGCCATATATGTTCTGAGATGTGTATTTGATATACCTTACTGGAAAGTGAATCTCAGCTTAATGGAAAATTGAATATGTTAAAAGAACTTATTGACCCTAATTTTCAATTTTCTTTTGCAATATGCACCCTCTGCATTATATGTTGGAAGAATTTGCTGAGTAAGCGATTCAGTTCTAGCCTTATAGGTTCTGAGGGTGTTGGGATGGGCCCCATTGGAAACAGAATCACACAGTGTCATCAGAAATTAAATATGTTGGAAGAATTTATTAACCCTAATTTTCATAGTCTTTTGCATTATGTACCCCTCTCTGCAATATCTCCCTCCCAAACCATACTCATACAGTCTTGTCAATTAAAGCTGACTTAAGATTTGGTTGGATTTCCTTTCGAGGAATTTTATTGCTTAACTAGAGTTGTTTGTTTAAATGGCTTTAGTTTAATCTATTGGAACTTAGTATTATTATGGCAATATATCTGAGTCTCATTTGTGGTCTCTTCATTTCTGTTTGTCTTCAGGTTGTCAAGGCACTTATAGAGACTAGCCGGGTAAATTTCTGGGCTGGACTTGTTCATTGCAAGCTTATATGTATCCTGGCAAACATGCTTTATCAAGTCCCTGATGAATCTACTACAGCAATCATGAGTACTGCAAGCTTTCTGGTTGACCAGGTTGACCTGATTGGTGGAATTGATTTTATCTTCATTGAGGTAAGCCAATTAGTTTGATATGTGCATGTATAGAAACAAGGTTGACTTGGTCCTTTGCAGTAAGGCAACATTCTTGCTATTATTGGTGTAATATTTTAACTTTAATTAAAGGATTAAGTTTCCTGAATGAAAGAACGCATGGACCCAACCCAATATTTAATAACATGACAGAAGCAGTATATTTCAATTGCTTAACAAACCTCGGTAAATGGGTGACTAGGTGATTGTTCTGTCCCAAGTAATGGCTTGCAATGTGTCTCTTTATGAAGTTGTTAGACCTAAGAAAGAGCAATGATTATTGAATCACTAATTGCATTATGTGTTTCAACACTTCAGAAAATATGGTGGTCAATTCAAATATATACAAAAGTTTTAAATCTTTATCCTTTTTTGCATTTCCTTTCATTATATTAATGCTTTCAAAAACTTATCCGTATTCATATTGAAATCTTTTAACGTGTATGTTTTCTCTTTTCAATTACCAAGTGCAGTATTCATTGTCTACCTCAAGGGAAGAAAGAAAACATCTATATTTGGTGCTCTTCGACTATGTTATGCATCAAATAAATGAAACATGCATATCAACAGGAGTTTCTGAATATAGTGATTATGAGATTCAGCCTATTGCTACACTGCTGGCTTTGGCTGATGCACCTGAAGCTTTTTATATTTCTGTTAAGCTGGGGGTGGAAGGCATTGGGGAGCTTTTGAGAAGATCAATTTCTGCTGCATTATCTAGATACCCTAACAGCGAGCGATTAAATATGGTAATGTCTTGTGAATATTTTTGCAGTTAAGCCTGTGGTGGCAAAAGCATGCATGCTTTTAATGTTTGGCAGGTGGGGGAAGGGGATGATAAATCAGAACTGGGCTGCTAATTTGGTGTGTTAAGTGTGTGGTTGTTTATATGGTTCCACCAGTTTGATTCATGTCATATGTGCAAGTATAGCTTTTATGGAAATTGAAAGTGAATGAGGGGAGGGGGAAGATCCTTTCTAGCTTTGTCATGTTAAATTTTGTCTTTCGCTCTCCTCATCTCTACTTAATTTTGAAGGAGTTTGAGAAAGTGATATTCAACTGCGTGAATTGCAAGTATATCCGCTTTCTGCTTTCTGATTATTTTTTGTTTTCCTTTGCAGTTGTTGGAAAATATTTCAGAGAAATTGGATACTACAATAAGTTCATTTACTCATTTGGACAAAGAGTTCTTGCATCTTAAACAGATAGCAAAATCCAACAAGTTTGTGGATAGTATTGAGATTTCAGCTCTGCAAAATGGTGTTGGAATGAAAGCAAAGCTTGCTTGGGGCATTTTACATTCTCTTCTTCATTCTGATAGAATCTCTTACCGCCAAAATGGATTTATCTGGTTAGGGGATCTGCTTATTGCCGAAATAAGTGAGTCAAGGAATGGGAGTATATGGTCTAATGTCAAGAGCTTGCAGAATAAAATTGCTTATGCTGGTATTCATGATTCCTCCAATCCTTCCGGTGTGCCTTTGTCTATTTGGCTGATGTGTGGCCTTCTGAAGTCAAAGAATAATATTGCTCGGCGGGGCTTCCTATTTATTCTGGAGAGGCTTCTTATGAGGTGCAAATGTTTGTTGGACGAGAGTGAAATGCAACAGTCAAGCAACAATGATGTTGGCCCTGATCATAGAGATACCCGACTTGAGAAAGCAAATGCTGTGATAGACATCATGAGTAGTGCTTTGTCTTTGGTGGCTCAAATAAATGAAAGGGACCGCATGAATATTTTAAAGGTATATTGCTTGGAGAACTTTCAAACCATCTTATAAAATGTCAGTGATATTTAAATTAAATTTTATTTAATGAAAGGGAAGATGATGTGATCCATCATGGATATTTCTTGGAGAGAAATGCCCCTCATACTGTTTTCCAGCTTATCTTTGTGCAGAACCTGCTTGATTAGCTGGTTTTATTGTTAATACTTTACTCTGTTTTCTCTTCCTTGAAAAGAATCCTTCAAGGATTGAAGGTCATTAGGTTTAAGCCTTCATCTGATTGTTTAGCCTAATTTTTAAGCTAAAATGGTATATACTACTTTTACATGGTTATTAATTTTCAAGTTCCTAGTTCTTTAATTTAATTCCAGGTGACCTTAGTTAACATTTATTGTTTTAGATCATAGGGTTACTCAAAAAACATTTTTATGTGATACGAGTAAGGAAACAGAGGAGAAGAACAATAAAACTTGAATTAACTGATAGGAAGCCTCAGCCTAATGTGATGTTTCTCTTGTAATTTTTTCTTTAAGATTTTACCTCTTTCAATTGTTAAGTTGCGATTCACCATTTAGCATGCCCCACAGATATCTTAGATAGAAGGCTATATGCAAAACTGTTAGTTTCTATCTCTCTTAAGTTTCTGGCTTGTTCCATGTGAAGGTTTGGGAATTTTTTAATTTGCATGCATCTCTCTTTTCTAGGTATTTTTTGCTTTCTATAGTTTCTTGTTATAGATATTCTTTAGAACTCCTTAGATCCTATTAGGATCCTGATTTTAACTACCATGCTTGAGACCTGATATGATATCCACTTGTCTAACTACAGTGATATTTTCAATCTAGTAGGTGTCTGATCATATTTTAACTGGTTGCAGTGACTGAAGGAAAAAGCCTACATCTAAAATCTCTTTATATTGTAAAGGACTACAGAGCCATTTCTAAATTCTGTAGAGATATCAAGTCTTAATTTTCTTTTTCTTTCTTTTTTTTTTTTCATATTTGAATTTGATATGAAGCATGCAGGGATCTATTTGCAAGTTTCGTTCTGTACATTCTCCCATTTCTTTGAACTGTTATCTTGTATCTATTATCATCAGTAACTTGTAATTCTTGAGCAAATGCCTCATCATTTGAGTTTTGAAGGAAATGAAGTTTAGTTGGCTAGAATAAAAGGATAAGATGAAGTTTGTGGTTGAACTTGATGCTTGGTTTCCTGTGTCCGATGGATTTATCTATTCATATCTCCAAACGAATGGGAGATGTCACAGCAAAAAATTAAAATCTTTTTGGCCTAAATTGTATACATCTGAAATTTTGAGGATTTTCTCCATTATTTAAGCGTTGAGTGTATGAATTCTTGTTCATCATTTCCTCATTAGTGCTTAATACATCTGTAAGAGTCACTATTCTTTTCTCTTTGGCAAACAGATGTGTGACATTCTATTCTCTCAATTGTGCTTGAAAGTTCCCCATTTAACTGTGATGCCATCCGGAGAAGGAATACAACAGACTAAAGTTTTTACTCACACAGATGGAATTAGAAAAACTAATACGACTGAGCTTGTATCTCAACAAGCAAGCTGTTGCTGGGATGAATTAATGGAGGAAAATGATAACAAATCAGGTTACAGTGTTAGTAACCCTCGGATAAGTGAGACAACTTCTATGGCTGTGCTGCTACTCCGAGGAGAAGCCATTGTGCCAATGCAATTAGTTGCTCGTGTCCCTGCTGTCCTGTTTTATTGGCCTTTGATTCAACTTGCAGGTGCAGCAACTGATAACATTGCACTAGGTGTTGCTGTTGGAAGCAAAGGAAGAGGGAACCTTCCTGGTGCCACTTCTGATATTCGGGCTACCCTTCTTTTACTTCTAATTGGTAAATGTACTGCAGATCCAACAGCTTTTCAAGAAGTTGGTGGAGAAGAATTTTTCAGGTGATCTATACTTCCTTGCTTGTTAAGAATGAATTTGACAGAAGCTTACCTACAGGCATGCCGAAATTTACACTTTCTTTTTTACCTTTTCTTTCAGGGAGCTTTTGGATGATAATGATTCTAGGGTGGCATATTACTCTTCAGCTTTTCTGTTGAAGGTAAGAAAGCTTTATTTTGTGTATCTCTCTCTCTCTCTCTCCCCTTCTTTTTACGTCCTTTCTGTTCCCCTTCTGTTTTCCTTTTTTCCACTAAGCAACTCAAGCACGGGAATTTTGCAGAGAATGATGACTGAAAAACCAGAAAAGTACCAACACATGCTACAAAAGCTTGTTTTTAAAGCTCAACAGGTAAGCAAATCCTTGATTTTCATTATGAAGTCACTTTATTGCAATTATGAAGTGTTTACATATGAGAACAACTGATGAATATACATGAATATTGAAAGTGATTTTCGTTTGAAATTCCTGATAATGGAATTTCCACCGAAAGAAAAACTTCATCTCATTTTCCTTGTCTAATTGATTTTGCATCTTAAAATTTAAAAAAAGTTAAGCCTTATGTAGAAAATAATATTTGTGCCAAATTCTGTTCTACTTGAATCAATTTCCTTGTTATGGGTAGATTATTTCGGGGTCAGCCAATCACTGTGCCAGTCATTTACTAGATTGTTTTCGTGTAACTTATTTCTCTTAGTTAACATGACCATTACATATGGTTTGCTTATATTCTTCTGGTTCAACATTTTATTAGCGTCCATGCCTTGAAGTGCTGATAGAAAAGATTAAATTGTTTTATGGTATCAATTGTTTTCTGCATTGGATTTACATGCTTTTCCTTTGTTGTAATTTCGTAGTGCTACTTTTGAGTTATTTGTTGCTGAAGTCTTTGTTTTGTGTGTCTAATCTGCAGAGTAACAATGAAAAGCTGCTTGAGAATCCATATCTTCAGATGTGCGGGATATTTCAGCTGTCAAATGATCTTTGAGCTCAGTTGGACTTGATGATTCTTCTCTGCAAAATTTAATATACATTCCAGTGCACTGCAGTGTTCATTAACATGACTTTACTTTGCTCATGATTTTTCAACCCTGGCAACATTTGGCCTGATTCTCTTGTTTCCATTCTTGATGTATCCGCTATTTTGTGAGCCCGCATAAGATGGTCTGTAATCCTAAAGCAGTTCAGAGCTGCAAAATTATTGAATTTAGGCCAACAGTCTGAGATTCCAAGCCTGGCTTCCTCGGAATCTAGAAAAGGATTAAGATTGTGAGCTATGAGATTCGATGACAGTGTAAATTCTTTACATGCTGCTATATATGCTCCCAGATCTTTTGTAGAAATAGAGAAGGTGAGACTTTTAATGTCTGCTTCCCTTATTTCCATCTACGAGTTAAGATACTATATAATGGACTTTTGGGACTTTGTAGAAATATAAGATTTCGTGCTTATTTTAAGGTCTTAAATTGCAGAAATGCGAGGAATAAAAATGGAGTGACTGGAGCTATTGATTCATCTGCCTTTCAGTTCTGCTACCGGATAGTGTATATCATGGCATTTAACCAATCTTCAGGTACTCCTATCTAACTTTAGTTATATTAAGTCGTTTGTTCACGCATATTAATTTATTTATTTCTTTGCAAGTTCAAATTGAGTAGCTTCTTCCTGCCGCCATACTGGTATTGGTTGATTATTTAAACAATTCTTGTCCATTAATTCCTTCCCTTACCACTTCTGAACTTCGACTTAGTTGAATAATTGTTTATCAGTTTTTTTGGAAGATCCTTTTTGCATGCGCAGAAATTATCAAAATTATCCATCTTTTCGAAATTTAAGAGTAATTGTTTTTTATATCATTGCTTGTACCAATATTTCTTCATTTTGAAACAGTTAGTCTTATGCGTGACACAGTACCGAAGAATTTCCGGACAACTACAGGTGACTCTTTCCTTTGTACAGAATTAGATTTTCCCCTAGCCTTCCTTTTAACATTTTACGATTCATGAGGGCAAGTTAATATTGGCCAATTTTTAAAGGCCATCCTTAGTAATAAGGAAACAAAACCCTCAAGTTTTAACTGATGGAGGTTCCGTGCCGCGATATCGATGGCAAGAAGAACAAAGGATCCTTTATTTTCAATAGATAGGAGCTTCAAATAGGGGTATCACATTGGATGTGTGTTTTTAAGGGGCATCTCCAAAGTGTACCTAATATGTTTTGACATTGGTAAATATGTGAATTTGGCTATTATTTTTTACATTGGTAAATTGTTGTCAAAATGGCTGCTGAGAATTTGGCTTCATATTCAAGTTTTTGATCGTCTGATTATTATAATAGTTTCTCTCTTTTACTTGGTTTCAGACTTTTTGTATAATTTTCTTTTCCCAAAAAAAAATCACGAAAGGTGATGCGAGAAATAAAAAATGATATGAAGATTAAGAAAATAATAAAAAAATTATTTTTAAAAAATTGAGTTGTGTTAGAAGATTTAAAATTACAATTTAATATATACATGTATATTTAGTTTTATACAATCGAATTTAAAATTAAAATTATGAGATATAAGGTATAATTTGTTGTTTGAACAAAAAAAGAAATTCATTTGGCTTGTCAGAATTTCTTTTTGGGTATAAAATAATATCCTTTGAAAATGGTTCAACGATCTCTGAGTTCTCATGGATCATTCAACTGTATATATCAGGCTGCCGAACGGCAATGAAGTAATTATCAATTGTAGCCAACCTCTCCTAGCCACAATCCTTCCCATTAGAAAAAGATGATTGATGGAGAAAAAAAAAAAAGATGTGGAGGACCTAGTTTTGCTATTATTGTCATCTTGAATTTTGTTCCCAAGATCTTTTCCCAAATTTCCAGGTTGTGTTTAATTGAGCCAATGAGATTGACAAATGAAGTCCTAATTTCCATTCTCAAAATAAATGAGAACTCAAATAAAAATTGGTAAATGTCAAATATTTGAATTTTTAATTTATTTAATGTTATCTTTTAAAATAAATTTTGGATTGGGTTCATACAATGAATGTTTTGAGCTCAACAAGAATGCCGAAAGTAAAATTTCAAAATTAAATTTGATAATTTATGTATTCGTAAAATATTAATAACTTATATATTATATTATATTTATATTATATTTTTATATAAAAATTATATATCACAATTTTTACAAATATAAAAATATAAAAAACACTTTTTGAATTTATCAAAGTTAATAATTTTTGATAAAATTTTAATTCATATTATTTTTATTTTTGTATCATCGCATTATTTTATGTCGTGTTTTAAATTATAAGATCTATTCAAAATTACGAGAGAGTGCATTGAGTCGAATCTCAAAACTTAGAGGGAAAAATATACAATTTCAAAAACAACTAAGAAATATTTCCCTTCAGCTGTGGGATATCATGAGGCCCAAACTACAGCATGAATTTTGGGCAGGAACTAATTGGAGTTGAAATAAATGGTGAATCAAGGAAATATCTTAAAAACCAACGAAAAAAAAATGTGGGAGAATATACAGGCATTAATCACTGTCACCTTCATAACAAAATTGGGATGTTAAATCCACAGTGTAATTAGATTCAAAAGACCATGCTCAATAAGTCAGTGACACCATTTCCAACTCAAAACAGAAGCAGCCAATATACCTAGACAAAGAGTAATTGCACAAGCAAATAGCAGGAGAAAACATCATTTAATTTGTGTAGCTTCTAAGTGGTACCTATCCAACTCAGCATCAAGATCTTCTGCAGATAGTTTTTTACCAATCTGTCCACGCGGTCGATTTCCCCTAGCAAAACCACGGCCAGCACCACTGGTGTTAGGTCCGTTACTACCACCACCACCACCACCACCACCACCATCACTGTGAATCCATGCCCTACCACCAAAGGACAAAGAAAATCATGTTAGTTTGAATTGGAAGTATCAGTCGACTGCAGCCTGCACCCAGGAATGAAGTTGAAGCTGAGAATAATATATGAAAGCATGCTTTCCGAAATGAGCATCTGATGCCCATCTCCTCTCTCTTGATTGTTGCCTAAATGAAATCAAAAGGGTCAAACAGAATATTCAAGTTATCATTCATCAGATTTACGATTTTTGTTGAACCAGCAGAAATAAGTTACATGAACACTTGAATCAGAATCAAGAGATGGGAAAAATGATTATCATGCAAATAACTAGGAATAACTCAGACCTTTTAGAGGCCACATTGGGGTTTCTCATAATGCCGCTTTTGGTTGGAGGGACAGGAGCAGAAGACATAAGAACATTTGCTCCCACAAGCTCAATTGTCATTGGTTTCCCATCAAGTTGAACATTGTTGTATCGCTTGATAGCTGCCAAAGCATCTGTCTGTCGGAAAAAGACTACTTCCGCCGTTCCCTAAAATATATTAACATTTTCAGCAGCATAAAAAAAAACCATTTCAAATTGGCTTCAAACTTGAATAAGGGTAGATACCTTTGATCTTCCACTCTTATCATAATTAATAGAGTACCTCTTCAAGTCACCAACCTCAGAGAATAGCACCTAGCAATCAAGATGTTGACAAAAGGTAAAAAATAACTCTATATTCTCTAATTTGTTACAGACAGAAGAGTAATAATGGTACCGCCACGAAAGGCTGATCAGCAAGAAGAATGAGCCTTGAAATTAGTTATATTACAGAAAGGAGAGACAAAAAATGGATACATAACACATTTAAAGGAGCATTGAAGTTTCTAGCACAACTTCCACTAAGATATGGCATTGATAGGCTTTTAACAGAATTTCAATCAATTCACATTCCTATTATTCTATAAGGATCTCCAGAATTGCAACCGCCATATACTTCAGTCCCATGCATTATCATACTAAACCGTCACAGATCGTTGACATTACAACCGATTAGTAATATTAGTATCATAACCAGTAATCAACTTCCACAAAAGACTGTCCACCTTTCATTCCACCAAAACTACATTATTGTTCATATAGAAATACAAGCAGAACTTCAACTAAGATACGGCATTGATAGGCTTTTAACAGACAATTTCAGTCAATTCAAATTCATATTATCATAATGATCTCCAGAATCACAACTGCCATATACTTCAGTCCCATGCATTACTAAACTAAACTGTCACAAGTTGTTGACAAATACAACTGATCAGCAATATTCATATCATAATCAGTACCCAACTTTCATAAAAAAGACTGACCGCCTTTCATTCCACAAAAACCACATTATTGTTCATATAGAGATGCACTCTTTGTCTGATAGTTAGACAGAAGAGCTAGAGTACTAAATGCTTAAGGAAAAAAACATTTGGAATGTGCCAAATGCATATAAAGACATGCTCATAAATGTAAAGTAAAGTAGATGGGGAGGAACAACAGCTCATTACAAACATAACTACAGAAATGTAATTCAACCAGTCAACTACCAAAGACAAACTTTTAATCGTGATCACACTTTTATGCTTACACTGTTCTAGGCAAGTTAGTCAAAAATCATTCAATCGCATACAAGAACACCAAAACTAATTTGATCGCATACAAGAAAACCCACATTACAGATTCTCTGCCACCTCAAAATCGACCTCTATTGTTTCTTATGGCCAAACAACTAATCCATTCGAACCCAGAGTTTAACTCAATTGGTTCATATCTGGGGTTCGAATCCTAACACCTGCAACCCCTTCCCTTATCCCCAAGCTACGGCCTCCTATGTACCAAAAAAAAATCTATTCCAAATCCAATGTCATATAAATCATGTTCTTCTAGCAGCTTTAAACAAACAAATCCACATATTTTCTTCAGTAAACAACGTGATTCAAGATTACTCATTCGTCCTTTACTAATGAAACAAAATCAAGATTATAACAACAAATGAATCAGCATACAAAGAATTGAAAAAAGAACAACCTTAATATCCTCATTAGAAACACCGTAATCCAAGTTCGATACATACAGCTTCCCCTCCATGTCAGATCCTCCACTCGAAACCAACTGTCCCTGAAATGCTGGTACCTGTATTTGCATCTGCGTTTGCTGCATTAACACGCGCGTGAACAACACGTTCACAAGCGCGTGGACAAAATAACCGCTTCAATAAATTTCCATGTAACAAAAATAAAATAATTAAATTAAATCATTAAATGTATATATCCATATATTTCAACGTCAAAATACTTTTAAAAAAATTATTTTTCTTTTTTTTATTTATTTAAAAAGTTAATAGTAAAAACTCAGTCTTTCATTTCCCTTTTTCTGTTGGAGCAAAGGAGCTTACCTGTCTAACCGGGTACGGGTTGGTTCTGAGCGGGCCGCGAGTGGGGGCACGACGATCAGGGCCAGGACCGGAGAGACGGGGTTTGCGTCTGGAATCACGGGAATGCCCTTCGGATCGGCTTTTATTACGGATGATATCGTCGAGTGACATGTCCAGTGAGCCGGACATTTTCGGAAATTCACGTCAGTTCTTGATTTTTCCTTTTTTTTTTGGGTGAAATGCTCTTAGGTTTTCTTGAGGTTTTTTGAGAGTGAAGCCGGAGAGTTAAGATTTGTGCAGGTAGTGAGGAAAACGTGAATGGGTTTTATCGAGGCACGAAAATTTCGTTCAACTTAGCTATTTAGGAGACACGTGGAATTAAGTGGGCTGGTGGGTTGAGCCCGGCTTTTTCTATAGTGTGCCTCTTGCAAAATGGAAATTTTAATTAATTGAGTACAGAAAAATGGAAATTTAACTAAAAAATTCAAAAAATACCAAGAATTTTATAAGCATTTTGGCCAAAATTTAATCATCAATAACAAAGGTATAGAGCATGATAATATATGATTTTATTTGGAAATTTGTAGTATTTATTATTTTTATTAAATAAAAAAATATACATAAAATTATAATTCATCTCAATTAAATAAAAAAAAGTAAGAAAACGGAATTGGAAGAATGCAAAACGATAAGGGTAAATAAGTCAAACAACAAGAAATTACTCTAACTAGGTTTGGGTTGGGCTATAGTGAAAGATCCCTCCTTTTTGCAAAGCTTAACCCAGCAGCCCGCCTCCCCCCAAAACCCTAAATCCAGTTTATTACTCTTCAAATTTCCGTTTTAGGGTTTTTCTGGCAAAAATGAAAAACTTGAAGCTTTACTCTGAGATTACTTCTACTCTTCAGTTACAATCGGAAGGCGAAGTCTTACTGTTTTCTGCATATGATATCGAGAGAAATCGTTTCTTCTTTGCTTCTTCGGATAATCTCATTTATACCCTCTATCTTTCTTCTTTCGAAGTATGCCCCTTTTCATCTCCTTTTCTGTTTCTTTTTATTTTTTTAATGAGTTAAAATCAATAACTCATGTGTATATTTTTAATTAGGGATGTTTATGGTAACCGAGTCCTGTAAAGATTAATTTTTTTTTGGTCTCATGTGTGTTACATGTTAATTATTTGCTCATTTTTAATCAAATATGTAATTTTTTTTTTCATTTTCTTTTGCTTTTTAGTAGCTTTTTTTTTTTTCGGAAGTAAAAAGCAAGTAAGCAAAGGAAATAACAAAATTTTCATGAAGTGAAATGGGGATTTGTTATAATTCTATGTGAGCAATGCTGTTGCAATTTGGAATTTTTTTATTTAATTTTATTTTTAGCTGAGAGAAACTTTGATAAAATGTTTAGGAAGGAGGAAAGGCGTAATGATGTTTATGAAGGTGATTCTAAGAGACAATTATTGAGAAAATGAAGTATTTACTGTGAGTGTAAATTTAAATGGGATTGTTAATTATGCAGTATTTTATAGCATGTATACTTGCTAACATGAGTAAAGGGATCTTTCAGAATGAAGAGGCATGGACCAAAGGTCCGTTACAAGCCGAAATTGATCCCTTGGGTTTGGAGCCTGAGGATGTCATTACTTCCTTTGATTATCTTATGGAGAAAGAAGCACTGATAGTGGGAACTACTAGTGGGCTTTTACTGCTGCATACTGTGGATGGAAAGGAAACGGAAGTTGTTGGTCGGGTGGAGGGTGGAGTCAAGTGCATTTCTCCCAGTCCAGATGGAGACCTGCTTGGTGTAACTACGGGTTTTGGGCAATTACTGGTGATGACTCATGATTGGGATTTGTTGTATGAGACTGCACTGGAGGACCATCCCGAAGGTGTTGACGTATGTAAGGACTTTTCTCCATTGTTCTCTGATTTTTTTTAATGCCTTTTTCCATCTCCTATTAATTTCTTTGTCGAGTACCCTATCTTGCTATTGTGGGATAGGGAAAAGAAGAAAATTTCCAGTTATATACCTTAGTATTCTTGTCTGTTATGTTGGTTATTTATTGGCTGGATCCTGGGTTCAGGTGAACCAGATTTGTCATCCACAGAAATGTTTGGAAGCCCCATCTCTTGGAGGGGTGATGGAAAGTACTTCGCCACTCTAAGTGGGGTGTCAAATTCTTCTTCTTTGAAAAAGAGGCTTAAGGTCTGGGAACGGGATGCTGGAGCAGTACATGCTTCCTCAGAACCAAAGGAATTAATGGGGTCTATTCTAGAGTGGATGCCTAGTGGAGCGAAAATTGCAGCTGTTTGTGACAGGAAGGCTGAGGAGGAGGGTCCATCAATAGTTTTTTATGAAAGGAATGGATTAGAAAGAAGCTCATTTCACATTGATGAACCAACTCATGCAACTGTAGAACTTCTGAAGTGGAATTGCAGTTCTGATCTTCTTGCAGCCGTTGTCAGATCTGGAAATTATGACTCTGTTAAGATCTGGTTTTTCAACAACAATCATTGGTATCTAAAGCATGAAATCAAATACACTAGGAAAGATGGAGTTAGATTTATGTGGGATCCGACAAAGTCACAGCATTTAATAAGTTGGACTCTTGGTGGGCAGGTTACAGTTTACAAATTCATCTGGGTTACAGCTGTCATGGATGACTCAACGGCTTTAGTTATTGATGGGTCTAAGATACTTGTGACCTCCCTTTCTTTGTCCTTAATGCCGCCTACTATGTATTTATTCAGCCTTAGTTTTCCAACTGCTGTTCGGGAAATGGCTTTTCATTCCATAAATGGTAAGAATCGTTTGGCTGCGTTATTATCAAATGGCTGTCTGTGTGTTGCAGAGCTTCCTATGCCTGATACTTGGGAAGAACTAGAGGGTAAAGAATTTAGTGTGGAACCATGTTTGTCTGCAACTTCATTGGGATCCTTTGTACATCTTATATGGCTGGACTCACATGTGCTTCTTGCTGTTTCTCATCATGGATTCAATCACAGCAATTGTTCCTTCCAAACCTCTTCAATGGAGGATAGGCTTCTTGGTTTCTATTTGCAGGAGATTGAGCTCACTTGTTCTGAGGATAATGCCCCAGGTTTACTGACATGCTCTGGCTGGCATGCAACAGTTTCCTATCAAAATTTGTTGGAAGGACTTGTAATGGGTATTGCTCCCAATCCTGCTAAAAAGTGCTCAGCTTTTGTTCAATTTGATGGTGGACAAGTTTTTGAATATACATCAAAGTTGGGAATTAACAGAAGAGATTTGAAACATGATGAGATAAGCTTTTCTTCATCCTGCCCTTGGATGAATGTGGTTCTGGTTGGTGTTACTGAACCATCAAAGCTTTTGTTTTTTGGTCTTGATGATATGGCTAGGTTGCATGTAGGTAGGAGAATGCTGTGCAGCAACTGCAGCAGTTTCTCATTTTACTGTAATTTAGCTAACAATGTAATCACACATCTGATTCTTGCAACAAAACAAGATTTGCTTTTTATTGTTGACATCAGTGATATATTGCACAAAGAATTAGAATTGACATATGAGAACTTTATCCATGTTGGTAGCAAACGAAGAGAAGAGGAAAATGTTAACTTTATAAATATTTGGGAAAGAGGGGCCAAACTTGTTGGTGTCCTTCATGGAGAAGAAGCTGCTGTCATATTGCAAACAAATCGTGGAAATCTGGAATGCATCTATCCAAGAAAATTGGTTCTAGCCTCAATTGTCAATGCTTTGAACCAAAGGCGCTTTAGGGATGCACTTCTTATGGTGAGGCGACACAGGATTGATTTTAATGTGATTGTCGATTATTGTGGATTGCAAGTATTTATTCAATTAGCTTCAGAGTTTGTCAGGCAGGTGAATAATTTGAGTTACATAACGGAGTTTGTTTGTGCCATTAAAAGTGAAAATTTGACCCAGACACTTTACAAAAAGTTTCTCTCTCCACCTAGCTGCAAGGAGCACAATGATCTACAAGCTAATGATTTCAGGGGTTCTGATGCTAGTTTAGATTCTAATAACAAGGTGTCGTCTGTCCTTCTGGCCTTAAGGAGGGCGCTTGAGGAACAAATACCAGAAAGTCCTGCAAGGGTGCTCTGTATTTTGACCACTCTGGCTCGTAGTGACCCCCCTGCTCTTGAAGAGGCTTTGGAGAGGGTAAAAGTCATCCGAGAGATGGAGTTATTAGGTTCTGATGACTCAAGACGAAAGAATTGCCCTTCTGCTGAAGAAGCTCTGAAACATCTCTTGTGGTTATCAGATTCAGAGGCCGTCTTTGAAGCTGCTTTGGGCCTTTATGATTTGAACCTTGCAGCTATTGTGGCACTGAACTCCCATCGGGACCCTAAGGAATTTCTTCCCTTTCTCCAGGAATTGGAACGGATGCCTTTTCTCTTGATGTGCTATAGCATTGACCTTAGGCTGCACAGGTTTGAGAAAGCTCTCAAACACATTGTATCTGCAGGTGATGCCTATTTTGCTGATTGCATGAACCTTATGAAGAAAAATCCTCAACTTTTTCCTCTGGGACTTCAGCTGATAACTGATCCTACAAAAAGAGGGCAGGTCCTTGAGGCTTTGGGAGATCATCTTAGTGATGAAAAATGCTTTGAAGATGCTGCTGCAACTTACTTGTGTTGCTCCAGTTTGCAAAAGGCTTTGAAGGCATATCGTGAATGCGGTAATTGGAGTGGTGTTTTGACAGTTGCTGGGCTTTTAAAGCTGGAAAAAGATGAAGTATTGCAACTGGCTCATGATCTTTGTGAAGAACTCCAAGCTCTTGGTAAACCTGGAGAAGCTGCCAAGATTGCTTTGGATTATTGTGGAGATATTAATGTTGGGATTAATTTGCTAATTAGTGCAAGGGACTGGGAGGAGGCTTTGAGGGTTGCTTTTTTGCATGGCAGAGAGGATTTATTCTCAGAAGTAAAAAATGCATCGTTAGAATGTGCAATAAGTCTAATTGATGAATATAAGGAAGGGTTGGAGAAAGTGGGAAAATATTTGGCTCGCTATTTAGCTGTTCGACAAAGAAGATTGCTGCTTGCAGCAAAGCTGCAGTCAGAGGAAAGGTTGATAAATGATCTTGATGATGATACTGCTTCTGAAGCTAGTAGTACATTCAGTGGAATGAGTGTCTACACCACAGGGTACGTGTTTTGGTAGTCTAAGTTAAATATGTAGCTCTATAGCTTGTTGTGTTTCATCATATCTCTCGGTTATATTTTACCTATGGCATTGGAAGTTAGCTATTTAACATATTATATCCACTTATACATGTGCATCAATTCCTTAGGTTGTTTACATATTCTTGCTATTCATTGATTCTTTTTTTTTTTCTGTTCTTTCTGGATAAATGAAGTTTCATATTTGATTGAGACTTTACCCATTTATTGTATCCTTTGATGAGTGAACTCTATGTAGTTCATAACAAGTACAAATTACAATTATTCGTAACTGTAAAAAGCCACATAAGAGGACAATTTGTGCTTGTTGAATGTTTATCATTATTCCAACTTTTAATTCTTTGGAGATTCAAGATAAACCTTTGCCCATATATGGTCATTTCTTTACTTAAATCATAGTCATAAGTTGCATACATTTGTATGCCACTACAAACTATATAGATTTATTTTCTACATTTGTTTGATGGCCTTGCCTAATGTGCTGCAAGGTGCATGATTAATAAATGGGGTCAGAACATTTGTTCTGACTTCAAACAACAAATACAGATGGTCTTTTTTTAGTCTCATTCATGTCTGAATGTGCTGTTTCCTTCTTGCATGAACAGGACAAGAAAAAGCTCTGCTGCTTCAACTGGGTCAACTTTGGCTAGCAAGGCTAGAGATACAAGACGTCAGCGAAGCAGAGGAAAAATTCGTCCTGGCAGGTATGTGTTCATTCGAGTATCAGGATCTCTCTTCTTTCCTCCTTGCTATATCTACAGGGACATATTTTACTGAGACCATATCTTGATATTGTAGCCCTGGTGAGGAGATGGCTCTTGTAGAACATTTGAAAGGCATGTCTCTGACAGCTGGGGCAAAGCGGGAACTTAAGTCCCTGTTGGTTTCTCTTGTAATGATTGGCAATGAAGAAACTGCACGGAAGTTGCAACATGTGGGAGAGAACTTTCAACTATCTCACATGGCTGCAGTCAGACTAGCTGAAGATACAATGTCAAATGATAGCATAAATGAGCATGCACATACTTTGGAGCGTTATTTACAGAAAGTAAAAACTGAACAGCAGGATTTGGATGCTTTTTCATGGCGCTGTAGAGTATTCCTTTCTCATTGACAGGTTAGCTCATTTCTTACAAAATGACCCCTTACAGTTCAAACTTCTGGGTTGTTGAACTGTATCATATATTATTTGATTTTTCATCGATTACTTCTAACATCAAGAAGATTAAATTGGCGTGGAGTTTGTACCTGAAGCTTCCTGATAATTTATGCTTGTTTTAACTTTCCAATATTTATGGCACCTGTGGTTTGCACATGGCTTAATATAAGGTTCATAGCATCATGCGTGCGCTATATCTCCTCTCTTGCGAACATGCATTCCTTGTTATCCACAGACATGCATAAAACAAAAATGTGTTACATTACTTTTGCTTGTCTACATGATTAGTTCTTTAAAAATATAGCTTCTGAATCCATGGCATGAGTTACTATTGTGCTTAACCTCTTCAAATTCATTGTCCTTGAAACTTATGTTTGAATTTTCATTGTTGCATGTTGCCAGGCATCAAATGTCATAAACACAATAGCTGGTGAAGCATCTGTGTCCATTTTGAGATTAAGGAGACATAGGAGGAATTATTCTGTCAAAGTAGCTTTAGGAATCTCCAGTTCTTATGTCTTTTAGCATAAATAGGTTTCATTGATTTTTTTCCAGCTTTTCCATTATGTGTTTAGATCATGGTTTTATACTTTTAAGTCTCTTTTGAATCATTGGCTGCTAAAATTCACGTGTTTTTGGAAGGAAATAGAATAATTACTTCTAAAACCTCAATTAAATTGTCAAATTTGTATGTGACACTAAAGTCACATCATTGCATTCAAATACAAGAACCAATCTTAGCTTCTTTTTTTGATTGAATACTACAAGGCAAAAAATTTGGTACTTGTTTGAAGCAAGGCAGGAGAAAATAGAATAGAAGCTTAAAACTGACAACAGCCAACTAATGAAATTACAGGAAAGAATTGTGGCAGGGATTGGAGTTTTGATTTGGTTAATACAATTGGACTTAGGGTTGTATATAATTCAGTTTTAATAGAATTAACCAATCGAATCAATTTGATTTGATTAATCGGTTGATCATCGAATTAATTTTAGTCAGTTAATGAAAATGATTTTAAATGAATTTTGATTTTTAATTAATTTGGTTTGAAAATTGAATTAATTGAAATTTTAATCAAAATATAACTAATTCAAATATAAAATAAAATATATATGAAATGGATCATTTAATTTCATAAGTTGTTAGAATTTTTAACATAATATTTTAGTATTTGAATATTTTGTTGGATAATTTTATTTAATTTGTTTAAAATATAAAAAATTAGGAGTTTAAAATATAATTTAATTTAAATATATTTATTATTCAATTAACCAAAAAATTAATTAAATTAATTGAATTTAATTCGATTAATTTTTAAATTTTATAAATTTAATTCAATTAACAAAAATAAAATAATTTAATTTGAAATTAATTGGACCAACTGAATAAACATTCCTAATTGAATCAAGTGATGGTCTTAAAACTAAAAGTTTGAAGAATTTACGAAAATCAAGAGAAAAAAAAAATTTTCTCTATTCTCTTAAAAGGGCCCAACCGGGTTCGAACCGGTGACCTCTTGATCTGCAGTCAAATGCTCTACCACTGAGCTATGGACCCTTTTGCTGAGGATGGGGTGAAACTTATTATTTCATCTTTATTCATTTAGACAAGGAACCAACCGTCATTCCTAAGTGCCACCCTTTCTTCCTATCATCCAGTTTTACAGTACAAGCTCAATGTATGAGTTAAATCAATAGTGCTGAGGATGGGGTGAAACTTATTATTTCATCTTTATTCATTTAGACAAGGAACCAACCGTCATTCCTAAGTGCCACCCTTTCTTCTTATCATCCAGTTTTACAGTACAAGCTCAATGTATGAGTTAAATCAATAGCTTCAGCAAAATCATCATGCATACAAGATATTGTTATGAGAAGAAAAACTGAAAGAACTAAATTTGAGGAAGATGATGCTTGATGAACTAAGGCTCAGATTTCTTCTCTCCTAGCTTTTCTTGTAGGAAAGAGTTAAATCTTACATAAGTAAAAGCTGGTGTCATTGTTTTTTAACAAACAAAGCCATGAGAAAGGGATTTAAGTGTTGGGATTTGAATTTTAAACTTGTTGGATGCCATCTTTTTGGATGACTACATAAACCAAGCTAAAGCTTCAGGTTCGACGTGTCCCAATCTTTGCTTTTGAAGAAGTTTGAATCCAGACAAACATACTAGGATACCATGGTAGTTTAGACATCAATTGGCAATAAGAGCAAACATGGCAGGAATTATTCAAACAGAAAGTTAAGCAAGTGCCAAAGATGAATAAAGTAAAGGTACAGTAAGCCATAGAACAAAAGCTTCTTTTCATTAATCCAATTACCAATCCACAATGACTAAACTGTAAAGAAACTGATGCCATTATTGTTCATGAAGATTATATATTGGAACTGACTAAAGGAAGGAGATAATAGCATTTTATCTGTATTTTCTACTCTAACTGGGGCATCAGCTTGCCCCCAGCACTGTGAATTTGTAAAATATAACTGCAATCAGTTCTTCCTGGGGACGCCAAGCCTCTGACGGAAATCCTCCTCCATAAGAGGAAGTCCATCGCGCAATTTGACTGTTGGTTCCCATCCTAGCAGCTCCTTTGCTTTGGTTATGTCTGGCTTCCTTTGACGAGGATCATCAGGAGTGTTTTCAACCATTGATATTTGCACCTCAGGATTGATAAGCTGCACCACACATGGCCAAGAATTTGATTGATCAGTTTCCTGAATATATCTATGAATAGTTTCCAGCAGGAAAGTATTCATGTTGAATTCGGTTCCATATTGACTTGCCTCAGGAAAAGAGAACTACATTATAATACAGTTGAGAGCAGAGACGGATCTATATGTTGAAGTAGGATGTTCATGGACATTTCCAAAGATTGAAAAAATAAGAAAATTTGAAAGAAAATTTTCCCATGGACATCCCCAAAATTTTTCTGAGGACACTCTTTCCATTGACAAAAATGGTAAATCTGAGAACAATTTTTTATATATATGTATATTATAAGTGAAAATCCCGAGAAAAAATCTTGAATCTGCAACTGGTTGAAAGGACAAAAATGAACGAAAAACTGACCTCTTTCACAGCCTCTGCAAGTTCAAGCATTGTGAATTCACCTAAAACATAGAAAAAGGAAATCTACGTTAATATTGGACAAAAAGGAGCTTCTAATAAGATAGAAAATCAAGATAAAGGCCTGCATAATCACCTGGATTCCCAATGTTGATTGGCCCGGTGTTCTCTCCCTCCATAAGTCGAATAAGGCCATCAACCTTCATCGGTTAAAATGAAAAAAGATGAGCAGCAGACACGTTAATACATTGTAAAACAGCTTGATATTAACAAGATTTCCAGCATACCATATCTGAGACATAACAGAAACTCCTTGTCTGTGTTCCAGGTAATTGAACAGTCAAAGGCTCATTACTGCACAATGAAACAGTTAAAAGGAAAAGGGTGTAAGTATAGGGAAGGAAACAAGGAAGAAAACGAATCATCATACACTGGAACCATCACTTACCGGATTGCTTGGGCAATGAAATTGCTGACAACACGACCATCATCTATATTCATGCGTGGTCCATAAGTGTTGAAAATTCTAGCAATCCGAATCTCTGTTATCATGAAAAAGAGTAAGAATCCTCAAATAATGAGCAGTAAACGCTGCATTCTTTACCTATGCCATGCTGCCTGTGGTAATCAAACATCAACGTTTCAGCTACTCTTTTTCCCTCATCATAGCAGCTCCTAACTCCTGTAGCATGTAGAAAAACAAATTAATAGAAAGTCATATGCGGGCAAATTTCTACTTAGAACTGTGCCAGCCCTTAATGAATGATAGATGCTAAGAGGAGTAAAACCATAGATATATACAGCAAGAGAGGGGCCAAAGACTGTCAGGGTTTCTACATATCCACACGACAATAACTGAAAACCATTCTCAACTATCAAAGTAGAAAAGAAAACATACCAATAGGGTTAACATTTCCCCAATAGCTCTCATTCTGGGGATGCTCAAGAGGATCTCCATACACCTCTGAAGTCGAGGTAAGCAAAATCCTGTTGTCGACAATCATACAATGAGAATGCAGGAATATATTTATAAAAACTATATCATAGAGATAAGTAACAGTCTCATACCTCGCTCCAACACGCTTTGCAAGTCCCAACATATTCAATGTACCAATCACATTTGTCTTTATTGTCTGTTTTATGTCATAGCAACATAGTCTTCAGATAGAGGTTAAAAGAAAAACAAAATAAAGAGTCTTTACAACTGATATCTCATCCAAGATATAGCGTTCTGCTGCGGAGGAATCATACCTTCACAGGATTGTATTTGTAGAAAATCGGAGAAGCTGGGCAAGCAAGATGGTATATCTGATCAACTTCAACTAGCAACGGCTCAGTGACATCTGCATGAAAAATAAAGAAAACATTAATATTCCAACAAAAATTCGACATTCTTAGCTTGCCTTACAGAACATAAAAAATTAAAGAAGAATACCATGACGAATAAGTTCAAATCTTGGGTGACCAATCCATTTCTTCAAGTTGTCCTTGGAGCCAGTAAAGTAGTTATCAACAACAATAACCTGCAGCATCAAAACCAAAGACTGTTAAAACGCAAGCAAAGCACAAGTATCATTCAATGGACATAAGCATACCAATCCAAATATCTGACTTTGAAAAATATATAGGCCTCGGGTTTCACCATTCATACTTACCTCATTCTTTTCGTTCTCCATCAACTTGTCCACTAGGTGGGAGCCAATGAATCCAGCTCCTCCAGTAACCAGAATTCTCATGTTGGTCTGCGTTTAAAACAAAAATACGATATAACACAATCACATATTATAAGTAATTAAGATCATACAGAACTCTATTCTGCAGAAATTATAAGATATATTTAATCCAAAGAAGAAAACTCGCCAACAAACGAAAAGGCAATCCAAGGTCAAGTACAATGAGGATTTGCATGAACTTGAATTAAGGGTAACAATGCATATATCATTCCCACTTTGCAAACAGCTTAGTTGTCACCATCTCATTCATTTTCACGCCAGATTCACCCATAACCAAGGTTTATGAGGCATTTAGGCTTGAATAAACAGAGATTGTTAGCAACAAAATCTATCCATAACCAAGATATTTACTCTTACTAATTGATTAATCTTACCTGAAAAAACTTGGAAAATCTCAAAGGAGATGGACTTGGAGGCTTCTTAGAAGCTGAGTTGTCAGTTCCATTTGCAGACATTTTTTGGGATCCTTTCTTGAAATCCTACACATAAAAAAAATCGAAACAATCAAAATTCACCATCAAATCTTCCAAAACCAACCAGATACAAAACACTTAAAAAAAAAAAAAACTAACCAAACTCAAAATTCCAAAATTTTTCTATTTCTTCTATGCCTATGAAACGAAGAGATTACAGCCTAATATATGCAATGGAATATGATCTAAAAAGAATTAATTAAACACTTAAAAACTTAAATTAAAATCAAATAAAAATCCACTGACCAACCAGAGAGAGAGAGACAAAGCAGATAGAAACTTAAAAAACAAGAAAAGTGAATAACAATCAAAAGCTTCACATTAACAAAACTACAGCCCACACCAAACTAAAAAAAAACGTTTTTTTTTTCAGATCCCAATCTGAACCCAATGGCCTAAAAGACCACAGAATTAAAAAAGAAAAAATATACCTTGAGAATAACAAGGTGAAAATAAAATCTGGGGTTTGTTTAATTTAATGAAATCCTGCAGAAATTTAAGAACTTTAAGGATTTGAAGAATACTAGACCAAGATCCTTCAGGGACCGGACTTTACAACTGGTTTTTATCATGTGTTCCTTTCAAGGTTGTTGAGTTGAATTTGTTAAAAGAAAACGAAACCTGACGTGGCAATGAGGTAGAAATTTGTCTTCCAATTATGGAGTGCCACGTGTAATTTTAAAAGGATATTTCTCATGAATCGGCCACGAGTTCACGTGTTCGGTTGGGTTACTTCGGGAGATTTTTGTTTGCTGCGGTTAGATGTAGTGTAACCGTAGAATTCCTCTTGGAATAAAATTCTTTCGCGTTTATCAACAATCTAATTGAGAGGAAAATCAAATTTTAAACGATTTAGGAGATTTTAAATTTTTTAATTAATAGTAGAATTATATATATATTATATTATAACATACATAATTATCAGATAATAATTATTGACGTGAACATTTATGTGAATAATTTTTTTTTATATATAAAATAAATTTAAAATTTTTCATTATGATGACATATAAGATATTTATTAATTTTAAATTATTTATAACAAATATTTTTTAAAAATTATTAAATTATCTAAAATTTTAAAATTTAATCAAAAATTAATTTAAATTCTAATAAAATTATCTTATCTATATATCATTTTATCTTAATTTAAAATTAATTTTAAAATAATTTATCACTATTAGATGCACGATATTAGTATATAATAATAGATTTGGTGCATGATACAATCTATTATTTTTCTGATTTTATCTGTTGAATGAAGTCTTATCATTTTCTGATTTTGTGAATCGAAATTGTAACTGCAATTTTTTCTTTTGTGACTTTCATGTTTGTCTTTATTTTTATCATAATTAATCTATTTCATGATCTGTCTCTATTTTTGATAATTTCGCCTATTTTTCATAGATGATAAGGAATTTCATGGATGCAAGAAAGATCTTTCCGGAGAGGCGTTGCTTATGTGATTGCAATGGTTGCTGAATTTGACGAGTACACAAATGATTGGTTCTATCTTAGAGAGGGGACAATCTTCCCAAGGTAATCAGCTTTCTGATCTTTTGAACTTCTGGCTCTGGCGGAGCATTACGTTAGCATATTTTTATAGTTTGAAATTTTCTTTTTTTTTTTTCACAGCCAGGCCCTCTTATCGCAAGAAAAGTGGTTCTGAACCAGAGTACTCTGTTGGAGGACTTGGTGGCAAATTCAATTCTACTTCTGGTGAAGTACCTGCAATGCTTGTGCCAAGCTTGGTTCATTCGGTATCAGTTAGAGAGGCAATAAATGAAGTGAAAACGGTTCAGGTTGGTTTCAATTATGCAACAGGTTTTGGTCTCTCTGCAACAGATTGCTTTTTTGGTTTTATTAATACTGGAATATAGTTTGATCGGTAGTATTAACAAAAAGAGTTCCTACCATGAAACAGACCATACACTAAAAGAGTTGTAAGGAAATGAACATTGACAAATACATCTTTCTGATCTTTTAATGGTTACGGGTAATTGGCCTGAAATGTAACAGATTTGGACGAATATGATGAAAACTTGTGAAATAAGTGGCAAAGAACTATTGGATGCTGATGTAATAACTGAAGTGGACCTCTATGAATGGTTGAAGGCAAAAAGTGGTAATGAAGCAGCCATAATTGGTGTTGGCTTACCATGTTATTGTTTCTTGCAGAGTCTCCTCAACTCTATCAGATCAGGTTCTAATGGTTTGTTATTTTGCGTTGAAATAAACCATTTATTAGGCAAAGACAATGTTAGATTGGTTCTTAATCCTATAATGTTCCTGAAAAACAATCAATTATAAACTAGGAGACATGAAGTTACTGTTGAAATGTTCTTTTGGCAACAATATCAAAAATTGATGCTTGGGATAATGTTTCAATTCAAGATTTTCTTCAAAGTGCTCAAATTAAGGCATAAGTAGAAGATTTGAATTTCCTTTATTTATGCTTAATACAACAATTAAAATTATTTGATAAATTTCATTATGTATGACTTTTGCATATTTCATTAAATCACCATAAATTGATGAAGAACTTAACCATAAATCTTGAGTCTATGATTAAAATGAAATATTAGACAAAAACCACATATGATAAAAATAACTATTAATTTTAACTATTTAAATATTGATTCTTGATTTTTTATCAAACAAGAAAAAAGTAATAGCAAAATTTTTAGTATTTAGCAAATAAATTGAAAAAAAAATTTAAGAAAAAAACTATTATAATTCTTAAAAATTTATAAAAGTTTAGACTTCTTTTAGATTAACAATATCATATATATATTATATTATAATATATATAGTTATCAGATAATAATTGTTGACATTGATATTTATGAGGACAGTTTTTTTTTTTTACACGTAAGATAAATCTTAAAACTTTTTATTATGATGACATATAAAATATTTATTAATTTTAAATTATTTATAAAAAATATATATTTTAAAAATTATTAAATTATCTAAAATTTTAATCAAAAATTAATTTAAATTCTAATGAAATTCTTTTATCATGTATATCACTTTATCTTAATTTAAAATCAATTTTAAAATAATTTATCTTTTCTAATTTATTTACAATTAACATGAGTATTTAATTACTATAACAAACTTAAATTAAATTGTGAAATATTAATGAATGTAAATTTAGGGACAATTAATCTAAATATGTATTATATATGTTTTTATCTTGCATGAATCCATAAAAAGATATTTTATATGTTTTATTATGTCAAAAATAAAATAAAATTTATGTTTTTCATGTTAAACAAGTAATAAATCTTTAATCATATTATTCATGAGCTGCTTAAATAAAAAATATATATTTTATTGTGATAACTTTTAAAAATAATACACTTACTTCTAAAAAAAAAATAAAAATAATGGGCAAAGTATGAACTTGTGTCGAGGCATAGTCACTTTGCCAATAGAAAAGTAAGTGTATTATTTCTAAAAGTTATCACAATTAAGTAAGACAAATTTTTTTTTGTCATAAAAAAAAGGCTTAAAGAAAAGAAGATAATAGTGAGCATTGTAACTTATTATTTTTAAATGGTTATATGTGATAATGACTAATGTAATATAAGATAAAAGGAGTAAGATATAAAACATCAAAAAAATTATCAGATAAAGATATAAAATATTAAAATTTAAATATTATTATTTGATTAAATATTAGATAAATTTATTATTTAAATAAAATATATTTATTATATAACTTGATTATTTACTGTCTTTTCATTCAATTTATTTTTTAAGCAATACTTTATCTTCTCACAAATTTTAACACTATTCTTTTATTGCTCTTTCATTTTAGGTGAATTTATTTATTTTTTTCATAGGCTTTGTATTATTGTTATTTATTATTTTTACATTATGTTATTAAAATGCACATTGCTTTCTTTCCATGGGAATGAAGGTTACAAATTTTCTTATGTTCTAAATAAATTAATATTTACTGTTTACTTGACAATTTTGGCAAAAAAAAAAACTGTAATTTTGAGACAACAACTACAGCAGTTGCAGGAAAATCAAATAAAACTTATTTTAAAATTACAAAAATTTACAAGTATACAAAAATGATAAAAGAAGTTAGAGATCATGCAAATTAAATAAAGTTTATTTGAAATAATAAGACTTTTAGTTTCTATTTTAATATTTTGTTGGCATAATTAATAATATTTTTTATAATATCTTCTGGATATTTTTTCTTCATCTAATATTATTTACCATATATTTTAAATTTTATTAATTTGTTAATTAAAATTTTTATTTTTATTATGATTTGATATTTTAATTATAATATTTATATTATATATATATATTTTAAACATGTTAATAATTTAATAATATTAATTTTTATTTTTATTTAAATTTAAATAAAATAAAAATAATCCATGCATCGCACGGGTAGCAAGCTAATTTACTTATATATATATATATATATATATATAGTAGGGGTAAGAAAAAAAGTTTAAAAATTAATTTAAAATTATAATAATTGATTCATTTGAATCAATTTTTTAATTTAATTTAAATTAAATTCAAATATTAAATATATATCATGTTTAGATTAAAAATTGAAAAACAAAAAAATTTAAATCGACTTAAATTATATATTTTTATTAATTTTTTAAATTTTTATAAAATAAAAACAATAATTTTATATTAAAATTTATTTAAATATATTAAAATAATATATATAATTAAAAATTAAAATTAATAAACTAAATTAAATGGATAAAATTTTATTCACTTCTTAAATTTAATTATATAAAAGATCCGTTTAAATTCAATAAAATTTTAAAAAATTCATAATATTATATAATATCTAAAAAAAATTATATTAAATCCGATTCATTTGAACCGATATCATTTATAATACATATTTCTTTAGCACATGAAAAATTATTTTTTATCATAGATAATAAAAATAATTATTTTTAAACAGAGCCACGTCAATGGTGATATTTATCAGAGCGTTCTTTAGAAATACAAGTCGCATGCTGATTGGTTGATGTCATTTTTTACTGGTCCTCCGCGGACCATCTGATAACAAGCGGCCACGTCGGAAGCAGCTAATGTCTAGTTTGAAGGGAAATTGATAGGTTCATGTGGAGTGCATGATAGTCTACGCTGCATCATTATCCTGCCGCGTCAATCCAAACCATCAACTTTGACCTTATCATCCAAAAACGCAGTCGTTTGGCTTATGAAAACCGTACCTACAACAATACAACTATAATGCAAAGACTTCGAGTCAATAGAAACGTAGGCTTTCACTTTTCAGTTCCAGATCTCCTCGTCGGCTCATTTCTTTGGCTCTTTGGCCTCTCCTGGCTCCGGAAAGGTACGCCGTTTCTTCTTGGATCCCTCCCTCTTCTTGCCTCTGTTTTTCTCTCTTAATCATTGTAGCAAACATCACGATCTTAAAGCAGATCGACGATTTCTTTTAGATTCACAGTCTACATGTTGATTTAAATTTTTTCCCTATTTTTTTGTTTGTTGATTGGGATATTTTAGTTTCCGGTTCTTGAATTGTGAGTGCTAGAATTGAATAGTTGTTAGTAAAAAGCAATCGCATAGCGGAGTGGATATCGCTTTAGACTCCGGATCTAAAGGTCGTGGGTTCGAATCCCACTGCGATCGCCATCCAATCAATTCCTTTTGCATTTTGAGCCTAGTGAATTTTTTACTAGTAATTTAGGGGTTTTTTTTTTCAGAGCTTTTTTTTTTTTTAATAAAATTTGATGAGGAAGGTATGTTGAATTGAAGCCCAATGAGGTGCCTATCGATGACTTAAAGTATTTGGAACATTTTCTTTGTGCGAGCCTATGGTGGTTCGATTTTTGAGATTTTATGTGTGTAGAGTATATTTGGTATGAAGAAGGTCGTGGTGCAGATGTTGAGATTTGAACCCGGGATGTCACCTCTTAAAGGTGGCTGCATGAACCTCTTGACGGTGGATTTGAATTTTGATCGTATGAAAAATTGGCTGAAAACCTTAGCGACTGGAATATTGTCGGTTAATGAACTACATTATACAGATTAGTCACTTCATCTTAACGTGAACGTATCCATGCCCAATACTTCTTTGAGCACTTTAAACTTATCTTTGTATGATGATTGATTAGATTATCAACATTAACATACAAATTGCCACAAACATGACATTCCCATGTCAGATACATACTAGCATGACATTGGATGATCTTGAGTCCATGTAACATAGGTAATGAATGTCTATTGTTAATGTTAGGGTTGGAGAGTAGAACGCTTAATTGTGATTGAATTAGATTCTTTTTATAGAGATATATGCAAACGTCCTCTCAGTTTACTGAATGCTGCTAATAGCGATGCATAAAGCGGTGTGTAACTAATTCACGAAGTAATAGAATTAGATGAATTGAAGTAACTTTAGTGTGGAAGAAATGACTGGCCTTTCAGCCATTCTGCATCGATTGTTTATAGCAACCGTTCATACAGAAGAAATGAAGTAATTTTAGTCCGTGGTTGTTTCGAATAATCGTCCACATGTAGATTATTTATGCAGGTGTTAAAACTGTCAATAGTAACTTGTAATTACTGCCAGATGCCATTGTTGCTTTTATTAAGATTAGAGTCAATAAGTTTTATTAACGTTAGTTTGCCATGTGTTTTGTCAGCTGTTTGGCTTGCCTTAGGGATAGAACTTATCACCAACAATTTATGCATTTATTCTACCATTGAAGGATAGCTACTGGTTGAAGTTGAGGTAGAATGAACACGAGTTAATGTCACCAAATGTCTGGAAAATACTTCATAGTATTTGGAGTTTGAAACTTTCTCATAGGTTATATCACCTATACTTGTTAAAATCATAGCACAATAAGTTTGTGATGAGCTACTGATTTGTGGGGATTTTATGTGTTCATGCAGATGATTGACGATGAACAGCTGGGATTTCTTGCCAATTTTCTAGGCATTTTTATATTTGCACTGGTAATTGCTTACCATTACGTGATGGCTGATCCAAAATATGAAGGAAACTGAAAGGATATGCTGAGCTAATGTATGCACTTTTAGATGTGAACCTAGATTATATTTGTACCATGTTAGTTTTGTTTGCACAACTGTTGTTTTCATCAATCTTGGTATTTCTACTAATGATTGACCTATAATTCAATTTTCTTAAGATTTGATGCATATAACATTGTTCTTCGATGCATTTAGTGATACTTCATTAAGCAACCCTTATACATGCATGCACATACATGACATGTTCCCTGCAATTCTTCCTGTTGTTAACATCTTTAACAATACTATGAACAAATTAAACATTGAAGATTCATTCATTTCCTTCCAAGGGAAAAAAAAAAGGCTCCCAACTTCTTAGAATACTTGTGCTGGTGATGTTGAAATGCTGACTTTCAGTACATGGCTACCATACACACACATGCACCGACATGACATGTTCCTTGCAAGTGGTAGTATCATATCCGCTGCGTTTCATTGCTTTCATTCATTCCTTGCAAAGCAAAAACAAAGGCACCCACCTTGTCAAAGCTGCTGTTCTTCTAATGTGAAATGCCTGATTATTAGTACAGGACTACCATGATTTGCTCTTTTTGTCCATTATGCTTTGGACTGTTCACCACTTTGTAAAGCCTTTTGGTGGCCGCATATTTATGATCTGCTTTCATCAAACCCACCAATCTACATATTTTGCATTAGCAGAAGTTATTGTGTGGTTAGGGCCCCACCTGATATGATTATGCAACTACTTCTAGTGCTTATTCAATAATTATGCATAGCATGGAGTTTTTTTGTTTTGTTTATTCATTTATTGGTTGATTTGAGATGAGCATAAAACTTAAATGGAGAAATTAGCTACCATTTGCTGTTCCTTGAAGAAATAATTGAGTAAAAAATTTATAATATCTTTCACTATGAACTATTTTCTTCAATGATAACTTTGCTAGAGCCCAAAAGCCTACGAGCAAATATGCCTTTCAACTTCAAAATAGATCTAACAATTTAAAATATGATGATATGATACAAATATAATATGAATAAAAAATTCAAAAAATATATTTTATATTTTTATGTTGATATAAATAATAACATAATTTACGTATAAAATATAATGAAATACATTAATTTTAATATTTGGCATGTATCATTGGATCTAAACAAAAATTTGGCTTTCATATTTTAGTATTAGGATTGGATTCTAATTTTATAAGATAAGATATAATTTTTGAAAAAGAAATTGATTCGAATTTTAATTTTTATCAAAAATACCCAAAGCCGACAAAAACTTGTGTTAAGATTACAAATTTTGTTTAATTAATTTAAATTTTAATTCAATTAATTTATTTAATTATTGTTATTAAATAATATTTAACAAATTTAAAATTTAAATTTCAACAAAATCTTCCATCTTTCTTCTTTGTATAAAAAAATAATTTATTTAATTGATTTATAGAAGATACATAGGAATGGCATGCCACATTTACATACTGCTACAAAAGGAAATAATTTCATTCAAAGCTTGGTTAGCAATAAATAAATAAAGAATACAACAACTCTCATGTATACATCAGTCCATTAGCCACGTCATCAAGGTAAAATAAACACAAATCAGTAAATCACCTATTATCATCATTACATCAATTAAAAAGAAAATATCACAGCGTACGGTGCATAGTAAAAGGCCTACACCTTCACACACCCAAAAATATTCTCTCTTCCTTCTAAAATCTACAGATGAAAACGAGAACCGTTTATTATATAACAGGCGACCCGAAAACCCGACAGCAGAGACGATAACCCGAGAAACAGAAATCCGGCGAAACCCAATGCCACGGAAATATCTGATTGTACGCAGAACGAGTTCGACGTCGTACACGTGGCTGTCCCTTTTAACGCTTTCGCCAACGCCGTTCCGGCCGAGTCCGCCGATAATAACAAATATGCGAACACCTGGTCGTGGCCAAAGTCGAACCAAACTTGGAGGATTTCGGGGAAGAGAGTGGCTCCGGTGGAGATCTCCCAAATAGAAACGCCCATTTCGAAAAGCGAATACAAAGCCACGATTGCGTTTGCGGCGAACACGAATCTGCGGTGAGATTTCCCGTTTTGCTTTTAATTTTCAAGCTTTTATTTTTTTTGAATTTCATAAAATAAAAATAAAATTTTATCTTTATTTGAAAAACAAACAAAATAACCGCGCGTTTTCAACTGACTTGAAAGCGTCAAATTCAAAATTTAAAGCATTTTAGGTTAAATTCAATATTAAAAAAAAGGAAAATTAAAATTAAAAGTTTTTTTAAAACTAACCTGAAAGCGTCAAAATCGAACCAATGAGGGGAATCGGAGCCGCGAGAGTTAGTGACCATGAAAACGGAGGAAGCGAGAGAGAAAGTGAAAGCGGCGAGTCGGAAGACGAGAATCAGTGAATGGAATCGTCTGAGTTTACGGAGAGTTACAGTGGAGTGAAAGCGAGGGGTAGGGATTCGGTGGTGAGGGGAAGGGGTCTCGCCATTGTGAACAGCCTGTGGGGACCTCATGATGAACGACTGTAATTATGGTGATGGTGGAGATGGCTGTGATTTTGAGATGGAGGCAAGGAAAAGAAGGGAAAGAGAGAATCATGAGTGAAATGGGGAGGGATTTGGGAGGAGGAGGAGAAGAAGAAGAAGAAGAAGAGGTAGAAGGGAAGGGTAGTCACGGGGGAGAGATATGAGAACCATGGGATAAGGGAGGAAATGAGAGAAAAAGTTATGTGAAAAGAAACTAAAAAGAGAGGAAAAGTGGAAAAAGATAGAGAGAAAGAAAGAGTATAAACACTATTTATACAAATGTTGAAGATACGACTTATAAATAGAAATTTCAATTATTAAGACAATTCTTTTATTATTTGGAGAAATGAAAATTTAAACTTGATTTTTAATAAAAAAATTATACATCAAATATTGAAATTATAAAACTATTGATCTACTGTAATTTTTTATTAAGACAACTATAAAGATTATAAAGATTAATGGGGTCATTGAAGAATCGAATCAATATAATATGAAGCTCAAATTTAAATTTAATTTGAAAATTCGTTATTTGAAATTTGATTTACATTTGATCAAATTTTAATTAATCGAATTCATTTGATTAGATTTGTATATTAAATAAAAAATTTTAATTATCATATTTAATTTTAAATTTAATTATCTATATTCAAATTTAAATTGATAAATATATGTAAAAATTAAAATAATAATTTTTAATTAAAATATAAAAATTTGATTAAATTTATGAATTATTTAAATTAAATATTATGATTTTTGAATTGGATTCGATGATTTGAATTATATTTAATAATGATCAAATTAAATTTAAAATTTATTTTAATTGAATCAAAATAATTTATGAGTATATCATTTACGTCTTTAATTAAGAGAATTAATAGGGTCTATTATAGAGTGGATACGTAGAGGAGTGAAAATTGCAGCTGTTTATGACAGGAAGGCAGAGGAGGAGGGTCCATCAATAGATTTTTATGAAAGGAATGGGTTAGAAAGAAGCTCATTTCACATTGATGAATCAATTGATATAACCGTAGAACTTCTGAAGTGGAATTGCAGTTGTCAGATCTGGAAAATTTGACTATGGTAAGGTCTGGTTTTTCAACAACAATCATTTGCATCTAAAGCATGAACTCAAATACACAAGGCAAGATGGTGTAGATTCATGTGGGATCCGACGAAGTCACAGCAATTAATCTGTTGGACTCTTGGTAGCCAGGTTACAGTCTACAAACTCATCTGGGTTACAGCTGTCATGGCTCCAAGGTACTTATGAACCCCCTTTCTTTGTTCTTAATGCCGCCTCCTATGTACTTGGGAGGAGGAGGAGGAGTGATCTGAAAAGAAACTAAAAAGTAGGGGTGAAAAAAATATTAATAAAACAAAAAATCAATTTAAACTATAATGTTCCGTTCGTTTTAGTCTTAATCGATTTTTTTATTTTGTTTAAATCAAATTTAAATATTAAATACATATTAAATTCAGATTGAATTTTAAATTAAAATAATTTTTAAAAATAGAATTAAATTGAATTATATATATTTTTAATTTTTATAAAATAAAATTAATAATTTTACATCAAAATTTATTTAAATATATTAAAATTTTATATTATAGTTTGGTTTGATTTGAATTTGAATTGAATTTTAAATTTTTATAATATTTTATAACATTAAAAAAATAAAATTATATCTGATTCGATCACGTCGTTATCACTCTTGTTAAAAATTTAAAAAAAAAGATAAAAAAAAAAAGAAAGAGAAATAGTATAAATACTATTGAAAATTGTTGAAAAAACAAGTAGAGAGATACTATATATAGAAATATATTGAAATATGACTTATGAAGATATGACTAAATCCCGAATTATTGGAAGCAATAAAGCAACCTTCAGTTTAATTATTTTATGAAACAATTTCATGATTTGTTCTGAATTACTGTTATTAGTGCATATGATTTGCAACCCTTCACACATGTATGCTTGATTTGTTTGATCTCAACTGTTAGTTAATAGCTGAGTTTACCATCAGCAAGCTTTGATAAATCAACTAAATGTTAAAGTGATCGATAATGAATCTATGTAGAAGAAAATTGATAGAAATGTTGCTCAACATTGTAAGGATCGATCCCAACAATGTTTTTTAGCTATTCTATAATCACAAGGTAATACTCTTTTACTATGGCACACAAACAGTGAGATGTTAGTGGCTTTTTGGTTAAGAGTGTTTATTCGATCAATTTGATTAATTTTGAATCGAATTATTTAAAATTAAATTAATCAATTTATTTTATTTTATTTTCGTTAATCAAATAAAATTTATTAATTTCAAAAATTAACTAATTAAATTTAATTCAATCGGTTCGATTAATTTTTTCGATTAATCGAAAAATAAATATATTTAAATTAAATTATATTTTAAACTCTTAATTTCTCATATTTAATACAAACTAAATAAAATTATCTAATAAAATATTTGAATATCAAAGTATTATGTTAAAAATTCTAAAGATTTATGAAATAAATGATCAATTTCATGTATTTATCATTTTATATTTGAATTATATTATATGTCAATTAAAATTTTGATTAATTCAATTAATTCGATTTTTGAACTGAATTAATCGAAATTTGAAATTCTTTTAAAATTTATTTTGTAAATTAATTTGGTTGAAATCAAATTATAAACACCCTACTTGTGGTGTATTTCTGCTGCCATTATTCATTTACTGCCTTTAGTTAACACAACAAGCAGATTTACTGCCTTCTATGCATTTGATCATTTTTCAACCAGCCAACTTCTAGAATATATAACATTCCCACAACTTTGAGCCATGAATCACCTGAATGGAAAGAAACCTTTCCTATAATCTATAAACCTTCAGCCCTAAAGTAATGTATCTCATACATTTTTTTTGTTTTTATTAAATTTATATATAATTTTTTATTAAAATTTTAAATCATATTATTTTTATTTTTTATTTTATTTTTATGTTGTATCATTATATCATATTTTAAATTATCAGAGAATAATATTCGCATTTACAATTACACCCCTAAAAGTTAATACCCTAGCAAGTTGCTAGCTTACTACTTCAGCGCAAGCTTTCCTTACTTTTTTCTTTCAAATATATGCCATTTGTTGGTGTTAAAATTAAACCATTGAAAGGGAAATTTAAATAAAATTATCATATGAAAAATATATGGGATTTTTAATTAAAGGAACCATATTACATTTTTAAGAAAATAAAATAAAATTTATGAGATGATCATATATTACTTATAATTTTCTCTTTTTTTTTCTAATTAATGATACTTTATAGTATTAATTAATCATTTATTTGTTTTTCCTTTTTGTTAACCAATTAAGGGAAGAGTTCAAATCATCAAACATTGAAAATGACCCTTTCAACTTTCACATAAGCAACAAAATCTAGTTCAAATATTCTCATGTCTCTTCACAATTGTGGTTAAAAAAGCTCCCCTTTTTATTCCTCAAATAACACTCTTTTTTATATCAAGAACTTGGATATGTGCCATACAATATGCTAAGGCTAAGCCCTTAGCTAGGGTTGTTGGACCCTAAGCTTGAAATATGGAATAAGAGGCAAAAAGATTCTCATCAAGACACTGAAGATTTGGTTTAGATTTGATCATTTCTCTTGCTTTGCTAGAGTTCTAAGGTAAGGGTCACCTTTATTCTTCCTTTAAATCCACATTGTTTTGCCCTTAACATGGGCACAAATAGCATAAGAAGATTTGGAGATTTAGTTTTTTAATTAAAAAAATGTATTAATCATCGAATCAAACATTTTAATATTATTTAACTTATTTAATTTTGTATAAAAGTAATGTATTTTGATAATAAATGCATGTTATCGTAGAAAAAAGATACATTTAATGATTTATTTATTTATATTATGCAAGATATAAAAATTTTATATTCATATCGTATTTTATATAAAATTTACTTGTGACAATTACATTAAGAACTGATGAATTAAAAGGAAAAGAAAACAGTTTATCAACCAATTGAAGCCAATACCCACCTGGTTTCATGACTTTTCCAATCCCCAGTGGCAATCTAATAAGGCAATTCACACAATGAAAAACGAAATTTTTTGGTAATTTTTTCCTGCTCATGGAACTTGACTTTCTTCTTCTTGGAATCCCTTTCAATTTCAGATTTTATTGTGGATTTCGTGAAAGGAATAACAACAACAAAAATATATAACATTTTTTTTTATCTTAGATTGATGTGCTTAATTTCTCCTTTATTGTCAAAAAGATTAAAAAATTAAAAATAAAGGCATACATGCCAAAAATTAAAAAAATAATTGGGTCATCTTTTATAGTAGAGCTGTTTAAAAATCAAGTTATCTGTTAAAATTTAAAAATCCATTCAAATTTTAAAAAAATTTAAATAAAAAAATTAAAACTTGTTAAACGAATTTTAACATAATTTTTAAATTTATTTAAATTTTGAATCGAACTTTAAATAAAGAAATTAAAACTTGAGGTTGGTCCGACTTTATTCGAATAAATTATATAATTAAAATATTATAATTATATAAATATATTTTTTTGATTTTGATTTTTTATATTTTATTTAAAATTTTTAAAAATTATATTATATAAATTAAATTTAATGAATAAACTTAAATTTTATTTTTTTAATTTAGATTAAACTTGAAAAAAGTTTAAGATCCAAAATATCGTGTTGAATCAAATTTAAATAAACATATAAATTATTTATATTAAAAATGAATCCAACCCGAGCTTTAACCCAGCTCGTAAACATTTCTACCTAACAGCTACTCCTTCTTGGGTCCTGAATGAAAAAGCCTGAAAATAGGAAGGGGCATAACAGTTAAAAAGAAAATAAAAAGTTAATAATGGGGCACTCCGAGAATTGAACTCGGGACCTCTCGCACCCTAAGCGAGAATCATACCACTAGACCAAGTGCCCATGTGATGGACAATTATTTACAATTATTCTATAATTTTATTAAAATGAAAACTTAAAAGAAATTTTATGTTACTAAAAGGGATCCAGCATTTGCAAATGTTGAACATGATTGAATCTTACAGCTATGAAAAAACCATATGAAACTACCAAAATTGACTCTCCAATTGCCATATTCAACAATGGAGGTCCAACAACAAGGTTAGCACAAAAAGAGCCACAAGCATAATAGGAAAATCAGAAGAAGCCAAAGCGACTTTACTTTGAAAAGCCCTATAAATGAGATTGTAATCAATTGCCTGGAAACCTACAAATTTCCAGACAGAAAATTCCATAGTAACAAGTGGTAAATGCTATCATTACAACTTGTCTCATTGGAAGGCCAATGAGGCATGAAGAATAATTATAGATCCTGGTTTCAAGAGGCCTTTTCTTTCTTTTTCCCCTTTGCCAAGTGGTGTCCCACTTTTTAGCAACTTTTTCTTAATGATTTTGCAATGAAAATTTAGAATGATAATAGTTAACGTCGGATTAGATTTGATTCAATTGTTTTTTTAATAATGTATAATATTATAAATTTTTAAAATTCGATATAAATTCACACCAATATTTTTCTGAAACTAATACAATCCAAATCAAATTTTATTAGTTTGATTCGATTTATCAATTTTTAAAATTTATTTATTTTTTATTTATTATTTTAATAAGATTTAATATATTTAAATAAATTTATATGTAATAATTATTTTTATTTTATCAAAATTTAAAATATATAAAAACTAATAAAAATACATAATTTAATTTGGTTCGTTTTTTTTTTTTTACATCTTGATCCAAAATTTGATTTAAACTTAATTTATACATTTAATTAATATCTGAACTAGATAAAAAAAACTAATTTGAATCAAACTGAATACTATAATTTCAATCAATTTTTAATTTTTTTAATTTTTTTCTCATCCTCAGAAAGACCCCATTAAGCTTTTGCCTAAACACTGTAGTTCTTGTAAGAGCTGCAAAAGCTTTACAAATGCTGATATTACTATGTTCTAGTGCAAGCAATGAAGCAAATTTACCAGGCAAAATGTTAAGGCCAGAGAAGTTCAGCTGAGGAACATACATTTTAACGACAAAGACTGTTACTCTCGTTGAAGTTTGATCTTTCTATCTTTTGTGTATAAAATAGAAAACTTTTGCTGACTTATTAAGTTGGGGGCAGAAACCTGATTTGCCTTGTCTGTTAATGAGAAATGAGGTGTGTTCAACGGTTATAGCCCCGTTAAGAGTCTGCATATGTCAAGTGGCTATTACACTTTTCCTGCAAAATTGGATTATTTTCATTTGATGTCTTTGAGTATTTGATGTGATTAGGGATGTCGATCGAGTTCAAATCGATATAATATTAAGTTTAAGTTCGAGTTTGATTTCAAATTCAAAGTTCGAAACTCAACTCGAATTCGATCAAATTTTATTTTTTTAATTTGAGTTTAACTCGAGATAAAAATCGAGTTATTCGAATTCACTTAATTAAGCTCAATTAATATGTAAAAATAAGCTCGATTCTTATATTCGATAAAAGTTTGATTATTTATACTCGAATTCGAGATATTTTATCAATTAAAATAATTAAAATATATTAAAATATAAAAACTTGATAAGGCTCACGAGCTACTCGAGCCGGGTATAAAAATATTCGAACTTGACTCGATCGAATAAGTCGAGTTATTCGAGCTCGTGCTCAATTCGATAATAATTAAGTCAAATTCGAATTTTATTTAAGTCGAACCTAATAACTTACGAATATTAATATATCATTTGAACCCCTAGACATAACATTTTTTCCTATCTAATTCGGTGATGCTTTCGTCACAACTGCAACCTTATTTACTGTCATTTTGAGTGTTAGATGTAATTCGACTTTATCACCATATCTTACCCGGACACCTTATTAATTAGCTAAATTGGCCCATCTTACCTAACCCAACTAAAAGGTTTGGTGTAGAGTTAGATGAATTAAAAAGTTGATTCTGATACCACTTGTCACATGGTCATTACTCTCTTTCTATAAAATTGACTTATTGGAATGTATAACACTAATGCTTAAACATTCAACGACCTTTTTTTTTCTATCTAACATGAGATTAATGTATCCTACCTACTTTCTTTGAGCATTTGGTGTGACACATAATCATGATAATTTGAATATTCACGTTTATTTATTTCATGTCTAGCACATGTATAATATAAAAATTATCATGTTATAATTTATATCAATATTTTTTTATTAAACTCATATAAAACTTTTATTAAAATTTAAATCATATCATTTTCATATATTTTTTATCGTTTTCATATCACATCACGTCACTATATTATATTTAAAATTACGTAAATATAATCTCGAGGTAACCATTAAAGGCAAAAGGCTTTGAGATTAGAACACTTGAACATTTGGTCACGGATGGTACAATCTTCAACTTTAAGATCTAACTTAACAGGTTCTTTTCCTGCAAACACATGTTTAAGAGCTCTTACAAACAAATTTTCACCCAACAACAAATCAGGTACTTTGGATTTGCATTTTCACGTTGCAAGCAATGATTTTGGACTTTTCTATTACATGATTAGAAAATCAACAAAACATTCCCAGGCACCATACACCAGCTGTTGTAATCAACTTTAGGCTGGAGAGACAGACAGTGGGATAGCTCAATCATATGGTTTGCCTATCAGCTCAAGTCAACGTGAAATGCCAAGAAAAACCCCACACGTTAGCCTTATATTAATCCGAATCTGTAAAAGGCATTGGATTCCCAGACAGCTTTAACAAGAAATCACCTTGTTTTCAAACCAAGTCATGATTAAGTAGTCAAATTGTCCATCATAAATATGAAGCTCTCCTTCTTCATTTTCATTAAGATCACCAGCCCCAAGATGAAGAGAATCGAAGTTTCAGCCCATCTGATCATTGCATTTCTCCTTCTTACAACTTCACAATCTCAGTTCTCAATGGCCATAAGGATTGGTCAAGCCATGGAAACAGGTAATGATATAAAAACCATTCTAGTTTTTTATTAAAACAAGACAAATTCCATTGAGTTTCGGATTCTTTTTCTGCAGTTGGTGATGACATAAAGATGATCACAACTGCAAAACCAAAACCAAATTCTGCCAACAGGCTCTTGTTAGCTACTTGGGTGAGTTTTGCTTATTGCATATGATTTGATGCTACACTTTGTTTGATCATATGATGAAATGGCTGACATGAAATATTGCCTCTGTCTTCAATTCTCTTGTGAAAAAGGAGCCTGGAACACAGTTCAAAGGTAGCGTGAGAAAAGCTCCATCTGCCCCAAATCCCATTGGAAACAAGCATCCACCATCCAAGCCATGAAAATCAAGGAAAAAAAAAAGCAAGGGTTTCTCATGTGCTGCAACTAAAAAAGATTGAGCTGTGATTTGTTTTCTCCTGTTTGTTGAGTTCAATCAAAAGTTTTGCATCTGTAATATTATTCAGTGCTTCCTATTTGTAAGAAGGGCTTCATTATTTCAGGAATTCAATAGCTTCAGTCAGTTCTAAAATCAGTATTTATGTTTTATACATACATATATATATATACATATATATACATATATATATTTGTTTTAAGTACTTTTTGAAAATTTTGTGTGAATTACTAAAATTATCTTCCTGTTAGGGCAATATTAATTCAATATTTTCATCCTTGATATCATAAATTATACCAAAAATAAAAATAAAAATAAAAATTTCCAACTTCCTGGATTTTGCTTAATCTGTCCCATTAGAATCTCCTTAAACCATTTCTTTGACATTGCAATTGGAACTATTATAATCAATGTTTAGGAAAAAAAACAAGAACTTGAGTGGGCAAAATTTAGATAAAGTTTTTCAAGTGAAGTTTGTGAAATTTTTTATTAAAAAGATTTAATGAAAACTTTAATAAAAAAATTCAAATTGATAAATTGATAAATTGATAAAGTTCAACAAAAATATCAATAATATGAAAAGGAATTATTGAAAATATTATTTATAATTCAAATTTGACTAGTAATTATTCAACCATAAAAAATTTATGAAAATTTTAACTAAAAATGATTATTAAAAAATTTACTAAAATTTATTAAAATATTATCAAATTTTACATATTTGATTTATACAATAAGACATTTCAATATATGGGTTTTAATTTTAATTTTAATTTAATTGTTTTTAATAAATTTTTAATTTATGGTTTTTAATTTTTAATTTTAATTTTAATTTAATTATTTCTAATAAATATTTTCCCAGTTTTGACCTAAAAATTTTCGTCTAAATTTTTTCCTAAATTTTTTTTTCATTAGCCAAAATTGACTTTGGCAAGTTATTTATTTAGATTGGATTGCGTTTCTCCTTTATCATTTGGGCTCCCAGTTTTGGGCATCAATGTTAAACTCAAAGCCTCTAGTAATGGGCCGTTTCTTTTGAATTTGGGCTTCAATTTTTTTGTCCCACCAAAAAAATTTACTTTTATAATACCTTCATGAATTTTTTTTATTTTTTATTATTAAAAAGTTTAGCTGAAAAAAATCAAAAAAATTGAAAAATAATTTAAAATTATATTATTTGATTCAATTTATATTGATTTTTTTAAATTAAATTCAAATATTAAATATATATATATTAAATTTGAATTGAATTTCAAATCAAAAATTGAAAAATTGAAAAAAATGAATTGAATCGAATTATATATTTTTATTTATTTTTAAATTTTTATAAAATAAAAATTAATTATTTTACATCTAAATTATTTAAATATATTAAATTTTATATTAAAATAATATAAAAATAAAATAAAATTTATAAAGTTGATAAATCAAACCAATAGAATTTAACTCAAATCAAATTAAATTTTATAAAAATTCATTTCTAATTCTAATTAAATTTTAAAAAATTATAATTTTATGTATTATAAAAAAATTTTAATCTAATCCAAATCGAATAATTATAATTATGATGCTAAGTAATTTGACATATATATATATATATATATTATTACTAGGTATAAAGTTATTGGATAAGATATGCTAACATGAACACCAATGTGAATAATCTTTTTTCATGACACGTAGGATAATATTTATATTGTATTATTTATCAAGTAACTCTATTTAATAAATTATTTAAATTTTAATATGTTTGGATAATTATGTAAATTTAATATGTTTCAATAATTATTTAAATTCAAATAAAAATCTATAAAATATTAAAAATTTTACATAAATTTTAAATTCAAATATATTAAATTATAAATTATCTTTTTTTAATTTAATCATAATTCCTAATAATAGGCTTAATAAACTTTTATTTGCTTTCAAATAATTTTATTTAATAAATTATATAAATTACATATTTTTGGATAACTATTTAAATTCAAATAAAACTTTATCAAAAATTAAAAATTTTATATAAATTTTGCATTTAAATATATTAAATCATAACTTATATTTTCTTTTTGAATTTAATCATAGCTTTACATATATATATTATGTGTATGTGCAAGGTTAATAAATATTTATTTGTTGAAATCAAAATATCAAAATAAAAACAAAGAGCTCATAAAACTATAGTATCACTCCCTAACTAATGTTATGTTATTCGTTATTATTAAAATTAAAAATTGAAGAATACAATCTTTTTTTTATTTGACGATTATGGTTTATGAGTTTTGACAGTAATGGTTAAAAATTAGAAATAATAATAATCATATCATACTCATGAACAAGTAAATTCATTTTATGTCTTTATTTTTCTTTTATTTATTTTATTGTTATTTTTTTGGTTTTAAAAATAAGTTTGTGATGGTGTTGGATTGTTTTTTCTTTATTTTTATAATATTTATTTTTAGATTTCAATAATGAAAAAAAAAAATGAGCACACATTTAGATTAGTTTCAACTAAGTAAGTGGTATAGTTCATTATTTTTTTCCTATTCTATTTATTTTTTTTTTCCTTTATTTGTTTGTTTCTTCCAACTTTTTATTTGGTTATATTTTATTTACTTTATATGATATATACATTTAGATTTGATTTATTCTAAAAAAAGTTAGTTCATATATATATAGTTAAACTGAATATTTACTATGCACAAATATAAGATATTTAAATTATATATACATTCTCAATTTGTATATTTAGTCAAATCAAAATCTATAAAATATTAAAAATTTTACATAAATTTTAAATTTAAATACATTAAATTATAAATTACCTTTCTTTTTTTAATTTGATTATAATTTCAAATATATATAGACTTAATAAATTTTTATCTGCTATCAAATAATTTTATTTAATAAATTGTATAAATTTAAATTTGTTGGGTAACTATTTAAATTCAAATTAAACTCTATCAAAATTATAAATTTTACATAAAATTTGGATTTAAATATATTAAATCATAATTTATTTATTTTTTAAAAATTTAATCATAACTCTACGTGTGTATATATATATATATATATATATATCTATATTTTGTGTGTGTGTGAGCTTAATAAATTTTTATTTGTTGAAATCAAAATCTCAAAATAATAATAAAAAAATGCTCATAAAGTGAGTGCATCACTTTTTAAGCAATGTTATTTTATTTGTTATTATTAGAATTAAAATTTGAAGAATACAATCTTTTTTTTATTTGATGATTGTAATTTATGAGTTTTGATAAAACTTGACAAAAGGTAGAAAGAATAAAAAACATATCATACTCATAAATAAATAAATTCATTTTATGCCATTACTATTCTTTTATTTTTATTTTTTAGTTTTAAAAATAAGTTTGTGATGGTGTTGGATTGTTTTTTTTATAATATTGATTTTTGTTTTTGATTTTTTGATTTTAGATTTCAATAATGAAAAGAAAATGAAAGCATTTTTGGTTGGGTCTCAACTAGGTAATAGGTATAGTTCATTACTTTTTTTATATTATATTTTTTTATTATTATTTTCCTTTATTTGTTTGTTTTTTCAAACTTATTATTTGGTTTTATTTGCAATATACGATACATGCATCTAGAATTGATTTGTTCTAAAATAAATTGGTTCATATGTATATTTATATATATATATATATTTAGTTAATCTGGATATTTGTTATGTATAAATACAAGGGATCTAAATTATTTATAATTTTCAATTAGTATTTTGGTTTATGTTCTAACAAAAAAACAACTATGTATGTTAAAGTATATATGTAAAAAATATAAAAAATTAATAAAAAGCAAATGGTTATGAGCAAATTAATAATTATGTTTTGTAGTTCAATCATATATTATTATTATTATTATTATTATTATTATTATTATTTGATGTTTTATTTTTGGTTTAGCTTCATAAGATTTAATAATTTAAGAGTATTTTGCTAATATAAATGTCTTTTACAATTTAATCCAATGATATATTTTTATATATTCATATAAACATACAAATAATTATTAATTTTGACTATTTTCTTTTTAATAAGCTAAAGTAAAATTTTATTAAGAGTAGTGAAATGGTTATAAATATCCAACCACAATTAAAAGTACAATAAGCACAAAAAGAATATAAACCCTAAAAAAATTATACCAACTTCACGTGAAAAATCTAAAACCATAGATAACAACATTTTTAACACTAAAAAAACATATAAACCAATAATAAAAATCTTGATTATTTAAAACTAAATTTTATTTTTTTGATCAAATAAAAAAAATTAGTAAAATTTTCGTTGTTTTGAAAAATGAATTGAAAAAATAATTTTTATGAAAAAGAAAATACTTTTACAATTCTTTTAAATTTTACAAAAACCTTTGACTTTGAAAAAAATATTACAATATATATAAACTCTTATTTAGTTTTATCGTAATATTTATGAATGTATGATTATATAAAATAAATTAATAAATGTTTATTTTTTATTAAAATAATATAAAAAAATTAAATTAATAAAAAAGTTTTAATTATTAAAAATAATTTTAAAAAAATCCCGTGCATGGCACGGGTTAAAAAACTAGTGGATTAATGTAACTACACCCATTTTGTTGGACTGGAATATTTTTTAATAAATAAATAAAAAGAAAAGGAAATTCTCAGAACCAACCAGAACCCAGATGTTTTAGTCAAATCTGACGGCTAAAAATTCGCTTATCGAACTTTCTAGAATTCAAACCCTTTAATACAATTTCTTTATAAAATCCCTCTTCCCTCTCATTGTCTCTTCATTCGAAAGAAGAAACCCTAACAATTTTCTTTATCTCTCGGCCGTCTTTCTATTTTATTATTTTTTATTTTTCAAAGTAATTCCTATCAATGGCCGGAAAAGGAGAAGGACCAGCCATCGGGATTGACCTAGGGACGACCTACTCCTGCGTCGGAGTATGGCAACACGACAGAGTCGAAATCATCGCCAACGACCAAGGCAACCGAACGACGCCCTCTTATGTCGCTTTCACAGATTCCGAGCGTTTAATCGGCGACGCTGCTAAAAACCAAGTCGCAATGAACCCCATCAATACCGTCTTCGGTAATCCCTACTTCCCCCTCATTACAATTTTTTTTTCAAAAAAGTAACATTTTAGTTTAGATCTGAACGTTGCATGTGATTAGATTTAGATCTGATGATTTTCGTTTGGTGTAAAATATTAAAATTTATATGTTTATGTCGTATTTTATATAAATTTACGTGTTATAATTCGTGTCTATACAAAAATAAGAAATTTGTTTTTTTTTTTTTTGTTAAATTCATATATCTTAGATTGTCTAATTGTTTAATTAGATCTGAAAAAAATATAATTTTCTCGTTTTAATTTTTTATTTATGACGTCATTATATTATTGCGAGAATTTAGGTGAGTTGACTGAAACCTCTTCTTATTAATAATAATAAAACAGATGCAAAGCGGTTAATTGGGAGAAGATTTAGTGATTCATCGGTTCAAAGCGATATAAAACTTTGGCCTTTTAAGGTTATAGCCGGTCCTGGTGATAAGCCCATGATTGTTGTTGCTTACAAGGGTGAAGAAAAGCAATTTGCTGCTGAGGAAATTTCCTCCATGGTTTTAATCAAGATGCGTGAAATTGCTGAGGCTTACCTTGGTTCCACTGTCAAAAACGCAGTCGTTACGGTTCCTGCTTATTTCAATGATTCCCAAAGGCAGGCCACGAAGGATGCCGGAGTCATTGCTGGGCTTAATGTTATGAGAATCATTAATGAGCCAACGGCTGCTGCCATTGCTTATGGTCTTGATAAGAAAGCTACCAGTGTTGGTGAAAAGAATGTATTGATTTTTGATTTGGGTGGTGGTACTTTTGATGTCTCTTTGCTTACTATTGAAGAAGGGATTTTTGAAGTTAAGGCTACGGCCGGAGATACCCATTTGGGTGGTGAGGATTTTGATAATAGAATGGTCAATCATTTTGTTCAGGAGTTTAAGAGGAAGAATAAGAAGGATATTAGTGGGAATCCTAGAGCATTGAGGAGGTTGAGGACTGCTTGTGAGAGGGCTAAGAGGACTCTTTCGTCGACTGCTCAGACTACCATTGAAATTGATTCTTTGTACGAGGGTATTGATTTTTACTCCACCGTTACTCGTGCTAGGTTCGAGGAGCTTAACATGGATCTTTTTAGGAAATGCATGGAGCCTGTTGAGAAGTGTTTGAGGGATGCCAAGATGGATAAGAGCAGTGTCCATGATGCTGTCCTTGTTGGTGGTTCAACTAGGATTCCTAAGGTGCAGCAGTTGTTGCAAGACTTTTTCAATGGGAAGGAGCTTTGCAAGAGCATTAATCCTGATGAGGCTGTTGCATACGGTGCTGCTGTTCAAGCTGCCATCTTGAGTGGCGAAGGAAATGAGAAGGTTCAGGATCTATTGCTCCTTGATGTCACCCCTCTGTCCCTTGGGCTTGAAACTGCCGGTGGTGTTATGACTGTTTTGATTCCAAGGAACACCACGATTCCCACCAAGAAGGAGCAGGTGTTCTCTACCTACTCTGATAACCAGCCTGGTGTGTTGATCCAAGTTTACGAAGGTGAGAGAGCTAGAACGAGGGACAACAACTTGTTGGGTAAATTTGAGCTTTCCGGTATTCCTCCTGCACCCAGGGGTGTTCCTCAAATCACTGTTTGCTTTGATATTGATGCAAATGGTATCTTGAATGTCTCTGCTGAGGACAAGACTACCGGCCAGAAGAACAAGATTACTATCACAAATGACAAGGGCAGGTTATCCAAGGAAGAAATTGAGAAGATGGTTCAAGAGGCAGAGAAATACAAGTCTGAGGATGAGGAGCACAAAAAGAAGGTTGAGGCCAAGAATGCTTTAGAGAACTACGCGTATAACATGAGAAACACTGTTAAGGATGAGAAGATTGGTTCAAAGCTTTCCCCTGGTGACAAGAAGAAGATTGAGGATGCCATTGATGGGGCTATTCAATGGTTGGATGCCAACCAGCTTGCCGAGGCAGATGAGTTCGAGGACAAGATGAAGGAGCTTGAAAGCATTTGCAACCCCATCATAGCTAAGATGTACCAGGGAGCTGGCCCTGACATGGGCGGTGCTGGCATGGCTGATGATGTTCCTCCGGCGGGTGGCAGTGGTGCTGGTCCCAAAATTGAAGAAGTTGACTAGGCTGCTTAGTTCTTAGTTTATATGCTATTTATGCATTTATGTTGTTTTTCTTCTTTTTGAGCCTAGGCTCTCACCCAAAATGTTTGTTGTGATCGATACAATCTCCAATGTTTTCTAATGACGATTAAGAGAAAGAACATTAATAATTACTAGTTATTTCTTAACTAATTGTTTTTTCTTTTTTTTTTCAAATCTGCGGATACAAATGTTTTTGAAAATAATATTGAAAATCATAAACTATTAATGTTATAAAAAAATTTAAAATTTAACATTAAATATATTAAAGTTAAATTTTATTTAAAATTTCGTGAAAATTAATATATGAAACATTTTAAGATAGATGGAGTATCAAAATAAATTTTTTATAATAAAATATATGATTATTATATATGATTTGGAAAATTATATGAGAGTAGGGAGTTAAGAGTTAAAAAGGATGTTACATGTTTTATTGAAATATATTTAGAAAAATAAACAATTTAATATAATAAATTAATAAATCGTTCACATTTCACTTTGGATTTTTTTTTTATTATTGATTTTTTATATAATTGGTATAAATGACCATTAGCTACAATTTGCTATAAGAAATGGAGTGCAAGAAACTTGCTTTTTCTCTCCGTTGCCATGGCGGTGGTACTACTTGTAGCCACGGTAACTCTTAGCAGCATTCGTCACTCGTAATGAGATTAAGCCTTTCTTTGTCGACGGCAATGCCGTGACTTAAAATATTTGAAACCATTTCGCCAACATTTTCATGGTCGGTTAAAGCGGTGAAGACTGCTTCGCTGCTTGTGGTGAGGCCTGCTTGTATTGCTGAGGCAATTGCAAAATGTCTTTTACCCCGGGATTTGCCATGGGAGATGCTGATGTTGTTTTTGTTATTAAATACTACTATTACTGCTCTAATATTATTAAATTATAAATAAAAGCATACTTATCACTCCTTTTTTGTCAAACAAACCCCAAATTATCCATTATTTATCATTATTGCCTCATATATAATTCTAGATTTAGCCGAGCCATTTATATAACGTTAGATTTTGCCGACAATGGCGTAATATGTTAATAAATTATTAAAATTTTAATTTCAATAATCATTATTTAAATCTTGTCAATTTTAAATGTAAAAAAATTTGATTTTGACTTCATATTAAGCTTAAAAAATTTTAAATTGAATTTTAATTTTCATTGATTATAAAATTTTGAATTAATATCATATATGATTCTTAAATTATAATAAAATATTTAATATAATACTTAAACTTTAAAAAATTTTAATGCAATATACGAATTATAAGCTTGTTAACTAAAGTAATATATAAAAAATTATTTGTTAGTTAAGTATTATAATTTAAAATTAATCATATTAAGAGTTAGTATCATATTAATTAATAAATTTATAATTTAAATATTATATTAAAAATTTTTAAAATTCAAGTACGACATTGAACATTTTATTATAATTTTAAGATCATTCATGAAATTAACCTTAAAATTTTTTAAAAAATAATCTTTAACAAGAAAAAGTAAAAAAAAAAAAATAGTGGTTATAGAATTAAAGGTAATAAAAGAAAGTAAAGATGATTTTTGTTTACATTTTCAAACAAGATATTATTTTAAAATAATTAAAATAGGCAAACAAAATAGTATTTATGAAAAATTTGCCATTAAAGAAAAAGTTGAATATTTGAATATTGTCTTAAGCTTGGCAATCATTATCACCTGCAACATTCTTTCATACACTTCAAATGTTCACAGTTTTTTTTACCCTAATTTGGCATTTCCAAAGTTAATAACTGAAGTCCTAGGTCCCTTAAACTTGAGATTCTGGTCTGTCTTTCTCAACTCCAAGTGATGAGAACCAAATCCATATTTCATAATACTAATAGCATTCATTATTTATTGATCAATAGAAACTACAAGGTTTAAAATTTTCTCTTTTCATCCTTTCTCATTGTGATAAAAAGAAGAGGGTAAAATAAAGTAACATGATGACTATCATGGAGGAGGAACTTGATTCTATGATAACAAGAGTAGCTTTTACCTGGGGATAGTCCATTTACAGCCTGAACCAAGCTGGCTTCACCAAGTTAGGATCGATACCGTCGGATGCCGGCAGCTGGGAATCTTCATTGAACTTTCAATGACTCAATATCAAAATATTTAGTAAGGCAAAGGTAGATCCATTGCCAAGGGAGTGTCAGGGGAAGAAAAGTGATTCCAACATATAAAACAACCAAAACCATGCAGCTGCATTCATCTTGAACAAAACTATGGTTGCAATTACGAATGATATACATAAGAGCATGACTGATTCTTCTTATTTGCCTCATGCTCGAAAGGAGAAATACTATACTAGAAATTCTCATAGCATAGAGGTAGAAAAAGCGAAGACATAATCAATCAGCTCTAAAGGAAAAAAAAAAAAAACCCTTAAAACCTTCAAGCCAAGTGAAAACCGAAAATGCCAATTTCACAATTCACAAATTGAGTTAAGATCAAGGAACCTACATGTACATAAAACAGTTATTAAGTCAATAAAGATGAATTGCCAATAACTATGATGAATCAACTACCCACATAGCATCATTGACTGATCTAAAGATAAATTGAAAATTATCAAAGGTAAGATAAAAAAACCATATAATCTAAAAAAATGCAGTTATAATTTCACAGATTTCCCCATGGAATGAGGTTAGTAAACAATGAAGCACCAAACACTAACATCCTTACATGTATCACACTATGGTTTCCTCCAGGTCCACAAATGCTCGTTCACTCCATGGGGAGGGGCGAAAGCATACACGGACCTCATGCTCTTCTGGTCCTACAAGATGCTTGGGCACAATAATCTCAAGCACTGTTCCTGTCTCATCACAGTATGCTTCCAGTTTAGCATTTTCTGGAATGCGGTTTGGAAGAGGAATTTCTCTAACAAATTCCCCCGGAGGGCAGTGCTCTGGTGCTGGATCTGTTAGCTTAAATATCCTATCATGTCTCTTAATGAATGGCATGCAGGCTGTACTCACACAAGATATCTTTACAATTCCATGTGAGGCAGTATTTCTCCAAGTAACTTTCACCTTTTGAAGATCTGAAAAGGGCAAGCTGACAATGATCAAAAAGCCTTCATCATCTTCATATATTGTTTTTGCTGCTGTAACGGGCCCATATACATTCTTCATCACCCCACTAAATTCATTCATCCATGTTGGCTCCACTGGTCGAATTTTCATCTCCAAAACTTGGTTAGAATGCAAATTATTAGGTAAACAAGGATCCTCATCATTTCCATGTCGGAAATAGTCCTTTTTCCGTTTATTGCAAACAGGTGATAAATCCATCCCATCACCATTGCTATGTTCCAATGGCTGAGTTGATAAGTTCAAACCAGTACTGTTAAGCAGTTTTCTAGTGTGGGAATTTAGATTACTCTTTAAAGGAGCGGGAGGGCGCTCAAGCTCAATTTCTGTGTGTGTAAGGTTCCTCCAAGCTGCAAAATCACTTGCTTCAGGAGGAATAGAGAAGTTTATATCCCTGCCAGTAAGTTCTCTCCACCTCCTCTTCTCTTCATCATCAAGACTGGAGAGATTTGGTGATGGAACAACTTCAATCCCATGTAAACATTGAGGATTAGAGAGACCCCTGTAGTGTTTTCTCTGCATTCTATGAGATCTAACAAAACCCTTATCGACACTAAATGGAAACGGTCGCTCCCCTTGCCGAGAGTGGCCATTCATGTAACTCCTCAACTGCATCTTACCAAGTGCATTTTCAGGCCTCTCCTTGAAAACCCACATATACATGTTCTCCATGTCATGCTGAACCAGGAATGAATCTAGCTCCAAGTCCGACTTGTCATACCCGGACAAACCATTGCTGTCCCTAATTACCTTAGACTTTGACTTCCCATTCAAAACAGGCTTAAAGTAGAAAGTAAAGAAAAACCAAGCACCCCATACACTATCAAGACGCTTGATACATTTCTTAGCCACTTTTGGGACGTTGACAACTGCCTCATAAATCTGAGGTGCAAGGCTAACATCCAAGATGTCACATGAATCATTCCATGCCAGTGGAGGTGGGCTCGGTTCGGATGATAGTGGGAGATTGATATCAGGTGGCCGACAAAGCAGCATAGACCGGTTCATCTCTCTCTCAAATTCATCTGATAGCAAAGAACCTGAATCCATTGACAAAAGTGTAGATGGGTGATCATTCTCCATTGAAAGGGTAGTGAGAAGAGCTTCCCCCATTCTCTTTTCCTTGCTCTTTTTACTATTTCCTCTCTTTTCGCTATATATAACCTACAAACCCTTAAGAGTCAACGAAACTCCTGATTGACATCTTCAGAAATCAAATGAAAAACCGAGCAGTGTCGTAGATTCATAAATCAATCAATCCACAAAACCACAGGTGAACCTCATAAAAATCTTCATGGTTCAATTCCCAGAATAATAATATACATAAAGTTTCATCAATCAATCAAATTCACACTACAGCCGACACGAGCAAGGGCAATAGCATTGTTAACACCAAAAAAAACAACCTGAAAAACACCAACAAAAACAAATACCCAAATCAATCTCAATTTTTCTATATAAAAATGGATTCAAAATAAAGGAAAAAGATGCTTCCTTTACATGACAAAAAACACCCTAAATCAAGGCCAAGTCAAGCTAATGTTTTTATCATCTAAGATCTAAAATACCCTTAAAATAAAGATTCAAAATTTTCACTTTCTATTGATTTTTTTCCCCGCAACCAAACAGAATATAAACTCAAAAAAGAAGCAAACCCATGATTCTAAAAGAACCAGAATCAAATAAAAATCTAAAAGAATACTAACAGTCGCAAAAAGGAGCAGATTTGAAAGTCAACCAAATTAATCACACAAAAAAAAAAAACCCTAACCCTAAAACAATAACAAAAAATTTTTTTAAAAATGAAATTAATTTTGGAAAAAAAAAATTAATTTTTAGTATTACCTAAAAGCACAGGTTTGAATCCAGAGAAAATTGAGAGCATGAAAATTGATCCCTTTGAGAGAGAGAAAAACCGGAGTCTGTTTAAAGAGACGGAGTAGAATAAGATAAGGAAGGAGGAATCGGCCCCGTTAAGAACTGACGGCTTTATGTAACGTAGACAGTGACCGCGATTGTTTTTTTGATTGACTGAGAAGCGAAAAACGGGGTCAACGGGGCCTCTCTTTATCTATCTCGGTGATAAGTAACAGTGCGAAAATTAGTTGAGAACACGTGTCAGGCACGTGCTTTTTTTTTTTTTTTAACAATTAGAATTAAATTGCTAAAAGAGAAAAATAAATCCATCAAATGATTCCAATTTTGATAAATTTTTTTTCTATTATCACATTGGATAATAAATGAAACAATTAATATGATTAAAGATTTATTTTAATCAATGTAAAATTAAAAAATTTATATTTTTAAATTTTTTAATCAAAATTAAATCTAATTTTGACGACTTAAAGTATGATATAATGAATGATATGAACATGACTCTAAAAAAGAATTCAAAAAGTGATATAATTTAAAATTATAATAATAATTATATATGATTTTAAAAAATTAAAAAAATATTATATATTTTTGTGTTGATACAGATTATAATTAATAATTTTTATGTAAAATATAACATGAATATATAAATTTTAATTTTTTATATGATATAAATATATAAATTGTTAAATATAATAAAATCCATAAAAATTTTAAATTTCAGTAATTAATCAATAAAATTTTGTAACATTTGAATGATATAAACAAATTGCAATGATCTCATCAATCCATGCAATTATAAAGTGCACATGCAATATTTGAAAAAAAAAAATTCAAAGTGACCTCATCAAATTTGGTGTGGCTTACATACTTATGTTCGTGCTTAAAGACAACTTTAAAAAAATTTTGAAAAAATTAAGGAAGAAAATTTAAGTAAATATATAGTTTTACTATTAACTTTTGAAATTATATTATTCAAACAACAATAAAAATTTTATTAAGAATATCTAATAAGTTCATGAATGTTGAAACTAGTTTTATCTCTCCTCGTTTCATCATCATTTTTATTATTTTATGTAATTTTTAATTCCCTCATAGTTGAAGGGTTTTTTTTTTTTTTTAATTTCTTCTTTAGTGACATTTTCTTTCCACTCCTTTTTGTGTGTTTCCATTATTCTTTTCACTAGTAAAAGTACATTGAATCTAAAGAATAAAATGTGTATAAATTTTGCCTTCAATTAAATATTTAATTCAATAAATTTTTTATCAGAAACAAAACATGTTATTTATTAAAATCATAACAATTTCAACAAGCCAAAAAAATATATGATTAATATTTACACACCCTAATTGTTTCATGCAAAAGATTTGATTCATGTATGTTTCTTTATGTTTAAAAAATCACGTGATCTGTTGGTAAAATAATAAATTTTTAATTTTAATAATTAAAATTTAAATTATAATAGTTTCAAATAAAAAGTAGAATTAAAAATCCTCATATCCCATATATGTACAGATAAAATGAAATATATGTATTTTAATTGACAATTTAAAATACGATAGTGATACAATGCAAAAAAAAATGAATATGATACGATTTAAAATCTCAACAAAATTTGAATATAGGTTTAACAAAATAAAAAATATAAATTTAATATTTTCGTATCAAATATAAATTATAACATAATTTTTATATGAAATATAATATAAATACATAAAATATTAATATTTTATGCTATATATAAAAATACGAATTAACGAAACTACTCATTTCTTAAAAAAAAAATTTCCCAGATAATACCTTGTTGATCTAATTCTGAGATTCAGGTTTTTTCTGTTTGGATTTGGACACCTTCCATGTCTGGTCCATGGAAGTGATAAGTGGTTGGTGATTGTAAATCAAATAATGTTCAATAATTTAAAAGAAGCATCATTGAAGATTCCCCCATTTTTCACTTTTATAAGTTGTGCCCAAATTCAATGAAAAGCATTCAAAAGGACCAATTCCCTTTTCTTTTTTTTTTTTTTTCTTCCACCTTCAAGTCCCAACAAAATGGTTGAATTTTTTTTTTTTTCATTGTTTAGCTTCAATGGAACATTGAAGAACCAATCCTCTTTCATTTTTAAGTCAATCTTTTGATTTCTTATTTTTAATCCATGAAGAGTATTTGGGATAGACCTGTCTAAGTGGGTCTGGCCAAAAATTTTATTTTATTAATAAATTTTATTTTTATTTTAAAATATATTTAAAATAATAGTATTTTAATATATTTTTTAAACAAGGACCGACAGGTGGAGCTTTAGATATACCTTTTGGAAGGATTTGATCAGGTTTGATCCGGTCATGAATAATTTTATTTGTAATTGATTTCAATTATTAAAATATTTTCTCAATTGGTTTCTCAAATGATTTTTTTTTTTTAAAGAAAAAAGACTTCTTGTAAAGTCATGGAAGCTACAATTAATTTGGACTCTTATTGGTCTATCAACTACCCAAACGAAAAAAAATAAGTTATAGGATAATATGGTTTATGGATGGATAGAGAGAGGTGCCGCCCTTTGTGTTGTTTAAATTCAACAAAAAAAATTAATATAAAGTTGTTAGTCAAATTCTTCTTCTTTTAAAAGTTTTTTCTCGATTAGTGTGAAATTTTGATTATCTTATTAAATAATTATCATGTTTTTCAAATATTTAGTTTAAAAATTGTTGAATGTGAATTAGAAAGTGATACTTCATCAAATATTGAGAAAATAATTCAAATATTCTCAAGGGATTAGATCAATTTCAATTTAGGAATGTTAATTTTGCTCAAATGAAAAACTAGATATTTTTACTCGAGATCAATATCAGTATCAAAATTTAGGGATGAATATTAGAATAAGTATGATTTTGAATTACTTATATAAATATAATATATAAATGTTATATTATATTAATTAATATATAAAGTTTATATTTGATACATTATCAATATATAAATTTTATGTACTATCAGTAAATCAGATGATGTTATTTCATTAATGATCAAACATAATCCCTTAAAATAGATATACAAAAAGTTAATATTTTTAAAAATTTTTTTTATTAATGAGATAATTTTATTTGATTCATCTTATTAATATAGTGAATCATTAGATTTATCGATATTGTATAAAATATATACTGATAGTTCATCAAAAATAAATTTTTAATAAATATAAGTTTATATTTATTTTAAATTATTGTTATTTAAATTTATTTTTAATTTGCGTATATTATTTGTACGTTTTTTATTTATTGTAATAAATATTGAATATTTTAATTTTAATTTTTAAAAAAGGAATCACGAATTAATGTTAAATTTTCACGAGAATAAAAATGGGCAAAAATTTTTACCCTAAAACAAATGAGCATAAGAATAGAAATATTATAAAAAAGAACAAAAATGATGAATATTCTACTCGTCTCGTATTTACCGGTTGATATCCCTATTTCAATAATTCCCTTGACATCTTTGTAAAAAAAAATAATAAAAAGGTTAATGCCATGTTCACTAATCTTTATAATATTCTTCCTAGGACAATGCTAATCTTGCAATAATCGCCAAAACTCAGAACATTTTCATGGTCAATCTCTGCCATGGGAGACGACGATTTCCAACACGAAAATGGCAAATTATCCATCGTTTTAGTCTGCGTCGGATCGGTAGCCTTCGTGCTAATAATCTACCATTGCCTCACCATGCGATGGTGCCACCCCCACGGTGACAGCCATGGTCAAGGAGCACAAGAAGCACAACAACAACATTCCTTCAGACAAGAAATGTTAGAGATTGAAGCAAGCTTAGAGAATTCAACAGCCCAACTCATCCCAGCCCATAAGTACCAAAAGGGCGTGGGCTTGGTGGATGACGATGGGATGTGTGCAGTGTGCTTGTCTCAATTTGAAGATGGTGAAGAGCTGAGGACATTACCACAATGCCTGCATTCATATCATGCACCATGTATTGATATGTGGCTTTATTCACATTCAAGCTGCCCCATGTGCCGCACAGATGCCACACCATCACCTCAAACATTTCACCATCAATCGGATTCAGGTTCCGGTCCACCGGGTTCCGATTCTGTGCATCTAGATTCAGGTATGTTGCATATTGTTGTACAATCACAGACAATGTGATCACAAAGATTGGAACTAGGGCTTTAGGTTGTGCCAATTTCCATTCCACAATGACAGGTGCCACCTAACTTTCAAGTCATGATCACAGCCTTGGACTAGGGCACTCAGCTTTCATGTAATGGTCTACTTCCTTCTGGTATTTCAAAATTCAAATTAATGGAAGACCAAAAATTGCAATTCACTTGAAGTATGAATTTGAAGGAGGATAATATACTAAAGGTTTCAGGAGATTTTTCTGGAAAACTTGGGTGCAAAGCTCTATGACACATTGACATATGAATCAAGCCAACCATATGTTTGCTTTGTAGATCCAATTATAGCCTTGATATAGTGGAATTACTCACCATACATACGATTGTAGAAATGAAGTTGTTAATTGACTGTTAGTTCTTATCAAAATAACAAAAATTTCCATTCTGGGGTTACCAGGCAACCATGAATCACAAAAATGAACACATAATTTGGATATGACACGATATGAACATAGGAATGTAACTATTTCTAAACATGAGAAAATTGATATGGCAAGACACAATAATAAAAATTTTTTTTATATATTGTAATCATCATTTAAAAATATATGTTATACTTTGAATTAATTTTCAAAAGACATACTTTTATGAAGAAAAACTGATAGTAGACACGATAATAAAAGAACATGAAATGTCATTACCTGCACGAAAATTGTTTTTTTTTTTTTTTTACCGTATTTAATCAAATTTGATATATATTTCGATATGTCAAAAGCATTAAAATGTGAAGTCACATATACGACATGAGTACGAGTATGCAAGTGACCTGTCAATGCTTTATGGCCAAGCAACGTAACAATGTTTTGACACTAGGCTTTATAATCAACTCTGCTGAACTAGTTTATGTATCCTCTATTAAGTTCATAGCATGAGAAATTACTATATATGATCGCATATTCCTTGAGTAGCATGAATACAATACCGAACTGTCAGCTATGGGTTCCCCATCTCTGCAGCACTTGTTTCAACCTCCTGACGAGTCAAATACTCGAACACAGGTTAAAGCAAATATTGAAAGGCCTGGATTGTGATATTGTAGCAGAAGCTCACACTTGAATGTGATGTGCTACACATGCTGCTTACATCCCATTTAGAGTTGATAATTCGTATATTCATATATAGTATAAATATTAATAATTCGTATATTTATATTATATTTTACATAAATATTACATATTTACATAAAAATATGTATATATTTTTAATTTTATTAAATTTATATATAATTTTTGTTAAAATTTTAAATTATATCACTTTTATATTTTTTATTCGTCTCATTTTATGTTGTTTCACTATATTGTATTTTATATTATCAAATTTATATTTTCTGAGTTAATTTAGTACTACCAATGACTGGAGGGTCTATTTTTTTTTCCTAACCTAGGGCAATGACAAGTGCAGCAAAGCTTCTGAAAATATCCCTTCAACTTACCTCACCTTTTTCATTTTCATTTTTATTTTAAATTCCAAAACAAGTGAAAGAAAAATAGGAGATTGTTTCATATAAGATCTCAATAATGAAAGCCTAAAAATAGGGGATGCTTAATTGGTTCACAAGAAAGGACTTTGTGCAAGATTTGTTTCATGTAAATTCAATGGTGGAATGATTGGGAAATGGAAAGTTGATACTACTTTTTGTCGAATCTTAATATACATCCAACCCAAACCTCCACATAGTGCAAAAATACCACAACATTTTTAGTTATAAAAAATTATAATTTTTTTATTAAAAAAAACTGTAGTGTAGAATAGGAAAAGAAGTGATAGGTGGCAATATTCGAACTCTAAACTTATTAGATATTAATTTTTTAAAATAATTATATAAATTAATTAAATTAAATTTTAAATTTTATTTATGTGTTTATTGATTGAGTTAAATACGATATTTTCTTAATTCTTTAATCTTTCCAATTTACTAACTAAAAGTATACTTAAAATTTTAAATTTTTTTATTTAAAATTGTCTGATTTTAAATAATTCATTTGAATTAAGAATTTAATATTGTAATTTCATTTTTTTCCTTTAAAGCCAAAAGTAGTGTAAAAGTAAATATAAAAAGTATCATTAAAGTAATGTGTTTACAAGGGTCCAATTCCATGATACAATGATGATAACAACTCCATTGATGTTTTATGCCACCAAATTCTATAGAAGAGGTTTTTTTTTTTTTTGTTGTTATTATTAATTTTATTAAATTTGTTAAAACAATTTTTTTTTTATAAAAAAACATTTTTTCCAACAGAAAAAGGCCATTCAAATCTCAAAATTTCTTTTAATACATCCGCCTATACTCAAATCTTACACAATAAAAGCCACATTATCTAAAAAAAAATAGAAATTATGAGTTTCACCTAAGAAAATGCTGGGGCTATGATTATAATTAATCCAATACCTATAACTAAAAAGGAGTTATAAATTCTCTGTTTTTATATATCTTTTGTTAGTGTCAAGCTGTCTTAAGAATGACAAAAACCTAAAATTAATAAAGTGAAAGGTTGGTTAATAATAAAGGTCATTCAGACACTCAAATCAATATTTAAAAAGAGAAAAAAAAGAGAAAATTTGAAAAAAAAAAAATAAAGAATTGAATGAATAAGAGACTATTTATACCTGTAGATGAGATTGTGAGACCAGATTGGCCTGAATTATAAGAAGCTGGTTTAGGGTTGACAATATAAATTCTCTGTTTTTGATATATCTTTCACCAATAAATCAATGTCTTCCTCATTTATTCTTTATATATATATATATATATATGTATATATGTGTGTATATTCTAATTTCATTGTTCTTTTTTTCTTGGATTTGAGAATCATCCAATGTGAAGTTGTGAACCACCAATAAACAAACAGAAGTTACCATATCAGCTTTAACCAAGATTATTTTGATAAAAAAAAAAAAAAAACCCTTAAAAAAGTAAGATCAAGTTGTGGTTTTCACTGCTGTGACATATGGGAAAAGTGAGATCAGAATCTGATTTTTCACTGTGAAGCCTTATATGGCTTCTATAGAAACTTGTGCTATGTTATATATAGATGCCCTCATCCTAATATTTTTTATGAATTTTATTTTAAAATTAATTAATATATTATTTATAATAATAAGTTTTTAATAAATATGATAATTAATATATTAAAAAATGTATTATTTAAAATAATAATTTTAAAAAATTTAACCGTTTGAAATTTAGTAAACAATTAATTTTCATCCCTATGACAAGTCAAAAAATAATTACTCAAGTTAACAAAGGAATTTATTACCTATAATAAATTTTACAAACTTTTAGGTCTATTTCTTTCTTCCCAAATTACCCTTGTCGAAAAAATAATCCAATCCTCAAGAATAAGTTCTTTAAGGGTATTAGAGTAAAGTGAAAAACGAATTATAGCCCCAATGACACATCACTTTCCTTCTATTTGTGATCCCATGTGATTATCCCTTGAAACCAGCGACCTCACAACCATAAAATACAAAGGCATGTGCCTTACTCTTTTTATTTAATAATCTCAATTATCCCAATGATTTAAAGCTAAAATTACAGTTTTTTAAGATTAAATTTTTTGTATGTTTTAGAAAAATTGTTTTAAAAAAATTGTAACTTTTTTTAAGGAGAAATTTTAGAGTAAATAAATTATTTAAGCCATTATATCAGAATAATATGTGTAGTATCCGATAATTCAAAAAATAATAATTTAAATTATACATTTGATATAATTTCAATGATTATTGGTTAGAATCAAACTCATAATCATTTAAATTAAAAAGAATGATCTTATCAATTGAGCCGACCTCTTAGTGATAAAATTTGTAATTATTTACAATTATGGGATACTCTAATTCATGTGTTTTTATTTTTATTAGTCTTTATAGGTTTTACAAACAGAAAGATTTGTCATAATCATGCTTAATGATTAATATAGTGTTTCTTCATAGAAAATAGAGCTTTTTAGAAGATTTTTGTTAGCACAGAGGTTTTAAATAGCAACTATATTTTATATATTTATAATATATTTATTTTGTGTTAATTATATGTAAAATATAAAAATTATCGTATTATAATTTATGTTTATAACTGAATTATAAAATATATATTTTTTATTTTTATAAAACTCATACGATTTTTATTAAAATTTAAATTATATTATTTTTATATTATGTTATTGTATATCTTTTAAAATTATGATTTGAGGGACACATGATACTTTTATTTTTGCAGGTAAAGCTGAAGGGTATATGTTTCTAACGCTTTAGAGAAAAAGAATAAGTGAAAGAGAGCTTGATATAACTATATTTGGGGTCGGGATTCTAGTCAAATTTCTTTGTGTTCTTCCTTGTGAGCATTTGATTTTGTGTTTTGTGAAGATTGATACTTCTCAGTCAGCTTTTTTTATTTTTTTTTTTGGTTATTTTTTCTTGAATTTTTCACTTGTTTCTTTTACAGATGAAGGGGTATCTCCAAGAAAGTTTTTAAGTATTTTTTAGTTGTTTTTCTGATATAACTTGGATTTGGGGAATTGAAAATGAAATCTTTGAGCAGTGTAGGACTTGGTTTGAGCATAGTTTTTGGTTGTCTCTTGTTAGCTTTGGTAGCTGAGTTGTATTACTTGTTATGGTGGAAGAACAGGCTAACCAGCAGAAATTTGGATAATGGTTACAGCAATCCAGCTAGAGATTTCTTTGTCATGTTTTGTTGGAAAAGGTCATCTTCCATGGCTCACTCAGCTTTGAATCCTCAAGAACAACAATCTCATCTTCACCATCTGAACTCAAACAAAGATTTGTTGCTCAAACCTTTTGGTCACCATCATCATCAGGATGATCATGGTGTTTCAGGGCCACCAAGATTTCTCTTCACAATTGTTGAAGAAACAACAGAGGATTTGGAGGCAGAGAGTAGAGTAGGGTCAAGAGGGAGGAGCTTGAGTGATATACTTGTCACTGTTGAAACCCCATTTTTAACCCCTCTTTCTTCTCCACCATTTTTCACTCCTCCTCTTACTCCAATGGATGCCTGTTACAGTCACCATGGATTCAACCCCTTGTTTGAATCTGCAACTGATGCAGAGTTCAATAGGATAAGGTCTTCACCTCCTCCAAAGTTCAGGTTCTTGCAAGAAGCAGAGCAGAAGCTTCATATGGAAAGATTAATGGAAGAAGATCATAGTAATGATGGACTTGATCAAGAAAATGGTGACATGACTCCTTCAAAGCATCTCAAAGATGAGGAAGATGGATCTTTTATTACAATCATCGTTGATGGGAACAACGAAGGAGGGTTTAATCACAATCATCAACAGCAATCTCATTCAAGTACTACTTCTCAGACAAAGGCGGATCCAAACCATGAAGTAAGGTGCCCATGAATTTCCTTGGAAAATAAGAAAATTTGAAGGATAATTTTTTATGAATATCCCAAAAATTTTCTTTAAACATATTTTTCGTCGATAGTTTTTGTATATATTATAAATGAATAGTTTCGAAACAAAAAACCTGAATCCGACATTGTTCTCAGGTACTTCCTCTTAGTTCATCACCTTCAACATTCATGTCACCAGCCAGGGCTATTCCCATCTAACAAGGTTTTTAGAGTTTCATGACCAACCAAAAGTAAAATGAAAATTCCTTTTCTTCTTTGTACTTTTAGGTTTTGATTTATTATTATTATTATTATTTGCTTAATTTGCTATGTGATCTTTTGAGGGAGAAAGACAACATTTTATGCAAGCGGGAGGGGACTAGTGGGATTAATTGTTTTATTTCTATCTCCATGTCTCCTCGGCTGTTTGATAACTGTAATCATTCTGCAAGTGAATTGATTTATTAATGTTCTTTCTTCACAGAGCACTGTAATTTTTTTTTTTTTATCAAAATTAATGGTAAAAGTTGTCCAATTTTCTAGATCAAACTAAAATGCATAATTTATCAGATTTCATAAATATCATGCATTCGAAATTACCATTAACGAAAAGTTCAAATAAAATTCAAATTCACAAGACTAAAAGTTTAGATGAAATTTGAATTCAATACTCGTCTAGTGAACGAATTTAGCAATTGAGCTAACCCTTAAAAACTATTCATGTTAAGTTCAAGATTTAATTCAATTAATTCATACAACAATATTTAAAAGATGATATCCAAAGCTTAAGATTTAGAATAGGCTTAAGATTTAGATCCGGACATACGTAATCTCATTCCTTATTTTTAGGTATCTTTGTAAGAAAACTTGTCGATGTTAGCACGCTGGTATTCTTCTTCCGCTTGATGATTATAGTTTAGTTTTTACTCCACTGAAAATTTTTGGAACATAATGTGATGCGGACCATCTGATGAGCACCTGACAAAGGTAGATGGAAGTGGGGTTTTTGGTGGGCCAAAATGGGCTACAGTTTTATCTATAAAATCTACATGTGCATGAAAAAAGTGTACATCATGCTTCAATAAAATGACAAAATTGGTAGTGACTTGTAAGATGGCTTTAGGCCTTTTCCAAAACAACAAAATGATGCAATTGCCTGTTAAAGTGTGTCATAATGCTTTACCCACCTTGAAAAATCATTACAATGGACAGTGATACAGCAGTTTGATCTGTCTGGAAGAGAAACTAATGAAATACAAGATCATACTTGCTTCAGATTCAAAATTTAACTATGGAAGAAAGCAACAGCACCTTGAGCTTGATAAGGTTAACTGGTTAAGCAACATGCTCAAGTTATTCCTGAATGCGTAAATTTACTTCACCAAACCATACAAAACTCAAATTGTTAATGAAAGATGCATTCATTGACAACATAAGACACGATAGAGGACGAGCAATTTGATTAATCGAACAAATTTGAGGTTTCCTGTCATTCACAGTTAACAATCTTTATTACATTGATCCTGTCATCCTCATCCTAGGTTATGCATAAAAAATTGTTAGTAAAACACAAGCTGAACTTTCTTAATTGCATATATTTTCACATCTGGGATGCAAATCAATGGGTTTAGAATCGAAAAACAAGAAAAGATGAGTACAATTACAAGTAAGATATGTGAAGAGTGTGGTCCAATCAGCATGGCAGTGTGGCGGAATTCAAGTTGAATAAATTACAAACCTAATGAGGTGAAGAGTGATATTGGTGTCAAATGATTCCCAAGGCAGCAAGATCAGTCATTCCAAGTTCAGCACAGAGTGGGTTAAAGCCAGGTTCTTCCAAAAGGCTGAATGCAGTATATCCATAGTAGGAATGATATATATCTGGCAGCCCGCCGGGATACTTACTGAAACCTCCAAACTGGTAAAATAGGATTAATATAATTATCCCCCAAAAAAAGGAATATAATTGACAGTCTCAGAGATAAGAATATCAACCTCACTAGCATTAGATAAATGGAATATTCATGCAGAGATAAGGGTGAATATATTGGTATTAGATTACATACACGTACATGATGCAAGGCCAACTGGTTTGACATATTAAGCTTCACATTCACTCCCCTTATTGCCTTAATCACATTTTCCATTGCTCTTAGTATCATACCCTTTTGCAAAGGCATTTTATATAGGAATTTCAACAATCCTCCCTCCCTCCCTCTAAAATTGCTTCCAGATAATAAGTCATTGGTTCGATTAGGAAATGGTGATTACCATAAAAAGACCATGTTTTGAAAATTTCAGGCATTGGTGCCAGCTTTAAGCACCCAAGCAACTAGTTTTTTCTTCCACAGATCATGGATGGCTGTTCCATTTACTTTATTTTTTAAATGCAAAGGGTGTGTTATGACAAACTACTGATGAACAATTCGAGAAACCCAATCTATGTGAGGGTGTTTTTGAATGCATGATGAATTTAGATCACGTGCCAAGAAGCAAGTAGCAGCACCTCAGACTGACAAGTCAGCAAAAATTTGCGTAAAGCAATCTTGTCAATGAATTTGTAGGCCCCTAAGATCCTCAAAACTGCCCCAACCCTACACGAGAACATCATCTCATCAACAAAAAGCAGCTTATGCCATGTAATAAGCAAAGGTTTTTCTTATGCTTACCAAAATGCATAGCATGTATCACTAGATTTATTGGCTCTGCCTTGAAATCCACCATCAGTTGCCTGCCTCTGTTTGAGAGGAGAGGAGAGAGGATGAAATCATTCTTGGGAAAATGGAAATGCAAAAGTTACCTAAAACTCAACTCAAAAATTGAGTTTGCACAAAGAGATAACAATATTAAACCATCTATTACAAAGCATTTGCTTTATTAGCACTTTTTAGTTCTTAATGGTCCTTAAGAGATCCATTGTCCATTTCTAGATATTAAGCTAAAATCTAGATATTCCTGGAATAGTAAGTGATGCTTCTAGATATTAAATGACAAAAGTAAACCTGCATACTCCAATCCAGCAATAACGGCACATTTATGATGGAAGATGATGTATTTTTTGACAGAAGATCATCTTCAATGTAGCCCATTAAACGAAGAGATGCCACAGCACAATAAGTACCACCCCCTGTGTCACTAAGACTAATGCTGTTGGTAAATATGATCAAAGTGAACAGAATCTGAAAACTAAAGAAATATAGCACGAAGCTGCTTCATGCAGAAACTTTTCCCACTACAAAATAGACCCACCAGCAAATGACATTGAAAAATGAGATCATTTGATGAAAGAAGTGATTGGAGAGAAACAAAAAATAAATGGCATCAGTTAAGTAGGACCAAACTCATGTTTATAAATTCATGACAACTAAGTGCAACGAGAAAATAGCAGAGAAACGGTGATTAGACCCTGCTCTAGATGCACAGAGTTGCTAGAACACATACCAGCAATTACATGAGATATTTTCCAACTCACCATGTGATTCTAAACCAGGTGACAAGCCAAAGCCACCGTCATACGACTGAAAGAATAGAACCACTTCTACTTCAGTATATATGCCATAATACAAACAGAAAATAAAGATAAAGTGGAAACATTGAGAATTGAGCACTGAAGTGCAGGCGTACCTGGCAATTTGAGATGTATTCCTTGGCTTTCTCGATATCCATGCCACTCCAATCCTCCAACATAAAACAGATAGCAGCTGATACATCAATTAGCTAAATCAACATTCCATTATGAAGAACCCCGATTAATAGAGCCTCCATTGTAACTGGGTAATGATTTCAGTTCTTACCAGCACAATATACAAAGCGAAGATCTGTCTCTGCCCCAACATGCAACGGCATAAAACTACAAGATTAAGATAAAAAAATAGTCAACTTGATGCAATAGTAATCAGTCTAGAAGATCTATAGCATAAATATCATCAGGATATAATTGATTGCACTTACAAACAATATGCATCACTGGACTTTTACGAAAAGAATCAATTAATATACATCTCTATGAAGCATCAAAAGCAAATTTCTTCTGTCATTAGTATTTAAGAACTACACTTTGAAGCATACCTTCCATCAGGCTGTTGAAGATTTCTCATGGATATCAATATTGATTCCTTGTCTAGAGTTGCGAGATCAAATCCAACCATCTTTAGTATGGCTAGGGCGCAATACGTGCTTGCCAAGTGGCCAGCATTATAAGCTGAGACCTGTATGCAGAATAAACCAAAAAAATTATTAACAATTAAAATAATAACAAGAAAACAGATCATATACAATGATTTTCTCATGCCCCATTTTCATCTGGAGGGAACTGTGAAGTCCTAGAGCCATGGAAACCGTAAAATTGTCCTGCACAAAAAACCACAATACCCTTTTAGAATTTCTTTTTTCTATATCAAAAGCACAATAGAGCATACAAACCCAAAAAATAAAGCAACATTTTCAGCAAAACCCAAACCATTTGTCACTTCAGCTCTACTTCTTGGATGAGCCTGAAAGGATAAAACCCAATTGGCAACTCTGTCCTTGTCAACCTACAAAACCAGAATCAAGATTTTAAAAATTTTTTTTTTTCATGATATGATAAATTGGAATTTTTAAAAGAAATTGAACGATATTGGCAATCATAATAAAAATTGAAAATTTTAATGTTTATATTTCCTAATTCAGTCAAAATATGATAAATTTAATAACTTTGTTCGACGAATTCTCCAATAAATCAGTAAAAAATATAATACAAATTAAGATATTTATTTTATCTATTTTTTATCTAATTTTAGTTTTTAATTTCAAATTAACATTTCTAAATAAAAAATTAGTAAAAAAAAAAGGGAAAAATTGAAGGTTACGCGATCTAAGGCTTGGAGGAGGTGAAGGCCAGAGATAGTGAAAAATGCAAGAGTGAGGCGATTGATCTCCTGCGACTGGTAGTGGTAAGGCACCAAATTGTACATCATCTCTAAGAACGCCACGTGTCGATCTATGTCGATGTACAGCAATGGCGATGATGGTGATGATATCGATGATGGCGACGACGACGGCGTTTCCTCTTCTTCTTCAACTTCGAAATCCGATGGGTTACACTCTCTCATCGCCATGCCGGTTCCGCTTTTGCGATTTTCTCTCGAAATTTCTGGTCCTTTTTTTTTCCTGAATTCCGAGGTGGTTTTGTCCTAAGACTCTTTGCTTGAAGACGACTCAGTCTCTTGACTTTTTTGCCCTTTTCTTTGTCTTTTGCTAAGAGAATAAATTAAAGTAATTAAATTTAATTTTTTTTTTTTACCAATTAGATTTTTTAGTTTGACAATTACCGATAATAAAAAAAAATATGTTTTATGAGGGCGAGTTAATGAAAATTTCAAATTTGATTTAAAATTTATTATTGAAAATTTGTTTCGAATTCGATGAAATATTAATTTTTAAATTTAAACAAAATTTAAAATTAAATTAATTTAAAATAAATATTAAAATATTAAAACTCACTCAATTAAATTTATATAATAAAAATAAATTTAATTTTCATAATTGATTTTAAATTTAATTATATATTTAAATTTAAAATTTTTATATATAAAATAATAAATAATAATTTTAATTAAAATAAAATTTAAAATTTAATTAAATTCGTGAACGATTGAAATGAGAGATTCATATGCTTTAATTTTCATAAATCAAATTAAACAAAATTAAGTTAATAATAATCAAATTAAATTTAAATTTTATCTAAATTGAATATGAATTATTTACGAAATGTATTATTTAACTCCCTAATTTTACTCATGTATATAATAAAATCAGAATTCCCCCAAAGAAAAGCCTCATTTGAAAGAGAAAAAAATAATAAAATGAGAAAAGAAATCCCTAAAGCCCTCGTTCATGAAGCCCGTAAGGCATAAACCTCTTTTCTCCAAGCAGGCATCGGTTTGTTCCTAAAAACCCACCAAGAAAAATCCTTCCTTTTTTTCAATTCACATGCCAAAGCGCCTAGTTTTGAAAGAGTAATTTGATCGAGCACCTGGGGTATAATGAAAGGCAGCAACAGAGCTACTGTTTTAACTCTCGCTGAGAAATGCAAGGTTGCTTCTTTAAAACTCTCCTCCATTTTTCCAAGCTTAAAGTTAGCTTCTTTACTCTCAGTTTTGAATTTAATATCTTCACCTTTTTCTTTTTTTTTTTATGTTGCAGAATATATTGGCATCAAGTTGGCAAGGTCATCTTAATACCATCAAATCTGATGCCAAAGGAAGGTACCCTTTTCATATTTCCTTTCAAATAGTGATTTTTTTTTTCCTTTTATTCAATTGGGTTTGTTTTGTTTATCTATCAAAGCCTTCATCTTTATTTACTTGTTGAAAAAAGCTGAAATGTGAAAAAAAAAAAAAGGAGAAAGAATTTGATACTTGGTTAGTGGAAATAGTTGATGTTAGCTGTATGCTTTTAGGAATTAAAACAGCTTAATACAACTAAGTCTTAGGTTTGGTTTTAGTTTCTTCTTCCTTTCTTGATAAAAATTTTATGTTTGTGTACTTGAGATATGATGTCAAACACGAGTACGTTAGGGTAAAGTGAAGAGTTTAAATAACATAGTCTTTGTTTTGATGGTGTGGATTTGTTAAAGAATGGAAAAGAAGAGTTGGGAATCGATTTTGATGATTGTTTGTTGCTTTGAATGGTTGTATCACAGCAAAGAGAGTATATACACGTCGAAGGTTAAGTACATTATAAAGAGAGGGAAACCTTATATCTGGGTACCAGAACATGAGTTACATAATGTGGTATGTTTCTCTTTCTGCTATACCTCTACTTTGTTTGTTTTGGACTTTTTTTTCCTTAATATTCAAGTATCTTGTTGTTCCCATAATCTGCTATGGCTCTACTTTGTTTGAATATGTAATGTAAAACTGAATAATTCCAGGGCTAGTTTAGATGACATTTTTGAATTGTTATATTCTTTTGGTTGATCAACTATTTGCAACAACTACACTTCCTTTTGCTTTTGTCAAATGTTTAAGCATATATGTTCTGTTTTTAGTTAAATGTTAGTCTTAATTTGGTCCTTTCTACTTCCTCCTTGTTTAAGTTTACGGTTTATCTTCTCTATCAAGTTTTCAGCTTAAGTATTTTCTTTTATGTTTATCCTTTTTGAATAAAGTTTAAATTCCTTTTAGAAAATCTTCTTGACTCTTGAAAGACTTCTATTAATTCAGAACTTTTTCTTTTAGTTTGCATGAGTTATTATAACTTTGAGAAACTAGCTAGTCACTATGTGTACTGAATTTGTAATTATTTTATTATTTCCCTTTTGTATGCAGAACACTATAATTGATGAACGTGGTTCATTTTCTGTAGCCAGCCCCTTCCCAGGGCCTCTTGGAAAATTGCTTAGATCAGTGAACAAGGTTGGTATATTTTTGAACTTGCACTTGTCTTTTCTTGCAAGCAGTATGTTAGTTTCTCCACAGAGCATTTCCAATTGTGTTGAGCAAGTATTTTGGATGTGAAGCAATGGTGTAATTTGTTCTACTCTCATGCTGCAGTTTCCGGCACGGGTTGCTCTAACTGGAGATGTTGTGCCTCTCAAAGATAAAAAGGTAACTTTATTTAGAAACCCATCTATGGCTATTGGAATGTGGTACAGAAATGAGTATTATGTCCATTATTAGGCTGCCCCAAATCAGCACACTACTAGAATCCAACTGTGGTCTGCATGTATGTAATTTTAGATGGTAAATTTTGATTTACTGAGCTTCATATGCAGAAATCTTTTTATTCTTCGTGTCAAGTGTCCATTGTATGCAAAGAGAAACAAGGTATGCTGGTCTAATCAGCTATACTTCTCCAGGTTTTTGTAACTAGCACCACTATTTATTCTTCCCTACTTTCCTGTGTTCCTATGCGTATAATATCAAAGCAGCCAAGATAAAACTTTCTGACATATAAGCTATAAATAAATTTTCAGGGATTCTAAATTATTGAAGTCACCTGATACTTTAACAATATGAGGACTATCTTCTTGACTGTTAGATTTGTTAAGCTTCGTTGATACTCTTTAGGAAAAAAGTTTATTTGGAAGTAATAATCTTACGTGTGACTGTCAATCTCATTTTTTTTCTTCTTTGTTTCCAGAATGGACATTGTAATCGTTATTAAATTTATAGTTTGAAGAGTCTTACAACCTTTTTCTTTTTCATGTTATAGGCTCAATCAGCTGCTGAAAGCCTTAAAGAACTTATTCTCTCTGAGGAGAAAGCAGTAAAAGAATTCAGTTATACAGTTTCTGGTGTATTAAGTTCTTCTAATCTCTTTTCCACATCCCGGAGTGAAAACCTTAAGGAGCTGATTGATGGGGATGAAAAGTATGTGATTTATAAGTTCAATCTAAGGTATAAACTTCCACTCTGATTGTTAATTTGTCATTGTGTAATTGTAGACAATTACCATCACATTGACCTGGTGTCAATGATGCTTGGTTTGGCTTCTCTGCTGAATCTGGAAAAGGGTGATATCATATCATGTCATGAAAGAAGGTTCATAAATGAAGTTGTCTGTAGCATGTCATTTCCTGAAAAAAATTATACAGACAGGTTAAGAGGTAGAACCCACTATTAATATCTACAAGAAACTGTTACTTAAGGATTATTAGATGTTATTTTTGCTGATTATGGATGGTTGAAGTTCTGTCTCAAAGGGAACCAACAAGGATCCTCATGTTATGTACTCGAGCCTTAATATTATGTTAATTTCCTGTTCAATGTGATTTTGATTGGGGAATATTAATGTATCCAAATAATATAATTTCTAGCTGATAGAGTTGGTATATATGATGAGAATGAGGGATAGTTTGAGAGAGGGAAAACAAAAAGAAAAATCTGATATATAAACTTTCATCTGACTTGAAAAATCTACTATGCAGTTCTTGCATGTTTGTTAATGGCAATGGAGGAACTCATGAAGTAGACTTGGAAGATATTGAGAAGTGTAAAGCTGATTTGCTAGGTAAGACCTCACTGCAGAAAGAATGACTGTTCTATCTTAAGGATAGTAGCGGCATGAGTTGTGGCCATGGAAGTTGCATTTTATTTTTCTGACTGCTGATCAAATTATATCTTTAATTTGTTTCTTTATAGCGCCTTATTCTGCGAAGCTAATTGATGGTATTAATCAAAGTGAAGCAAGGCGCAGAGGACTGATCCTTTTTTGTTTCATATACTTGAATGTAAATGCAAGAGTAAGATTTACTATCCTTGTCCTGCTCTCAATGTGTAATTGTGAATGACTGGCAGATGTAAAAGTTCTAGTTATCTTCCTTGCTATACTCTCATTTTCTTACTTTTCAATTTCAAGTATGTACATGCTCCTGCTGCTTGTGCTTGTACTTTCTGTGTGTTTTTCTGAGTATTCGGTTTGAAAGATAACGATCGATTTGATGTCTTTATCTGCTTTATCATGTGCTCACGAAGCATGCTGATAATTGTTTATTGACTGGATGCATGAGACAATGGGGTTAGGGCTGTTAAAGTCACAGATCCTCACGAATAGTATTCAGTTAATTAAATTAGCTTCTTTAGCTTTTGAACCTGGACCTTAACTCGGTTAATTCTTGTTGTCACTCTTAAAAGGTGATATCTAGCAAGTTTGGGATTAATCCCAGCGCCTTCTATCCCCAGGCTGCGGTTAGTTTCTATGGCTTTGGATTGCTGTCATCTGATACTTAACTAAATGTTGCTTCTAGGATGCATGCATTCTCTCTCTTGATCGTAACGGATTTGATGTACTGGGAAAGGTTCGTAGCAAAGCAACCAATGATGAAGTCGATGAATACCAATGGAAGCAATTCAGGTTCACATTCAAGGAAGAGGCACGAGATGTTGAATCTTTTTGCTGTCAACTTGTGCAAATGGAAGAAGAGGCTGTCAAAAAGGTTTCAAGCTACAGTGGTCTGGGATAAAAAGTGAAATTGGTACTATAAATCAAGTGAATTTTGGTTTACTTTTGTTTCCTTTGTATGCATGAACTAAAATGAACAAGACTAACATATTTTCGTCCCTTGTTTGTAGGGATGTCAATCTTACACATGTACAACGGGGAATCCGACTTTAGTCAAATGAAGATGGGAATTGATATAATTTTAAATTTTTATCAGATAGATACGGGATGAGGATGAGTAATATAACAACCGCTCTTTACCTGAACCCATACCCTGTTGATTGACATCCCTGTTTGCTCACTCTCCATGTTTCTTTATTTGTTTCTTTATCATATTAAGATCAATCTAAAAAATAATTTTATTTCCATTTATGTATTATAAATGAATGAAATGCCCTTTTTGCAATTTATTAAGGCACCATTTGGGTTCATTGCTATCTATACAATTTTGGTGGGATCATGATCATGACATCTTTTTTTGATATCTCCCCTTATTCTCCCAAATTCATAAAAACTATATTCTTTTAATTTTTCTTATTGAATTACATTTATCCATATAAATCACAAAACTAATCAAACAATCTTCAAACATATAAGAATTCTAAAAAAAAAATGATAATTATTACATTACATTTTCAAGTATAGTAAATCAATCAACAAACTTAATGAACAATTGAATCTGGGTATCGTTCAAATGGTTCACTTATTATTATTTTTTAAATATATTCTTACAAAATTCAAATTTGATATTCAAAATTTTAGATTTTAACCTCGTTTATAAAAAAAAAGAAGTAATGAATAATATAAAATGGATCAAATTCATGCATGGTGAAATTTGAACTTGAGTTTTAATGGCTAGAAACATTTAAGATGTGTCATGTTTACGTAACATTATAAGCTATTGTTTTCTTTTTTTTTTTTAATTCAAGAAATTAGTTTGAAAAGGTTAGGTATTATTTGATCATAACTCACCAAAGATACGAAGTTGGATGCATTGAGACAAGTTTCACTATATATAACAAATCTTTTGGAACCATTAATCATTACTTGCAAGCATGATTAGAACTTTCACCAAACTTAAATAAGTCCAGAACTCAACTAAACTCCTTGGCCTTTGCTTGACAAATTCTCTTCAAAATTCAAGAAATATTTCAAGGTAGTTACCTCCATTTCTAATGTCACAACCAATTGGTCACTTTTAAAACCTTGCTTTGATGGATATGACTTTGAAAAACAAATTGAATTTTAGTTGAGTTAATGTATGTCAATTCTCAATCAATGCAAAATTGTCTCATAAGCTAATCAATATATAGCTCAATCAATGAATAGGAAAATGCCTTTTTTTGCACTGAAATTTATGACTTTTTATAGTTGTTATGATTGTCTTCATAATTAGAAAAATACTTATTTATTTTTTTATTGATCGATAAAAAATTTTTAAATTTCGTTCAATACATTTTTTTTCTTACTAATTCAAATAAATTTATCTAAAGATCAAAGTTTGAATTTGATTCTTCTCTCTCTTCTAGCATCTTTTATTATGTAAACCATTTTTGACATATCGATTGTTATCATTTTTTTATTATTTTTTTAATCCAAGACAATAAAAAGATTGAAAAAAACAAAAAACCAACAAAGCCATACTTGATATCTGTGGTGAGGAAGTTTTGATTTGTGGATTGAAATAATTATGAACTTAAGTGTCAATTTTTGAGTTTGGGGCTAACTGGTCCAATTTTGGAAGAAGCAAAGAGAAATTAAAAATAACCATTGCAATGCTATTGCAAAAAAAAAAAAAAAATTGTGAATGGGTTGTAGGGTAGTGATTTGGACCACAATTTCTTTGCCAATGGAAGATTGGGACAGAGTCCTGAAATATGTTTCTTTTTTTTTTTTCAGCCTTTATGAGTGACAATGACAATGTTTCTAACAATTTATCCATCAAACATTACCAGATTCTTTTTTTTTTTTTTAATAATTTGTGGAGTATAGTACATCAAACATTACTATGACTTTAAAGCTGAATTCCATCTTTCTCATGCATTGATGTTATATAAATAATATATAAAAATAAAAAAATTAATTAAAAAATGAGAAATTTTTTTTTTATAAAATCCTATTTATAAAATTAAAAAAAATACTAACAATATATAAAAATGAATTTTTTAATCAAATTTGACTCAACAAGGCTATAATAATTATTTAATTTAAAACCTAAATTATATGTTATATAAGTAAAGATAATAATTTTTTATGATATAAGACCATGTCACAATGGTTTCTAATAATTTTTATAAAATAAAATCTAAATATTGGTTGAATTTTAATATATATATATATATATATATATGTATGCATGAATTTAATGTCAATCTCTTGGGTAAATTTCTCAACAATCTTACTTGACCAGAGGCCACGAGTTGATATTCTTAGATCCAGTGGGCCATATTGCATGAATGTGATTTACCAAAAATGAAATTGAAGGAGACACTCTTCAAATGTCATGTTTTGGGAATAAATGTACCTATCGTCCAAATTCATATCCCTTGACAAATTTCTTTTGAAAATATCCATCTCTTCAAAATTTTCATGAAGTATGTATTATTTTTAACACATTTTCTTGAAAAAAAAAATGAATTCACAGCTTAATTGTGTTAATTTATGCAATTATCATTAAGCAATAATATCTAATAAACATACAATTTAAATCTCAATATTTATAATTTTTTTTTTATTTTCACGTTCTTTATAAAAAATAAAAAATAAATGAATAAAGAGATGCTTTTTTATTTAACACAACTATCCCTTTCAATGTAGTTCCACATTTCTTTTTTCCAAATCTTACATAAATAACTTGAATTTGATCCTCTCTAAGAAATCTTATTTTCGACAACATTTTTGGAGTAATTTGTATAAATTATTTTTGTCTTAAAAAGATCTTGAATTAAAATTAAATAATCATCAAAATCTATATCATTTTATTGTAATTAACTAAGTTTTTAAATATATATTTTCATTCAATTGAACCCTTAAACAATTATTTTTATTCAATTAGACCTTCAATTGAATGAAAATTGGTGATGATAGCTAACCAAATTTTTTTCAATAAAAATTCAATTATGTTAAAATATATATTCGAAAACTCAATTGATTGTAATAAAATGACAAAAAACTTGGATGATTATTCAATTTTAGTTTATCAGTTTTTTTACAATTAAGCCTTATTTTTTCAAATATTTTATACTTTTCCCAAAAAAAATTGCTTTTTCAAAATTTTCCTATCAATAAAATATTTTTTGTTTGAACAAAAATACTTATGTAGATTAACATTTCCTTGTGATTTACTGAATAAAGAAAAACCTCGTTTTATTTACATGAATATAATTTAAAACAATTATTATGTTATTATATCATATATACATGAAATTTGAAAGGGTCCTTGATTTTGTGCCACCCACTTTAGGGCAACCGAGGATGTAAATAGTTAGTCAGGGTGTTCACGAATACATTTAAAAATTAAAAAAAAAAAATTGAAAGGAAAGTTTGTCTCGATAACCCCTAATATTTTTCTTTGGATTTCCCATAAATTTTCTCTGAATATATTTTTCTTAATTTCCTAATCCAATCAATCTATAGCCAATCAAGATCCAACACCGAGCAGACATCTACTACAATAAGTGAACACCCTCGAAAATAATTCTAGATTCGTGACTGCATGAGGGCCACAGCCAGTATGCATGATTGGCAATTGTAGGAAACTGTTCACAATTTCAAGTAAAAAAGCAATTTCAGGGACCCCATTCCATGCAACATAATGCAACCAACCAAACCTTTTTTCTTTTCTTGCTTTTACTCCAAAAAAAAAAAAAAATCAAAACATTAAAACACACAAATGCTACTTGTCTCTTCTGAATATTGCAATAATCATACAAAAATTACTCATTAATTTATGAATCTATATTATCTCATATAATTAAACTTTCAACTTTTCACAGTTGTAAAGCAGTAATTATATTCATTATTGATTATTATTCTTGAACTTGTTTATAAATCGAGTCGGGACATATTAAGATTTTATTTTTTTATATATTTTAAAATTAAAATTAAATAAAAATAAATTTTATTAATAAAATAAAATTTTGGATCATATTGGTTCGGGTTTGAGCTCCACTCCAGCCCATATATGTTTTATACATAAGCATCAATGCATGGTTAAAACATGCTTTTGTATGTCCATCATTAAGTCTCTAATCACTAATTAAGACACAGTCAAATGTTATGATCTTGTATGTTGGATAAGAACATATTTGTTCTAAAATTTATCAAAAATTGGCAATTCAGTCTTAAATCTTTCATTATTTTCAATTGAGGCCTAAATAATTTTTCACCGACCCAAAGCTAAGATAGACAAGGAGTTGAAGGATAGCATATATTACATTATTATATAAAAATTTTATTAATTAATTTATAAATAGACTTTTATTTTATTTATACTATTTCTAAAGGTTGGCCCCAAAGACACCTAACCATAAGCATCTGATGAAGACTAATGAGAATTTTTGTTTTAATACAATCAAAGTTTTCAAACTTTGTTTGGATCTAATTTTCTTTTCGAACAATCTTAAAGGCACACTCCCCATATAACGTGATTTGTCATGATTTTATTTTTGAAATGCCCCGCACAGGTAAATTTATCTGGTTGGATTACTTGCTCGGCCGTGAGCTTGGTTCGTCTCAGTCAAGTCTTGGATATGATTTTTGAAACTCGAATTTGGCTTGAAATAATATTTAATTAATAAAATATTTTTATTTAATTTAATTTTAAAATTTATTAAAATATTAAAATTTTAACATACCTGAATTCATGAAAATTCAGGTATGATTCTTGGATTAATTATAGCTATTGTATTTCTTTTCATGAATAAGGATATATGGGTTAAATCTTATCCATAATAAAGTTTATCATGTTTAATGAGTAAATACATATGTCTGTCATGATTGGTGTAATATGCCTTTATCATTAGTCTTAATCTAAGAATTTAAAAAATTGTAAGATGTCGGCAACCACACTTAAATCAGACTTTTGTCGATAATCAGTCAACTTAAAAGCTTAACTTGTTAAAGAATGATTCAAGAATAATTTTATTCATTAACACATTCGTCCATACTTAGGTTAGGTTTGAATTTCGTCGCACTTTTGATGTGATGGGATTGAATTTATTGTATTACCAATTGAATCTAAATGTCAACTCTGAAAATATTCATTCAACATAAATTTCTCATTAATTTTTTTTTCAATTATAATTACAATAATTTTTTCAATCACAACTATGGTAACTTTTATTATTATTTTCAATCTCATCATCCATCTTATTAATGAAGCTTTAAATTGAAAGTTGGTAAGAAATGTGTTTAAATATATATATATATATATATTAAATCAACTTCTTTGATCATAATAATAAAGAATTAATTATTTATCTTTTTTTTAGTATAAAGAGATTGTAGCTTAAAGACAGTGAAAAAGTTTACAGGTATTGAGATTTAAACTTTAAACATGTTAAATGTTATTTCTTAAAAATAATTACATGAATTAATTAAATTAAACTTAGGATTCAATTATTTATCCTATTAATTAAATGGTTCAATTTGCTAACCAAGCCTTTTCTTGGGTTCTTTTCCAATCAATCTCCTAATTCATTTTTGACTTAAAGCTCAAATCAATTTTGTATTGACTTAAAAAAAAAAAAGTCATGCAAACAAACAGTGTGAATAATTAATGGGGTGATTAAGAAAAAGTGACAACAATATGTTGAATATATCACCATAGGGTTTGCTTGATCTTTTCAAACTTTCTTGTCTCTCAACTCTCTTTGGAATTGAGAGAAAGATTGTAGTAGCTCATTTTGTCTTTCATGGTATGTATTAATTCTTTGCTAAAATCCCAAAGTGATAATTAAAAAAATACAATTAATTTATAGTAAAAGGGAATGTAAAACTTTACCTTAGAATAATCTACACAAAAAGACAACAAAAGAAGGAGAAAAAAAAAAAGAAAAAATCCTTAAATTATTTTACATGCAACAAAAGAAATAAAATAAAAATCCTCATGGGGACAAACCCAAGAAAGAAAGGTGCATTCGATTGTGACTCATCCACCCACGAGACCCCCCACCAAGACCAACTTTTCTTTAAATTTCTTGCCTTAAATTCCATTATTATGTTCTTACTAAAAACTTATTTTTGTGCAAAATTTTTAAGTGGGAGGAGATAATTACTCCATTTTAAAATCAGGATATATCAAAAGCTTGAACGATAATCGATATTAAATTTACATAACATTAAATGAAAAAGATTATCGGCAACGAAAATTGAACTTAAGTTCTAAAAAAAAAAATTTATATTTGATGTATTATCAGTATATAAATTTTATACATTATCAGTGAATCGGATGATACCACTTCATTAATGAGATAAATTAGATAATGCCACATCATTATTGAATACTTTTTTTAAAAAAATAAAATTTGGTATATTTATTTTAAGGGTTGATAGTCACTAATTAATAGAACGGTATTATTTAATTCATTGACAGTATATAAAATTTATATATTAATAGTATATAAAATACAAATTCTAAAAAAAAAAAAAAACATAGTTAAGAAATTGCAGCTAGCTAGGGTTGCTTTGCTTTTTTAAAAACATGCATGGCCACTAATATCTTTTTCGGGCATTGTAATAATTAAAAAAAAACAACATAAAAATTAAAAATTAAAGCTTACTTACCAAGAAAATTTTTTTAAAAAAATGTTCTAACCCTAAAAAATTTAATAAAACAAAAAGATAAAGTGTGAGGTGAGAGAAGAGAGAACAAAATAAATAAACACTACTCGCCTAAGCTTTCCTTTTATCTTTATCTTTTTTTTTCTTTTTTTCCATTCTCTCCTTCTCTTTCTTTTTCTTTCTCTGCAAATCCCTTGTTTGGAAGTGATTCTCAACCATATCTCAAAAACCTTTACAAAAGATAGAAAGCTCAAGCATACACCATGGTTTTCTCATCTGTTCCAGTCTATCTAGATCCACCCAACTGGCAACAGGTAATGTTTTTTTTTTTACTAGTAAATTTTCCCAGATTTTCTTTTCTTTTCTTTTCCAGCTAGCTTCTTCTCCAAAAAAGCCAATTAAAGATAAATAATATTCTTATCCTTTTCTAATCTTCTCTTGAATATACCATTTATTTGATTGTCTATTCTTTTTTCTTTATGTATATTTATTTTTTTCATAATTTTTTTTTGAGTTCTGCAGCAACCAACTTATCAGCAACCTGGAGTTATTACTAGTGAGAATCATCGTAATCCTCAGCTTCCACCACCACCACCACCAGCAGATGGTGGTGGTGGTGGTGGTGCAGGCGCTATGAGGCCTGTTTCAATGGCGGAACGAGCTAGGCTAGTTAAGATACCACAGCCTGAGTCAGCTCTCAAGTGCCCTCGATGTGAATCAACAAATACTAAATTTTGTTACTACAACAATTACAGCCTTTCACAGCCTCGCCACTTTTGCAAGACTTGTAGACGATACTGGACTATAGGAGGTGCTTTAAGGAACGTGCCGGTTGGTGGTGGCTGTAGAAGAAACAAAAGAAGCAAAGGCGGTAAGAGATCAAAGTCTCCATCAGTAGTATCCGAACGCCATACAGGGTCAAGCTCATCTTCTAGTACACTTGCTTCTAATAGTTGCACTGATATGTTAGGCCACATGAACCCTGCAGCGCCGCAATTGCCTCTATTACCCCCTTTACAGCATCTTGGTGACTATAATTCTGATGATATCGGGATAAATTTTGGGGGAATCCAGGCTCAGGTGGCGGCCACAGGCTGTGGTGGTGGTGGATCAATGTTAACAAGTGGACTAGTAGAACAGTGGAGACTGCAACAAGTTCAACAATTTCCATTTTTAACCAATTTAGAGCCTCCAACAGGGTTATATCCATTTGAAGGTGAACGAGTGGAGCCACTAAGTTATGCTGGTCAGCTACGGTCTAAGCAATTGGAGAGTGCGATTACTCAGTTGGCAGCTGTTAAAATGGAAGAAACTCAAGGGTTGAATTTATCAAGGAATTTTTTGGGAATTCCAGGAAGTGATCAGTACTGGGGTGGTGGTGGTGGTGGTGGCAATGCATGGACTGATCTTTCTGGTTTCACCTCTTCTTCCACGACTCATTTCTTTTGATTTTTTTAGTATCTTTTTTACCCCCAAAACCCAATCCAATCTTTTTTTTCCCCTTTTGTTGGTTGAATTACTTTACAGGTTTCATCAAAGAGAATTCAACTCATAGATAAGGATTTTGAATGAACAGCTACTCTAACTTTTGCAAAATTTCAAGTTTCCAACCTGATGATGAGAAAGTGATGATCAATTGGAAAAGGAAGGGATGGAATGAATTTCTTGTCACTCCATATCTACTAAAAGAGAAGACTTTAGAAAATGGTAGATTTCTACTCTCTAAAATTTCTTGCTGTTGTATTTCTTTTGTGTTCTATGCGTCAGGCATATAGTTTAAATTTTAGTATCTACAATCTCTTCTAAAATCTTCAAACTGCAGTTTCATTTGTAAAAATATATTAAGTAGATCTTATATGTAATATTCAATGGAGAGAATTTCGGTATCTGACATGAAGAAGATAGATTGTTAATGTTAGAGTTGATCAAATGCTTTGTACTAAGTGATTTCCCTTGAAAAATGATATGTGAATGAAAATGTATGCATTATTATTTGTTGGTTTTCTTAATTCATTTTAATTCTCAGACTGCCACCTTTTCGAAGTTGAAGAGTTCTATCATTTGCCAAATTGAGAAAACAATGTGAAAAAATTGCATACAATATTAACCTACAATTTATTAGATTTCTCTTGAATCTTGAGACCATATCAAATCTTGGTCAGTTCTTCTCTTATTTTAAACTAAATTTAAAGTTAATTTAATTTATAATCAGTTTTATTTTGAGCTAAAAAAAGATTAGTGGTGGAGCGAGGTAAGTGTTTTCTAGCATAGCTTATTACATTTCATGAAATGGGATAGTTTCCTATCAAGAAAAAACTACTCTTTCCTTTTTTTTTTTGGGGGGGGGGGGGGGGTTCTCTTCCTTGGGTAAGAATGGTTTTTTTTTTTATTAAATATGATTAAATAAATATCAAAATAAAAAATTCAAATTGACAAATTGAAAAATCTAATTAAAAAGATCGATTGTATAAAATTTGAAAAAATTCAATAAATTTTAATATGATTTTCAAATAAATATTTTCATTAAAAATTTCGATAGAGTTTGATTAAATTTTAATTATAAACAGTACCTTTAGCAAATTTTTTTATATAGTAATCTTTTCATTAAACTCTATAAATTTTTATGTCATTATTTTTAACGAAAAATCTTAGAAATTTGACCCAAGAAACCCTATATAAGTTCTCTCTTTTTTTTACTTGTTTGCTTAGACATTATGGAGGTAACCCTGGGAAGCATGCATCATGAAATAACTAAATAGTTTCCAGTCACACACCTTTGCTTTTTAAGGCCAAAACAGTGAACAAATTCCTTTTTCTCTGGTGGAATAGTCTGAGAGGGGTTCAGTACTTTCTGTAACTCTCCATGTTGCTTTGCTTGATCAACATCAAGCTCGAACCAAAGTCATTCATTACTGCTATAGGGTTCACTTAGTATCTCAGTTTCCCTTTAATCATTTTTCTTGGCAATTCCAATTTCCTAGATGTCTCATGGTCTCACATTTTTTAGGAATTTTAACCTGAGGTTAGTTATTTTCACCCTCCCAAGAAAAAAAAATAATTTTGTCTTGAATGCATCTAAGTCTGTGCCCATCCCATATTTCAATGCCTTTTAGATCAAAAGAAAAAAATTGGTTAATGTATGATTTAGTCTCTTAACTATATCACATTTTACTATCTGGTACCTATTAAAAAAATTTTCTGAAATTGATTTCCGTCAAACATTTTGTTCCACACATTAATTCTATTAATGGTAAGCTAATGTAATAAAAAAACAATTAATAATATCATAACACGTGACGTTTTTTTTTTTTTTTGAAAAATGAATAAGAATTTTATTAAGAAGAAGCTGAATACAAACTATAGCCAAGCAATCAAGTCTTGTTCTCTGAACACAACTTGCTTAGCTAGGGAATCCGCGAAACTGTTTGCTTCCCTAAAATTGTGGACAAAAGAAAATTTTTCAATACATGCTTGAAGATTGGGAAATCTATTGATAATTGCATTGTATCGCCAAAGGCTTTCACTGATTTTCTTAAGCTATGATGTTGCAATGATTGAATCACTTTCAACAATTATAACTAGCAACGGATATGATTTTGCTTCAACAATGATCGATAAACATGCTTCAACACGTGGCATATTTTTATTAATCAATATTTGACACATCAACATTTTGATCAACGGTGTTAATTAATTGTGCAAAATATTTGATAGAAATAAATATCAAATACTTAATCGTTATTTTTTTTTATAAACACTAAATCATTAAAATTAATATTATTCAAAAGTCAAATTACCGAGAAAGAGAAAGATCATAGAAAGGATTTGATAATGATTTTATAATTATATAAGAAAAAATAATGTAAACAAACCTAAGGGAAGTACTTATTTGTTACTTTGTGGATTAAAAATGATTATGTAATTATAGGAAATTTGACTGACTTTTCTTTTTTTGTTGTTTGTACAGTAATACAAACTGAGAGTTTGAAGTTTGGACAAAGGGAAAGTTGAAAAAGAAAAACGCCAAAATCCCACTCAAAACCATGCAAAGATATAGATTTATATCCATCTAGGATTCTCCAATTTTGTTACCAAATTTCTAACGTAAGACCAAAACCCGACACAGCAGATCAAGTCAAAAGTTAACAGGAAAAAAAAAACAACTAAATTCCCATGTCTGATAGGCTTTTCCTTTAACCTTTTGATTGGTTTTTGCCACATTTTTGTTTCAAATTTTATGTTAGTTTTTTTTTTTTTTTATAATAATAAGATTTGATAATTTTTGTATTTATATTTATCTATTTTGTATTTAACAGATATAAAATATAAAATTATTGTGTTATAATTTATATTAATATGATAATTATAAATATTTTTTAAATTTTTTTAAATTTATATATAATTTTTATTAAAATTTTAAATAACATCATTTCATATTTTTCGAATTATCCTATTTAAAGACGGTGTTATTGATAGCATAATATTTTAAAATTTTAGCACTATATGTTTTATTTTTTGGGTGTTTCTAATTCTATAAAGAGAACGGAATCTGAGTTTTGGATGTGCTTTTGCAATAACCAAGGCAGCTTACTAACATGGAATAAAGTCATCTATCAAAAAAGCAAATCTCTCCCTCTCTCTCTCTTTCTCTTTCTCTTTGAGAGCTTTTTTTCTTTTGGGATTGGTCGGCTGATGGGATTGAACTAATGAGATAGGGATCCAAAATTGTCAATGGAAATAGAGAAATGGGGTTATAAAGAAAGAATGAAAAAAAAAATCAATAAGTGATTTGTCCGATATGTAAGAATTGTTCTCTTTGATGTAAAAGTTTTGTATTTAAATTCAGTTGATTATTGCTTGTTGGAATATATATCTTAAATGCATAATTTTAAATTATTTATTTTAAATTATTAGATACGACATATTTTATTTTAATATGAAAAATTTAATAATCTATATACTTTTTAAATTTTATATAAAAAAAATAAATAAAAAAAGGAAGAAGAACGTTGGAATTCCAAAAGCAAAGGGTAGTTGGAGTTTGCTGTTGTAATGTCGATGGCCATACAATGAAAATGTTTTTTTTTTTTTTTTAATATGTAGGCGTGAGATGTTCTCTCTGTTTCCTATGGCAGCTTTCACTTTTGAAACGTCATCGTTATATTTCTTTCTCTTTACTTTTCTTCTGAGATTCCAATCTATGCTTCTTCTTTGTGTGTGCTTCTTCAGTCCCTCACGTTCTTTCACATGTGCTGATCAGTCATAGAAGTGTTGGATTCTTGTCTATCACTTCTAGAAATTCTTCATTCTATCACCATGTACCTCAATGAGAGTATAAGATTACCAGAATTCAAATAAAATAAGTGGGAAATGAGAAATAGAGAAAAAAAAGTTGTTAATAATTCATGTAGCCAAGTCGTGTGGCCTATTAATATAGTGTTAAACTTTTATAATTTTAATGATCCAAATTCAAATCTTGATAATTTTTAAGTATCTAAAAAAAAAAAATTCGTGTAATTCAAAGAGTATGACAATTTTTAAGAGTGAAACAACATCGTTTAAGGAAGGTATATAAGGTTTTTTTTTTTTTTTTTTTTTCCCTTTGGATTTCTCTTTCTAAGCCCTAAAATCTCCAACCTCTCTCTAAAAATTAGGGTCGCCAACCCAACGCGCTTCTGGCGGGTTTTGACCCGACTCAACCTCATAGGGTCAGTTTTTTTTTTTTTTTTGAAAATCAGGTTTTGGGTCGGGTTGGGTGTGGCTAAAAAAAATCGAGATCAAGTCGGGTTGGAATTTTAGGCAAACCCAACCCAACCTGACCCGATCTGATATTATATAAAAAATTATTTTTAATTATTTATTTATATATATTAATATAATTATATATTTAAATATTTATATTTTAAAAAAAATTATAATTTTAACAAATAATATTTTATTAATTTGGGGTTGAGTCGAGTACGATTTATATAGTATCAAATCACAATCGGGTTCAAGTATGAAAAAATAAAAAAAATTTTGAGACGGGTTGAGTGTAGGTTTGATGAATATAAAATCAGGTCGGATTCGGAGCGAACAAAAACCCGTCCCGACTCGACTCGTTACTAACTTTACTAAAAATGTTTGAATACTAGCTGGTTTCCGATAACTTCAAGATTTGGTTGGAAATGTGATTAGAAACTCAAATTCTTGCCGAAATCTGAAAAAAGGTATCTTAGAAATTCAAATTAGCTGAACTATGTTCTCATGTGAACTGCCTCAATAGTCTAAAAAATTAAGAAAGATTTTGAATTTATTTCCTTTTATGGGTTTTGATTGAAAATTAATAGATTAAAACAGTTTGGCTAATTATAGATAAAATTATCATGATGATTTAATCATCAAAGTGATTTTGTTATTTCAAAATCACTTTATTTTATTAATAATTATTGATTCTTAAAAATTAAAGATCACTTGTATTGAAGATTATTGAAAGTTAGATATTATTTTATTTGAAAGTACTAAAATAATCATATTGTAATAGTAATACAATTTAATAATTAATTTCAATGTTGTTTTGACCTAACAATTTGGAAAATATTAATGATATTTTATTAACTTCATAATATGGTATAACAAAATTATTAAATTAACAAATAAATTTAATAATAGGTAAACTAATTTTTGTATAAATTATGTAAAATAACATTTAAATTAGAAAATAAAACTATATTTTTTAAAATTATAATAAAATAAAATAAAATTAAAAAATATATTATATTATATAACATAAAAATTAAAAGAAAGCATGTAATTTATTTTTGAATTTGATAAAATGAATATTATTTTGAAAAGATAAACAGTTATAATATAAAATATTACAATTTTTTAGAAGCAAAATTTTAATTTATACATTAAATGTGTAACTATTGGCTATTATTAATTTAACAATTCATTCTATAATACAAAATTTTCATTTTGTTGATAAAAATTAGATCA